TTTTCCGTTACAGATAATATAAAAATAGCTTTTTTAGAGTTTTATGGGAATTTTTTAAAGATATGACATACTACGAGGATCTTCATTGTAATCGCTTAAACGTATTTTATACAAACAGCCAAAGCATTCCCTTTTTGCCGGATCACCAACCGGGAGCCAGCGGCTTTTATTTTGACGGAAAAGACCGAGATGATGCGATTCCCAAAACTGTAGGGATCAATAGTCTGTTAAGGAGAGGCAACACGGTTTCGATTCCCCGGACGGTGCAGGTCACTTTCGTTGTGATTGAACATGAAATCTTTTCTACGGTCATTCGCACTTTACCTCTTCTTTGGTATGTATATACACAGAAGTTTCAGTTCCTTGCGAAAATGAAGGCAAAATTTAATGGTACTGGTAAACTGCTTGACAGCCTGCAGTAACGATGCGCGGTGGATGAACTGTACTCTAGAAAATTCAATGCGGCTTACTGCCGTGATCCGGAGTGAAAACTACCAACACAAACCAATACCATCTGTTAGAGACACTGACAAATGGCACAGGCATGAGAACACCTGGATTAAACATGGAGATATGAAAGACGTCAAAGGGACACAGTCAGGTTAATGGCGTATGATCAATATTTCAATCTACTATACCTTTTCAGAAGTGTAAGGTTGCCCCTTAACATCTTTTCTTGGGCATTAGAATTTATGTAAGAATAACTCTTTCCGGACTAATACCTGACACATATCCAATAGAATAATTGAATGTATTGATACTATTTAAAGACTATTCTATATAGTTTATAAATAAGCAATAGTTTGCAAAATGTTTCGATTTCAATTGACAGGTAATGACTTATTGCACTATTGGCGTCATTATCCCGAATAGACAGACTCAATCAAACACAATCTGCAATTTTCATATAATTTTGTTGTGATTAATGCTTCCAGGGAGGGATCACTCTTTCGTAAACAAAATATACTCTAGAAACTATTATCTATAACTATAATTGAATATAAATACGATCGCCCATTCTGTTGGCCACAACTTTAGTAAGTAAGGTCTGTAATGGATATCATCTTCGCTTAGTAATTTCCCATGTATGACGTTGTTTCTACATAATCTTTAAGATGTAAAATATCCATGAATATCAATTTTCACCATATGTTCCAAGCTTTTTCTGATTTTTTTATCCCCCCCCCCCCTATAATAATAAAAGTTGATTCCAGTCTCTTGATTCACTCATTAATTTCAGCACTTATAAGCGTTGAAAATTGAGTACCGCTCAAGCCGGTGCTATAGGGGGCATGGGGGCTGTTGCTGATTCATTATCCCTCATATACGAACTCATCCAAACCGAGTCTGCAGTTTTCATGTAATTTTGTTTACGAGTGATCCAATCTTTTATACATGTATATAGTTTTTGGGTTTTTTTTGTAAACAAAATAGACTATTATCTATAAATATTATTGAAAACAAAATGTGATGAATAATATATTCTAACCTTTAATTTATCAATATGTTTAACAAACAAAAAAAAAAGCCAACATTAGTAAATGTACATTTGTGAACAATCTTTTGAAGAATCGCTGTGATTTTGTATTCATTTGCTCATAAACATACATTCACAATCAAAATATTCTAATCTAATATACTACCTTGTATAATATATTATAATATATAACATTCTATTCTAATTTAAAGTTTAAAAAAATTAAACTAATGGATGACAAATTTCCTTTTTTGTCTTGAATAATAACATTTAGATCTATAAGTGTTCTTTGCTTGTCTCGTTGAACCATTTGTCATTTTGATGTAGCCCTGATCTGTCTTTCATGGATGAATGTGCCATTGATGTGCAAACCATCTCCCGGTATCTGATAGGTATGGAACTCGCAGCCTTTGACTTTGTAGTTAGACGTTGTTGCCACGAGTACACTGTGCCCGTTCTAGTAACAGCAAAATGTTAACGTTTCTTGCTAAGGCACAGAATATTAAGCATATAGAAGTTGCACAGCTGCGCTTAATTCTTAATTCTGCGCTTAATATATTTACACAGCAAGAAATATTGCAAGTGGCGCACAATAGGAAATTATCGCAATTTTGCGTATAATATTACTCGCGGAAAAGTATATAACTATACTATTTGTGCAATTATTTACAATAAATTTGTTTGTTTTTATGAAAAAAACAACAACAAAAAACGAAAAAAACAAAACAAACTACAATGTAATTAGATATAAGTACTTCTCTCTTCGGCAAAATATTTGGAGCTTGTCTGATTCATCACAGACTACTCATCACCAAGGTAAGATCCGAGTGCTGTTGTTTTATATAGAGAGCAGGCCCCGGATACCAAACTACTCCTTCGTCGCTGAGGAGTTAAGCAACAACCGCAACCTACGACTCAGCTGCCGATGACCTGACTAAAGTCGAGGGGAGTGGCTCTACAGAGTAAGCAGAGACGACGAGGAAAGTGTGCTACGGTGAGCCCATATCACAGAGTGTGACAGCTTGAAAGATAGGACCTAGTTGGCTTAACAAACCTTTGAAGGGCTATTATCTCAGATTAATTAGTGTATATTTTGGTTCTCACTGACCGTCGACACATAATCTATTTTTGGCTCAAAATTCATATCTTTGGCTAGTACTCTGAGGAAATTGCATGGGGGTAAATTATCACCATTTTGTGCTTCAAAATAAATCCTTTAAGCACATGAGTATACTCGCATGACTGGTGACGTGTCCGGGGTCCGTACTCTCGCACGCACGCACAGACAGTCAGTCAGACATACATACATCATAATGATACTGAAATATACTTTGTATTCCTTTGAATGTCAAATATATATAGGATATTGAATGAATGTTATATAGTTTAAACTGAATTTATTGAATGAGTTATATAACGAATTATCATATTTTATTTACCACATACTAGTACTTTTTTCATTGACACGCTTATAGTGTAACGCTAACATTTAGCGTGTCTTTACGTTTGTATTTCGCAAATGACGTCACGGCCATGCAATACTATTTTTACAGCTGAGTATATGATAAATATACATATGTTATACATTATGATCTATATCTTAAACTTAATAAGGTTTGTATCAAATAATTTCTGCATTGCAGCAAAATAATGGTTCCTGAATATATATATCGGCATCATTGTATCAAAAAATGTCTTCTATTAGTATCCCCATGTTGCCACATTGTATCAGATACTTGCTCCTTTTTGTATTCTAATGTTGCCAGATTGTATGAGATACTTGCTCCTTTTTGTATCCCCATGTTGCCACATTGTATCAGATACTTGCTCCTTTTTGTATCCTAATGTTACCAGATTGTATGAGATACTTGCTCCTTTTTGTATCCCAATGTTGCCACATTGTATCAGATACTTGCTCATTTTTTGTATCCCCATTTTGCCACATTGTATCAGATATTTGTTCCTTTTGTATCCCGATGTTGTCACATTGTATCAGATACTTGCTCCTTTTTTGCATCCATATATTGCCACATTGTATCAGATACTTGCTCCTTTTTGTATTCCGTTGTTGTCATATTGCATGAGATACTTGCTCCTTTTTGTATCCCATTGTTGCCATATTATATCAGAAACTTGCTCCTTTTTGTATCTCCATGTTGCCACATTGTATCAGATACTTGTTCCTTTTTGTATCCCAATGTTGCCACATTGTATCAGATACTTGCTCCTTTTCTTATCCCAATGTTGCCAGATTGTATCAGATACTTGCTCCTTTTTGTATCCCCATGTTGCCACATTGTATCAGATACTTGCTCCTTTTTGTATCCCCATGTTGCCACATTGTATGAGATACTTGCTCCTTTTTGTATCCCCATGTTGCCACATTGTATCAGATACTTGCTCCTTTTTGTATCCCCATGTTGCCACATTGTATGAGATACTTGCTCCTTTTTGTATCCCCATGTTGCCACATTGTATCAGATACTTGCTCCTTTTTGTATCCCAATGTTCCCACATTGTATTAGATACTTGCTCCTTTTTGTATCCCCATTTTGCCACATTGTATCAGATACTTGCTCCTTTTGTATCCCCATGTTGCCACATTGTATCAGATACTTGCTCCTTTCTGTATCCCCATGTTGCCACATTGTATCAAATAATTTCTCCTTTATATCCCCATGTCGCCAGTGTTTCAATAATTTCTCATATTAGTATATATCCTGCACGTTGCCACATTGTATCAAATAATTTCTCCTTCTTTATCCCTACGCGCCAGTGTAACAAAAAATTTCTCATATAAGTATATATCCCGCACGTTGCCACATCTTTGTACCATGCATGAAATAAATTCTCTTTTACCTTTCTCCTACGTTGTCACCTGTTGCCAAATTGTATCAAATGATTTATTCTGTGTGCTAGGTAAAACAGTCCCAATAATGTAAGGGAGGGAAAAGAATAACTACAAAGTAAGTATTATGAAAAATACTGAAATGTTTAGAAGGCCACGACGCTTTTTATGACGGTATATTTCCATGTGTTACCTTTTTAAAAAGATATCATTATTATTATTATTATTATCATTATCATTATCATCATCATCATCATCATCGTCATCCTCATCATCATTTTCATCCATTTCATGTGTTGTTTTATTTCATTTGTAAATTGTAAATGTGTATACTTGTTTGAAATAAACCTATTATAATTATTTATGTGCAAATGTAAAAAAGGGGGAGCTGCGCGCGCTTGAAACCACTATTGCATTTAACTTAAGCTTGATAAAACAGAAGATTTTAAACAGCGGAGAATGGAAAATAAATTCAATTGACAATCGTTGGCAAAATTTAATGACAAATGCTTATCAGGAATATATCATAATATTAAGTTTGTTTCAACACTCCTTGACAATAACCTTTGCTTCATTACCAACCAAAATTGGCAAGGATTTAGAAACAATCTTTTTTAATTTAACTATAATGTATATTGTTTGAAATGAATGGCCGTAATCTATACAGAAACATAGATAGCATTTAAAATAATACGCTTAGTTTTGCTTTAAGTGTGCAAAACATTTGATTTTTGGACAATAAGATTTTAATATCGGTTATCGATTAATGTATACAAACTATACATTACAAACAAAAACTTGGGACTTTAAATGTATGACTTAACCTTAACCACGGGTAGTAAAATACTTCAATACCAATTTATGCGTACATACCTAATTGGAAATGGAAAGTGTGTTGTCGTAAAGTATAAGTATTTGCTATTGTGAAGTACGCGTTGCTAGGTACGGGGCGTTTGTCGCGTTCAACAAACTCTTCTTTTATTTTATTGGAGGAAGTTACGTAAACATAAATCTTACACATTGAAAAACAGTTTTTGAACAAAGGATTGGTTTTAAATATTGAATGTGTTTAAAGAATATTCTGACACAACTTTTGGATTAAATTCGGAACAAAATGGCGGCAGCTGGGAAAGGGGGCGCAGCTCCTTCTAACGCAGCTTCGAAGTGCAACTTTGTGGCACAGGATCAAATTTGGTTAGTATCTTAATTTCTTAATCGATGTCTTTAATGCATTAAAGGCACATTAAGGTTCACATGTGAATGTTTGTTTCTTTTTGAGACAGGGCAAATATGTACGTGTTTTATACTGTTTAAGTAATACATTTTAAGCATGTTAGATGTTTATCACTTGAAAAAAGTATTAACAAATGTAAAATAACTTCTCATAAAAGTAGCAAAATGTTAACAAAGTGGTATTTTGGCTGCCAAAAAAAATCTTAATCAGCATAACTATGCTAAATTCTAAAATGTAAAAGAAGCAAAGAATGGCTAATCTAAATGGCCAGTGATAACTTTTAGACAACAATTATTATACATAAAAGTTTTGAGAAATAAAAGTTTATCTTATTTTGGAGCATATTGGGCCTTAAGTATAAAACTAACGTTAATTCTGTTGTTGTTTTAGTTTCTGGTGTTTTATTGTTTACCTTAAACATGAATGAAACTACTATTTTATATGTATTAGGAAATTAAAATGAACAGAAGGATAAATATTTTAATGAAAAAAAAACTAGTTTTTTTATATCAAGCAAATTAGTGGGTGACCAAATCATTGGAAACAGGAAAAATAATCGAACCAAGAGATATCATTAATTTATTTAGCAACTGGCCCATGAACTTAGAAACTACTATATATACATGTCTCTATACATCGAGAATCATACTGTATGTTTGTTTAAAACATTGATCGTAGTGAAATGTTTAGTGCGAGACTGGGAAGACAGATATACGAAATCAATCCGGTAAACAAACCATTATTGATGTGTCCCTCTCTTATAATGCCAATTTTATATTCATGCTATATATAGACCTATTGTTAATCAAGTTAACTTCTATGCATAGCATTATATTTCTCTTCCCTACCATGAATTTTTAATAACTATTCGGAAAAATAAAGTTTAGGGAGGACAATCACGTCATACGCGTGTGGACGCGGTAGAACTCAAATTAATAATTTTGTCGCATTATTTTCGATTGACTTAGTAATGCCAAAATCTGTTCAAATGACATCCATTCCTGTAGTTTGCCATTTTTACATGTATGCTGTATATTAACATGGAATCTAAAAGTACCCAACATGAACCAACTTAATAAAACAACGCAAAGTTGCGTACGCTAAAGTAGATTTGTTCAGAGGGGAAGAAAGTCAGTTAGAAGTTTCGTGCATTTATGATTATTACTTAGAGAAAATGACCGAAAATGTAGACCATTAATCATTTACTCTGAAGCTCTCTTTAGACAACATATATATTATTCAAATTTAAGATAAATTTGAAAACCTGAATTTAAAATGCAATAAGGCATCGTTGCAAACGTCACTCGTTGCATAACACAACGGTCAAGTGGTCATATAGTCAAATACTGACATTAATTCATAACAATTGTACAATGAACGGTTCATAAAACTTTCATTTGAATTATTTCGATAAGCATTTAAAACGATTCGTTCTTAACACATTATAGTTGTCAATAGATTAGCAGACGACTGGGGAAATGTTTTTCGTTTAGGATAATCCTGCTATTGCGGCTATATAAAGAAGGGGGGGGGGGGTATCAGTCAGTTTAAACATTAATTCCGTTGAAAAGGCTGTGTGTTTATCTAGCCACTCGTTCGCAATTTACAATATGGATTAGAACCATTTATAATCTGATAATTTACGGGGATTATTTATGAGATTTATAGATGTCTAATATTTATTTGGGCCACTATCTATGTGTATAGGTAAACATACCCCCAACATTTATAGCAGCAGTATTTGTAATTTACTTTTCGTATCAGGAATCTCACTAACACAATATTTAGGGTTACATATTTCTATCGTAAGTTTATCAAAAGATATTTCAATAATTTCATGCATGTGTATGCTATTCTTTAAAAAAATGAAAAAAAAATGAAAGAATTTATGTGTAGCTATTTTTATAACCTTGATACTTGCAAATAAAAAATAATCCAATGTAAAATACGATATTGGTGAATAACTTTTCTCAAACATCGTTTTAAACCTAATAGACAGTACCAGTTTACCTAATTTATAGCAGTTTTGCATTATCACTTTTTTTCTAATTTCCAATTCTAAATTCTAATTTTTAGATTTTTCCATGAATAATTTTGAAGTGAAATTAATGTACAAACATGTATTACAATCAACTTCTTGTCTGACTTTTTAAAGTTCAAACATTCCTATGTATTTGTATTAAGAAAAGCGTTTTCATTTGAAATGTGTGTTCGGAGATTCTATTATTGTAAAAATAATCAGAAGAAACGCTTCATCACTCTAAGGATTATATCAATTGATATATTATGTTAAAAAAGATGTAAAACATAATTCAGACATATAATATGCATAAAATAATGAAAGGTCAACAACATTTGATATCTAGTTAATTAAACAGGTCAGTTGAAATAAACAAATGAGCCAAGCCGATAAATAGCTAGCAGATGGATTCACTTTCCGTTTTAAAGAATGTTTTCAATAATAAAATATCCTTCTATATGTTTAAGTTTATATATTCCCAACGACACTGGGGTTTTGGGAGCTCAAAACGCCTTTAAAATCAAATAAAATACATATTTGTCAATCCGCAAGCACATGTACTGATCATATATATCAAAAACCTTAAATATAAGCCGTTTTGGAAGAAAAAAATCATATTTCAAAATCTATAATAATACAACCTATACATCTATTATAATAAATGTGTGTATTATTATAGATGTTGAAATATGATTTTTTTTTCAAAACGGATTATATTAACTTTTTTTTCTTTCATGATATATCATATAAGCGTTTGTATGACAAAACTAATGTATATTATACGATCTACACTATTCCAGGAAAGACCATGTTAAGCTGGAAGAAACGGCAGCTAAGTACTGGCCAGACAACTGGAATTTCCTGACCACCAAATACGAGGACGTAAGTTCACATACTGAAATGCTAGAACTTAAATACATTTATCTATGATAAATAATTAAAGCTGCCAATTATCAAAAAAATTGTCTCTTGAGGGGAAAATCAAGTCTAGAAAGTTCGAAAGTTTATTTATTATAGCCCTTGCCAGAAGTTATAAGCCTTTTATCGTTTAAATTCCTTAAAACTGAAATTACAGGTGTTCGGCGTGACTTGCATTATACCCTTGTTCCCCCTCTACAACCCAAACCCTTAAATCATCCAAACATCATAAATATTGACAAAAATCAATCATGTGAAGAAAAAAAATGACTCTACTTAGAACCAAACACATGTGGCTAAAGTTCTGTTTCAGCAAAATCGCAGGTTAAGGGTCCTTCAATAATTTGTTCATTTACAATGCTTTGTGTAAACTAATAAAACTTATTGAAACAAACAAATATGTACAGAACCAGATAAATATTGCATTTATCATTAGAATACGGGATGCCCATGGCCGATTGATTTAGGGTCGTTGACTTCAAACCACTTGGCCCTCACCGCTGCAGGTTTGAATCCGCTAGGGACTTTGGCTTCTTTCTTGTGAGAAAGCTATCCAGCTAGCTTACGGAATGCCAGTAGTTCTACTCAGGCCCCGCTCGTGCATGTAATGGCACCCGAGGTCTTGGAAAGTCGCCATACGACCTCTTCTTAATTGGCGCAACCTACCCCCGCCCCCAAAGTAAAAAGCTGAAATTTCTTTGAATATAAATATTAATTGCTTGAAAGTTTTAATGTTTTGGCGAAACACTGTTTGCTAGGAAAAAGAAATCATCAGTGAAGCACATATCATATTGTACAATTTTTCATCATTGAATTTTATTGAAGTAGATGTACATATAGATATGTTTGCTAAACAATTATAAAAGTAATATGCTGTGCGTTTTCTGTTTTGTATAGTTTACATTTCTTGCCTTACAGTTAGTAAAAGACGATATGCCAAAAAAAGAAAAACGACACAAAGATGTGGAACCGATGGAAGCCCATCCTGTTACACCAATAGAAAAGTATATCAAAGTTGATCCGTCTCCTAGACCATATCCGAAAACTACTGCACAAAATATCGGCTGGCGGTCATCACACAGAGAGCACGCGCTGGATAAATATGGAAGATATGCTAATCCAAAGGGTGGTCTCGTGCGCCAGCTAAACTGGCCATCAGAGGCTATTTCCTAATATAAACTCTATTTAGATTATCTATAATTTTATATTTATTGTGCTTATATGTTACTAGTTGTTGCAAGTGTGAAATGGACAATGCCAAGTGCCGTCGTTCTTTGTAGACTGTTTTCAAGAAACAACAAGATTTAAATATCTTCTGCAGAGCATCGAAGAAAGCAATAAAGATGAAACAAGAAAAAACAACAACAACAAAATCAGACACAATAACTGAAAACGTTCATATATCTTTTCTTCAGAACCATATTTTTTAAAGATCACGCGAAAACGAGTAATGCTTTAAAAAGTTATTGGCTTCTTTTTGACGTCCCAGCAAAATAAAGTTTTGACGTTACAATTTCATATCTGTGACGTCAAGATGTTTGGCTTTGTCCATTCTGGTCATACATTCATCATAATTATCTTAGAAACTGTCTTTTAATAGTCTTTCCGTGTATCTTATAAAGTTAGGTGCTCTAATCAGAGCAACACAAATCATGTTAAGCAGACGTTTTCTCAAAATAAATCAGGAACGGAACGCGATGAATTTGCCTTATGTAAACAAGATATTGATGAATGTATGACCTGGAGATAACATGAGTGATGTGACAAAAGTTTCTATATTATCCTATCAATACATATAAATGTTATTATGTGATAACTATGTGATAACAATTGTGATAACTCGTGCAACCTTGCAATACGTTCATTTATTTACACTTAAGTCAGTATTATTAGATGTCGTTATGTGTAAACGTGTACATATATATACATTTTGTATTTTGATATAATTTTGTCCAGCAAGGGTGCAAAATGTTTTTTTTTATATCCGAATGATGTATGAATGTAAGTTTTTATCACAGTTTTTATTATATGTAATAAAGATTTAAATCGTTGAATTGATCGAATTTTGTTTTCACTCTCTTGAAACAGCTCCACAAATATTTTTAAAAAAAACGTATTTCAAGCTACATTGAATTATTCTCTTTATTGAATACATGTACTATGAAGTTTTGTATTTACAAGCTCATGTCTAACAAAAACAAACGATTAAGCAAAGAAATCCTTAACGCCACATGCATTGTAAGATGTGCTCCGGCAAAAAAAAAAAAAAAAAAAAAAAAGAAAAGGACCTTAGATTTGATTCGTTGTTTCTTGTCTGCGTAACTTTATTTTGCTCTTTCATGAACAAGCTAATGAAGTTCTGCAAAAATACAAATATAATGTGTATAACAAGAAATGTTAAAGTCCTTGGTAAGGGTCACATAAGAACAGATCAAATGGATGCAGACCTTTATTCTGAAGCTGATGGATTATTTTACATTTTGGAGGAAATGATGTTACACCAACATATTCGCCTGGAGATATATGCGTATGGTTCAATAAAATATGTGCGGGTGAAGAGGAAATTTTTACCAAATGTGCTGGACTATCAAAAGACATATTTGAGAACAGCGAAAACAAATAAACAAGTCCTGTGAATTTTACTCGAATAACCAACACATTACATGATATCCGTACATGGCACAATGTCTGTACGTTTTTATGAACAACGTCATTAGCGGGTCAACGTCAAGTACATTTTTTTAAAGATTTTCTGCCGCACACAATACAACGTTGGTGTCTTTGTGAATACCGCTTTCTTATGCCATGGAGATCTGGAAAGAGGGTGGTCCCTTGGAAGCATAATTCACAACAAAATTACATGACTCGGTTTGATTGAGTGTGTACATAAAGGATAATGAAAAAAAGTGCAACATCCCTCATGCCCCCTAGCACCGGCTTGAGCGGTACACAATTTTCAACACTTAAAAGTGCTGGAATCCAAAAAAGTATTTTACAATCAGAGATATTCAGATCATTGGAGATAATCTAACACGACATTCAGTGCGTGTGTGCGTGCGTGCGTGTGTGGCACTTTGAGTTCCTTCTTTTTAGTTTTTTTAACTAAAGTGGTTCCAGTATTCCTTACTTGAGAACTGTATAATCACCAAACGGATATGTGGTCTGATTTTTAAATTGTTCTTTTGACAGCTTATCTAAAGCCTCTGATCCCTTTTCAAAATTCCATTTTATTTAGTTCTCACGTATTCTAATACTTGTTGACGATACGTCACTTCTCATGAAAGGGCACTAATGTGTCACATTGAAGGTTTCCACGATAACCATTATAAACACATCTGCGGATGTTTCAAAATTCCAAATTTCACCATGTCCATGTTTAAATGTTGTATTCTGTATAAGCCGGTGCTAGAGGGCATACTGTCTATGAAAAGGCCCAATCAAAGCTAGCTTTCCAACTATGTTGGTGGTTCTACTAACGTGCATGTTTGTGCCTTAAGTAATGCTACAAGGGGCACCTGTTACCTTCCTCTACCTGCAAAGCTGGAAAGTCGCCATATGGCTTTTACAGTGTCGGTGTTACTACCATATGACAACTTGTCTATGTTATGGAGGCTTCTTAACTTTTAATAGCCTTTCAAAATTTAGGAGTTAGAAATCCTACTTAGGACTTACAAACCCATGATAACGAGTTTCTTTTTCCTATTAAGGAATTTACAAACTTCTGATTATGTGCTATTTTCTTTAAAAAAAATTTAATTTGTAACTGTCAATGAAGTTTAAAATGCCGTATTAGGAGAATTTATACACTTATGAGTAGTCAGTAGAAACAAAATCCTAATTAAAAGCCTATTGAGCAGTTGGAGAGATTTAAGTATGATTTTATTTCTTAGCTCCTAATTAGTGCATGAAAGTACTAACTAATTATCAGAGTTACAAGGTCGTAATTAGGCTGATTTCTCCTAATTAAAAGTTAAAAAGCCTAATAAGTTGCAACTGGGAGTCATAAAGATCTAATAAGGTTTTTCTTCTGTTTAGAAGTAACAAAGTACTAATTAAGCGTTTATTACTCCTAATTAAAAGTAAAGAAGTCCTTATTACGAGTTTTTATGTAGAAAATTAAGGACGCTTCCGTAGAAAAAAAGAAAGAATTCCTGAACCCCCAAACTACAAAAATTGAAAATATTGAAGAGTAAGTTTAGTCGGTTCGAAACAATACGAAAAACGTCATGTTTTTAGAGATTTTCGACCGTGCGACCACATACACGCATCGAGGACATGTTGGAAGGAAAGTGACCGTGCGACCACATACACGCATCACATGATTCCCCTTCTCATACGAGAAAGGGACAAATAGCTGTCCGCCCTTTTATCAAAGGTCTGACTTTAAAAATATGCGTTTTCCTGTTTGTGTCTTGAATTGGTATATATACAAAAATAGTTATGCAAACTAAGCGGGTATCAGTTTTCGTCCTTTTCAGTTCGCTATGAAATTTCAAGAAGATCATATGTAATTTCAAGGAAAATCTTGACTTTAAAGTTTTTTTCTACTTTTCATTTTATGTCAATATGGGAATTGTTTAATTTCTGCAAAACATGAACGTTTCAAAAACGTTTTATATGCATTAAATGTGAAAGATATTTTTCACACTTTGTTTGCAAATATTGCCTGGGGGCGTTTTTTGCCAAATTCGGCATTTAATTTCTTAAATGACTTATCCTACTTGCAATAGAAAAGGTAATGTCATGGACTGCAAGAAAAAAGTAGGTTAAACTTAAGCAGCCGACACTGCTGAAACGGGTAAGACTGTACAGATTTGCAAGCCTAATCATTAACCGTACATGTAACATATTTACAACCACTTCAAGGTGGTGGTGGTAGTTTAACCTCGGGATCATGGCTGTAAGCCACTTTAAATTCACCGGAGAACAGTTTAGCCACCCATGCTGTCAAAATTTTTACATGTACGAGAGTCTCCACTTTCGCAAAGAACTAATAGCTTTTTAATATGCCAGAGCAGAGGTCCAGAGGGGTCTTTATTCTTCACGAGGGTCATTTTTTTTCCGTGTGGGGAGGTCATAATACGTTGATCGGGGGGTCAAAATATTAAGACTGAGGAGTTGGTCATAATTCCGGTACATTGCTGTCTGACCATGGTCGACACAGTTCATCATTCAGTCATTACATATGAAAATTTCCCTATATACGATGCATAGTCGTGTCCAGATTGAAAAATGGACACGTTCGTATAAGATATTGAGCGTGGTAAGAGATTAAGTGGCCTAATAGAAATTGTCTTACGTCTATATGCACTGTAACAGTCTGTAAGCTACAACTGCTTAAACAAAATGATATTCATTTGTTGATAAATGAACGACGACGAGAATTATATCTAGAGTAAATATAACTACTCAATTTATCTTCAGACGATAAACAAACTTTACCGATTTTATAACAACAGATTTTGATACAAAGATTTGAAATACAAATACAATTTTAAAAACATTAAAGAAATGAAGGACATATTATTTTTTCTAAGTCTGGTGACTTGCGGTAAGTCTACATTAAGTCTGTCTATTTTTGTTAATGAAAATCATCATCGTTAAATTTAGAAAATGTTTAACAGCTACCTATATATAGCTTAATTAACGTTGCAAGTCTATTTGAAATTTAAAATCTTAAAATTTAAGTTAAATCTTATTGATTGCCATGTGCAATATGGACATTTGAATGAAGGGTTCACAAAGGAACGGCCGTTATTTTTAGAAGTGAACCCTTCATTCAAATGTATATTCAAAGCTTTATGTTTACGTTTAAAGTTCTCTTTAAACTGACATATTTTTGTATAATAGTAATTCAATATATGAAATATCATTAACGAAGCTGAAAAATCTCTTTCTCAATATTGCGACAGGTTTAGCGCTCTATGTTGACCAAGGTATTCCGTACAATGATGGTCCACTGAAAGTTGGGGAGTTGACAGTATCTATTACAGTGGATGCCAGCCCTAAACATGTGAAAGGTAAGACTTTTTATCTGTATAAAAATAAGATTCACGTTGTGATGCAAAAAAATTAAAAAAAAAACCAAAAAAAAAAACAGTAGAATTTGATATGAAAAACAAAACAAATATTACAAGAATAAGTTTGATAAACAGTAGGCCGAAAGACACACCTCTTTGGTCCAGTTTTCAGTTGATTTTTAAAGATTGTCTAACGTTTTTTCATTATTTTATAGTCCGATAATTGCTGCTGAAACTTTTGACAACTACACGTACTCCCCCTCACAAAAAAGAAAGAAATTAATTATCGGAAACGTTCGAAGTTATATTTTCACACACTCTTTTAGCCAAGTGTTTGTATGATGTTGACTTTGCTGTAATGACAATATACTATGTTTTTAAGTATATTTCCCACTGGAAGTTGGCGACTACGCAGTGATATATTTCCTCGGTGGCCTAAACACACTTGTCCCCGCCGAGTTCTACAGTATATTTCTCACCAAACTAGCGTCACATGGCTTCTTCGTGTTTGGCGTGGACTATGATTACCCACTGATGCACCGTGGATTACGATTGAATCCGACTGTTGGTCAAGACATTGACAAGTACTTCAAAGAAATTGAATTTGTAAGACCTTTTAATCATTATTATTATTTTTATATCAGTGTAAAAGAATATTTCACAAATGAAACATTTTTGCAATAAAAGTACATGTATATAATTTATACAGCCGGAGAGACTCCATTAAAAAATAGCTAAAGCTACCGTAACAACAGTTACTGGAATGAATTTCTTTATCTTGAATTCTTGAGGGTTCTGTTCGGTGGTTCTGTGTTGGTACGACGTAAAAACCAATCAAAAAAGGAAAAAATAAACAACAAAATGAACAAACAAACTTTTGCTTATCAGATGTATTCTCGTTTGGCTTATTTCACCATCGATTCGAAAATTGTAAAGTCGTAAACTTATTATTTATATATTATTATATTATTATTATTATTATTATTATTATTATTATTTATTTATATATTTTCTTGTTTATTTACCAATGTTTAGTTAATGAAATATATGGACAATAAAACTGTGTCTGTACCACGATGGGACTACGTTGGTCTGATGTGCCATTCAGCCGGATGTGATGTTTCCATTCGTATGATCGAAACGGAGAAATATCCGTTTATAGTTAGTAAATATTTTGTCATTTTACAGATTTCGTATAATTTAAGTTTTCAAATGAATTTAATTTTTCTTCTTGGTAGTGTATCGTGGCGTCCGCACTAATTAAGTCTGTATTGAAAGAGCAAGGATTAAGATGTGTCCTGGAAACACATTCTAAATGATCCAATGATTTTCTAGTATTTCTGTGATGTCATCACTTTCACGTACTTCATTATCATGTAAAATAATTGACATTATAGTTTGTGATTAAATTCGAGTGCAAATCGTTTCTATTAATATTTTTCGTAGTCCTCCAATGTCATAGGGAGCCGGCACAGTATTTGGCTAGCATATAAAATACTTATTTGAACACTTGAAAACACTAGAAAAAAATCTTATCATTAAATATCATATAGACTATACAATATGTAATGGTAAGAACTTTTATTCTAGTGTGTTCAGGTGTTCAAATAAGTATTTTATATGCTTCCCAAACACTGTGCCGGCTCCCTTTGTCCAAGATAACTTGCTGACTTACTCAGTTTTACAAATTCAATGTAAATAAAATTGTAAATAATGAAATGTATTATTTCACAGTCCACGGCATTCCTGGAGCCATACAGTCAGATAATCCGACAACCTGTAAACTATACAATACCCGGTCTAATGTATGGTACACAACTGGCCGAGGAGGGTTTCCCACCTTGTAATATTAAAGGATATGATTTCGAACAGTTTTATGAACAGTGGAAATGTCCCAGAATTGCCATAGAAGCAGCGGTATGTTAGTGTTAAAATATAGATTATTTTTCCTAGAATATTATCTTCTCTACTGAATAGTTATGTACAGTGGTGTTGCCATTAATAGTAATTAATGTATTACGCATGAAACATTACGCAGCATGTCTGAATATAATATTTCTATATTTTCTTCTCTCTCTACACTCAAAGACATATTTCAGGCGATGGCTTTGCAAAATGCCTATAATATTAAACTTTGGCTAAGAAGATGTTTAGGTAAATGGATGAATTAATAATGCTTTGCAAAGTACTTGTAACATGAAAACTCATTCTATCTTTTATAAAATAAATTTAAATTTGCAGTTAAAACATATCTTATTTTCTTGATAATTTTTTCCCAGGATTTTGGTCATTGTGACATATTGGATCCGCTTGGCTGGGAAGGTAACTGTCTTTGGTATATCTTATAATGTCAATGAATTCTGATTTTCAATTTCACCAATTTCAGATAATTGTCAGTTATTTGTTATGTAATACATGTATTATGTCAATTATTGTTCATGCTATATTTTTTCTGTAAATCTTTTACTTTACATGTATAGTTTTAGTTTTCTTTAAAGCTTCGAAAATAAGATATTTTAAGGGAGATGTCGTTACTGAATTTCCGACTTTTGTGAAACACGTTTCTTTGGAGAACAAGGTGGTGTGTTTAAACATTTGATAAGCTTTGTTGCTTGAAAATGTATGGACACATTACTCAGTACTTTTAAAAAGTGTTGTTATCTTAGTTAACAGTGTATTTTGTTATTGATTGATTAAATAATTGACTAATTAATATTTATTCTAACACCACTCGCATTTTTACGAAAGCGTTCTGGTGCCAAATTAACATGTTCTAAAAAAATGATAAACTCCTGCGTAGGAGATATAAAAGCCTAATTAGGAGTTTGTACTACGTAGGAGTTTGTAACTCCTTCGTAGGAGATAAAAAAAAGTCTAATTAGGACTTTGTAACTCCTACGCAGGATTTTTTAAGCGCTCTTCTACGAAGGAATTATAAAGTCCTACGTAGGAGTTACAAACTCCTAATTAGGCTATTTTATCTCCTACGTAGGACTTATAACGTAGGAGTTTAAAAGTCCTACGTAGGAGTTAAAAAGTCCTACGTAGGAGTTAAAAACTCCTACGTAGGAGTTATAAACTCTTAATTAGGCTTTTTATCTCCTACGTAGGAGTTACAAAGTCCTAAGTAGGAGTTATCAATTTTATAGAACATTTTAAATTGGCACCAGGACGCTTATGTGCATTTTCCCTATTGAAGATACAGGGACAGATAGTACTTGTAAAATAATTCCTGACATTCGAACTCCAAACAGTGACTTAACTTAGCGATAAAATAACTTTTGAAATATATTATTTCTTGATTATAATCTATTAAAGGTTGTCACGTGACCCACTTCTGTAAGACGACAAACAACACAAGACTTGACATATATCGTCAATTTGTTCAGGGTGTGATGGCAAGTTTCTTCGTCTCCACACTTCAAGGGCGTGAGGGTGTTATAGAATATATCACTGACCCATCAAAACTAATCTTAAAATGTTTGGTATCCAAGTCGGACATTCACTGTTGATGATGTAATACTGAGATGTCATAAATTTTAAAGTTGAACGGAATATGTCATTAATATCTCATTTTGTGTATTTGTCTTCTATTTTTAACGAAAACGCTCTGTTTGATAAGTAAATCAGTGACTTACATGACGTTAGTGAAAGTCTTTTTCCGGTGTAACCACTTATGTTAAAGTTTTTGTAACACATCAAATATTTTCTAAGTCCATTGACATATGGCTTTGAAACTTTGCACACTTGTTCAAGATCATACCCCCAACCTGTAGACAGGAGAAGGTAACTCTATCAAGCATTTTGACAGAATTTTGCCCCTTTTTCGACTTAGAATTTATGTTAAAGTTTGTGTACCACCTCAAATATTTTCAAAGTCCATTGACATTCAAAGTCCATTGAAACTTTGAAACACTTGTTCACCATCATGCCCCAAACCTGAAGACAGGAGAAGGTAACTCTATCAAGCAAACGGATTTTTTTCCTTATTCGACTTAAAATTCACTTTCAAGTTTGCATGCCACATAACTACTCAGATATTTTCAAATTCCATTGACACCTGACTTTGAAACAAGTTGAAATTTTATACACTTCTTTTATAATAGGACTCTCTCCTATAACTGTAACATGGAAAAAGTTGACCCTTTTGTTAACTTAGAAATTTTTTACATTATTTAGACTCTTTTACAATCAAGCACTAAGAATAGTCGAGCGTGCTGTCCTACAGACAGCTCTTGTTGTTTTTGTTGTTGTTGTTCTCACACAGCAATATCATTGGTAAATGGTATTACCACTTTATTAACTACATTATTCTGTATAACCGCTTCTTGAACTGCAAGGTCGGAAACCCACGATCGAACCGTTAACATTAATCATTTATATTTATTTGCTTACATGTTTATCAACCGTGAGTATCAGGCGGTGCATGGGTGTTGATTATATTTTTTTTTTGGATTCAGAATTTATAATTATGCATATACTTGTATACATCGTCAATTTGGATTTTAATTGTGTACTGTTGGTTGCCTTGGCCTTTTTTAGGACAGTGTCTATGAATATATTAACAGAGACCGAACATTTAAAAATAAATGCATTCTATTTTAACATCTTCACGTCTAATTGAACTGAAAGTCATTTTACATCAACATGTTCGGTGTTAAATTTTCACCCACTAACCTCGTTTTAATAATATATAATTACCTTCCTTTTCTTTTCTGGAGAATAGACAGTTACAATACTTGAGTTTTACTGTAAAACATGCGAGTCATGCGTATGCAAAATCATTATCTTTTTACTATGTAGAAGACGTTTATTTATAAACATATATATGTATGTCTCATACAGTTCATTGCCATAACACATAACACATATACGATCATCAGTGTCAATACGTGCATTTTAAATTAACATATCGATCTATTTATGTGCAGTGAATAAATCTGGCGTTTTAAATTGAAACATATCGATAACTTTTTGTCGTTCATAAAAAAATCTTCTTTTCGATTATTGGAAGAGCTGCCACTTATTTTAATTAATTGAAATCAGCGGTGTACTGTCGATACTTTGCGTACATATGTGTGCGGTTTTTTAAATTGTTTTGTGTTTTTTTTTTGTTTTTTGTTTTGTTTTTTAATTTGCTTATGTGTACAATTACAGCTTGAATTTGCTATTCCTTTTATTATTACATCAATATTTTTGACAAATACGGGTGTTTTAAAAGCATACTATTCATCGCTCTGTGAGTGTGGAGACCCTGGTTCGAATTCAGGAAAAGGCATTTTTCATTTCATTGTTTTTAGATGTTTTTCAACTAACTGGATTTTTGAACATAAGTTTTACACAGATTCGCTTTCAACAGACTGAGTTAAAGTGAAGTCGATAATTAGGGTGAAAATTGACTAAATGAGCCGAAATTGTGTTCAACATAAGGCAAATGGAATTTAGAATTTCAAATACATGTAGAATAAAATTAGAAATACTATTCAATCTGTTCAATAAGTGCAAAGAAATCAAATACATTTCTGTTATAAGTTTAACTTTCAATTGTGAAAAACATTAGATTAATTACAGGTTTATAAAAGAGATAATTGAAACTCACGTGACGAACTTTTCTCGCCGAGGCGCCAGACCTCTACCGTTGGTCCATTGCCCTAGATTCAAGAGGGAGGTCTGGCGCCTACTTTCAAAAGTTATAATAAAAGAATTCACAAAAAAATATTTAAAAAATGAAAGTTAAAACCATACCCTAAAAATGTGCGCAAATGCATAACTAACAGAACTGGCTCCTTTGCGATTTTGCAAGATGACGGAACTGGTTTATTTGCGATGATGCTATGTCAATCTATGTCTTAAGTACCAGTTAGATAGGTGCAATGGTCTCAATATATTAGTAAGTCGATCTGTACGTTTAATTTTTTCTTCAATTTTTTTAAACGCATAAACCCAACTTTCTTCGACCGACGTTACTGAAATAAACGAAAACAACAGAAAAATGCGGTTATTTCAAGGATGAATAATGCGGTGTCCAAATATACAAAAACAGGTTATTATTAAAGTGGTACTACAATATTGATTCTATACATATTTATATTGTATTTTGATCAGTCATGTGAGCTGAACGCACTAGAAAGGCGTTATATTTCGTAATCAAAGCAATATTATTCTCACTATGCCCCAACTGTACTTAGTGAAGCATTTTTATGGTGGCTAATTTCTGCCATTTCGTGTTTTCGTGTCGTCGCCCCTAAAAAGGCGAAGGCGAAGACACGATAAAATCCTCACTGGCGTAGACAATCTTTGTATCGGCGCCCTATATTTGTCGTGTCGCCGTGTCCTCTTCTCAAATTGCGAAATGGAAAGATTTCTACCCGCCAGCACGATAATTTTGCAGAAAAAAATCTCGTGTCTTCGGCTATTAAAATATCGTTATTTCGCCTAAAATACATCGTGTCTTCGTATCGGCGCCCTCAAAAGTCGAAGGGGGAGACACGATAAGTGAGCATATTATCGTGACTTTTGAGGGGCGAAGATACGAACTGGCAGAAATCAGCCACCATACATTTTGCATGTAGTAAAGAGAAATAAACTTCAAATGAACTGACATATTTTACCTTGTTTTGGGGAAAACTATCTTTATCTTTCTGCTCGTCTGCAGGCTTGACATCCATTTTGTACGACAGAAAGATACGGTGTCACTGTCAGAAGTAAGATATTTTGACGCTGCGCGCAAAAGTTGTTGTAAACGCTCTTTCTACGTGAAACTGGTACTGGTTCATTGGCGATGGTATGTAAGATGACAGTTGATTCAAGATTTAGCCAGGGATGAAATAAATTGCATAAATCTATACATAGCTGTTACCTACTATCTGAACTCAACTGATTCAGATAATACAATATCGTTTTTGTCTGCAACATCTGTGAGAACTGCACGATCTGTCATCTTTGCAAAATATGTTGCGGATTGTCGATATGCGACGAGATATTTATTAAAATCATTTTAAACCGTTTATTTGTTATAAGTCGAGCGTTACCCGCGCCCGGTGGTAGCTCTTGTTTAGATAAGCATTTGCTGACGTTTTTATCAACTATTTATGCTTTTAGCTATAGGAAAATCAATCGCGAAAATAACAACCGCGGTAATTTAGGATTCTATACTTGTATATGCGTGAACTCGCCAGCCTTGAACTTCTTTTTCTCCATGTACTGATAAGCTATATATTATAATAAGTTCATTATGATACTTAAACATACGTAGTATTCATATACATACTTAAAATAATTGTTAAGTTGAGATGATCAGATCAGTGATATAATGTATGATATAGTTGTACTTGGTGCTGGAGTGGTCGGTTTATCAACGGCAGTAAGAATTCAGGATGTGTTACCTGATAGAAAAGTGACATTAATCGCCGACAAGTTCACTAAAGATACAACGAGCGACGGAGCGGCAGGAATATTCCGACCGTCTGTGGAGAAAACACCGGTGAAATGTTTACAACAATACAGGTACTTTAGTATAGTTTACACAGCCTGTACACGTTCTATTTTATATCTTAAAATGCATATAAGCAAGTTACAAGTAGCTTAATTAAACATTTATTTTATTTCAGTGACACACGTAGATTTAAAATTTATTATTTAGAAGAAAGGCATGTATTGTATTTTATGTTGTTGTTGTTATTGACAACACTGATTCTCATATTGATCAATCGATTATGTCTCAAATACATACCGGTTAAAGGGTTAGATGCAGTAAGGGGCACATACGCTTGGGCCTCGCCAATAAAAAAGAACATTTATCATTTTAACATATATCTTAATATTGAAGTAAAAATCCCAGGGAATTGATTATAAACATGATTTTTTAATTCGCGTGGAAATTGAATGAAACCAATTTTGAGCCCACTTGGGATTATATGCTAAAAGTAACTGAGAATAAGCTAATGCTGAACAAGAGGGGGTCACTGTCTGACCCCAAAGTGTATCTTAAATAATCAACCCCAATAAATCTAAAACAATATTTATTATATTACTAGTATTATGTTGAGCACTTTGTTCGAAATAGCGACGAAGACATTTGAGCCGCGTCACGACAAAACCAACATAATGACTTTGCGACCAGGATGGATCCAGACCAGCCTGCGCATCCGCGCAGTCTGATCAGGATCCACGCCTTTCGCTTACCAACCCTATTACAAGTAGAGAAACTGATAGCGAACAGCATGGATCCTGATCAGACTGCGCGGATGCGCAGGCTGGTCTGGATCCATGCTGGTCGCAAACCCATTATGTTGGGTTTGTCATGACACGGCTCATTTCATAAAACTGCTTAGTGCAACATGGTCCTGTTGTGGCTGCTAAATTAATGTTAGTTTCTTGGTGTCTTCTGAAGTATCGCTAGGACGGAAAACAAGCCAACAAGTGTCGGCTACATGACGGTTATCGCGAAACCAACAAAAAAAACCGGACTTCATAGCTGCACATTAATGGTATGTTATCTCATTGTCATGCGGTGCTCGCACAGGAAACATGTCAATTTGCTTTAATGGACTTGAAGTTAACGTCGTTCAAACAAATTGGGGAAAAATAAGTAGCGAAGTTAATTTAATGTCCTGGTTTTGCTAGTGTACGGATTCATTGTTTCATATAAATATAGTCATGTTCTACGCTACCGGTTTTCCACTTGTGATAATTATTTACAATAGTTGACCAAGTTTTCAAGTTTCAAGCGTTTATACAGCATAAACATACAATAAACCTGTTCATTGGTATACATATGATATAACCAATTGACTGTTTAAATCAGTTCAGTCGCGCATTTAAGATAACTGACTTTCTGCATGTGATAATTCGCACCAATACTTACTAGTAACTTACTTTCTATCTGTAATCAATATAGCCGCACAAATATTTTTTCTGGCATTCTAACTGTGATAAATATACATGTAGTCGTACACATTTCCTGTCTGTGATCAATGTAGTCCAAACAGTGGTTTTCTGGCTTTCTGTCTGTGATCAATGAAGTTGCACCTGTAGTTAACTGGCTTTTTGTCTGTGATCAATATAGTCGCACATGTAGTTAACTGGCTTTCCGTCTGTGATAAGTGTAGTCGTACAAATTTCGTGTCGGTGATCAATGTAGTCGAAACAGAAGTTTTTTTGGCTTACTGGTTGTGATCAATGTAGTCGCACTTGTAGTTTACTGACTTTCTGTCTGTGATCAATGACGTTGCACCTGTAGTTTATTGGCTTTCTGACTGTGATTTATGTAGTCGCACCTGAAGTTTACTGGCTTTCTGATTATCATGAATATAGTTGTACAAATTTCGTGTTTGTGATCAATGTAGTCGAAACAGTAGTTTTCTGGCATTCTGGCTGTGGTTAATGAAGTTGCACCTTACTGTCTGTGATCAATGTAGTCGCACTTGTTGTTTACTGTTATTCTGTATGTGATCAATAACGTTGCACCTGAAGTTTGCTGGCTTTCTGACTTTGATCAATGTAGTCGTACAAATTTCGTGTCGGTGATCAATGTAGTCAAAACTGAAGTTTTTTTGGCTTACTGGCTGTGATCAATGAAGTCGCACTTGTAGTTTACTGACTTTCTGTCTGTGATCAATGATGTTGCACCTGTAGTTTATTGGCTTTCTGACTGTGATTAATGTAGTCGCACCTGAAGTTTACTGGCTTTCTGAATATCATGAATATAGTCGTACAAATTTCGTGTTTGTGATCAATGTAACCGAAACAGTAGTTTTCTGGCATTCTTGCTGTGATTATTTGAAGTGAAGTTGCGCCTGTAGTTAACTAGCTTTTTGTCTGTGATCAATATAGTCGCGCACGTAGTAAACTGGTGTTCTGTCTGTGATCATTGTAGTCGCATTTTGCAGTCTTACCTGTAGTTTACTGGCATTCTGTCTGTGATCAGTGAAGTTGCGCCTGTAGCTAACTGGCTTTTTGTCTGTGATCAATGTAGTCGCGCACGTAGTAAACTGGTGTTCTGTCTGTGATCATTGTAGTCGCATTTTGTAGTCGCACCTGTAGTTTACTGGCTTTCTGTCTGTGATCAATAAAGTTGAACATGTAGTAAACTAGCTTTCTGTCTGTAATTAAAGTATTTGCATACGTTGTTAACTGGCTTTCTGTCTGTGATAAATATAGTCTTACCTGTAGTTTACTGGCATTCTGTCTGTGATCAGTGAAGTTGCGCATGTAGCTAACTGGCTTTTTGTCTGTGATCAATGTAGTCGCGCACGTAGTAAACTGGTTTTCTGTCTGTGATTATTATAGTCGCACCTGTAGTTTACTGGCTTTCTGTCTGTGATCAATAAAGTTGCACATGTAGTTAACTGACTTTCTGTCTGTAATTAAAGTATTTGCATACGTAGTTAACTGGCTTTCTGCCTGTGATCAATGCAGTCGCACCTGTAGTAAACCTGCTTTATGTCTGTAATCAATGCAGTCGCACTGGTTTTATATATGTGATCAATATAGTCGCACCTGTAGTTGACTGGCATTCTGTCTGTGATCAATGAAATTGCACCTGCAATTAAAGTAGTCGCAAACTTAGTTAACTGGTTTTCTGTCTGTGATAAATATAGTCGCACATGCAGTTTACTGGCATTTTGTCTGTGATCAATGAAGTTGCACCTGTAGTAAACTGCCTTCTGTGATCCATGCAGTACCCGTAGTTTACTGGCTGTCTGTCTGTGATCAATGTGGTCGTAGCAACAGCTAGCTAACTGACTTCTCTATGTTATCAACGTGTTATCACACAAATAGTTACATGTAAGTGATTTCGAGTCTGTTATCAATGTAATCACAACTATAGCTTACTGGTTTCATGTCTGTTTTCAGTGTAATAACACAAATAATTTTAGAAATATAGTCGCACTTATAGGTTTCCTGATTTTTATCAGTGAAGTTGCTTCAAGTTAAGTGACTTCATGTCTGCGACTTGACGCCCCAGTTTTCTGACTTACTGTCTGTTATCAATGTAATCACACCTAACTGACTTTCTGTATGTGATAAGTATAGACCTATCAATAGCTTACCATTTTCCTGTTATCATACTAAAAATACTGACTTCATATGTTGTGCAACATCAGTGTAATCACAAAATTAATATTACTGGTTTTATGTATGTTATCAATGTAACCACACAAGTAGTTTACTGGTTATAGTCTTTTATCAATGTAGCCACACAAGTAGTTAACTGGTTATAGTCTTTTATCAATGTAACCACACAAGTAGTTTACTGGTTATAGTCTTTTATCAATGTAACCACACAAGTAGTTTACAGGTTATAGTCTTTTATCAATGTAACCACACAAGTAGTTAACTGGTTATAGTCTTTTATCAATGTAACCACACAAGTAGTTAACTGGTTATAGTCTTTTATCAATGTAATAACACAAGTAGTTTACTAGTTATTGTATTTCATCAATGTAGCCACACTTAATGTCTACTGGCATTCTGATTGGTATTAATTATTTCTTGTCTTCTTTAAGGACATGGTGTCAGGATTCATTTAAATGGTATCACACATTGAATGTAGAGGATGATCCCAGTGAAACAGGCGTTATACGTCTATCAGGCTACCATTTTGCAAACAAAGGCTCAAATGTGAGTTTAGCAACATCTTTGCTTCAATGGTTTTATTAACTTGCAGACAAGAACCTTTTGTAAAGTTTTTTTCTAGTATTAATTACGTACATGAATTTTTACAAGGAACATACAAGTGTTGATCGACATTTCAATTATTCTGATTAATAAAATAAAATTTTAACAAAATATACAGGCAACCATTTTCAGTTACGATTGTGTAGTTTTAATAGCACAGTATCATAGATATCTAATTGTCCGTTTTACATTCCAATAACAATAAAATATCAGTAAAGTTCATATAACTAAAATAATTGTATAATGATTGTAAGTCACGTATCATTGAATACAAACCGACTTTCGTATCTTTTCGACCCTTTCCGTCAAACTCCGGATACTGATTTCGACGGTTGCAGAAACCGGAAGTGTACGTACCAGTCCTGATAACATTATTTTGGATTTGGTTTTAATTGTACATCAGCGAGTATTTTTAAATTGATTATGTTTGTAAGACATATGTTTAATCATTATTTTACCGAACTTGGATGTCAAATATATATTGTACATTCGTTATGTTTTAACAAAGATTCCACCTTGTGTTTTTCTCTACATCTATAACCACGTGCTGGAACTACTTAAAGTGCGAGGTTATTTTGAATAATAAACAAGGTGCTCCGATTGATGCACCGATACTAACAGGTGCATGTTTGTTGTAAGAAAATTTATAGTTATCATTAATCATAATAATTTTAAAAGAGTTGATGGCGTTTTGTGCAATAAAGACCAAGGTATCATCTGTAAATTAATAAAATTTGGTACAGTCAATATGACAACATTGTTTATTTAGCCCCCAAGATTTCACTACGGTATCACTGAATTGACAGAAAAAGAGCTTGCCGATCTGCCTGGAAATTTTAGGTAATATAATTATCCAATTAGATCTATATATTTATTTAATTTCCTAGTAACCGTAAATTACCCAGATACAGTCAAACCTGTGAACAAAGGTCTTCCAGGGAAGAGACAGATACTGGCCTTTATAGACAAGTTGTCTTTATTTGGAGGTTACTTCATTTTATAAAAAAAGTAGTCTTTATTTGCAGGGTTTTCTTTATTCAGAGATGGTCATTAACCCAGGTTTGACTGTACGTTTTTTTCTGCTTCACTCCAAATTAATAACATATTATGTATCAGTTTATTAAGCCATTCTTGTTGATGTTCCAAGAACGATTCTCAATGTAACTGCTTAAATGTATTAAACAATATATTAATCATGTTATAAAATTGTTAATATCATTTTATTACTACAGGCTTGATGTTTTGTGTTATATTTTTAAACAATTTATTTCTGTTATAAAGTTTTGGGTGGAAATATACAAGTTTGATGATTGAATGCAGAAGATACTTGCCTTGGTTAACAAAAAGGTTTGTGTTCTTTTCAGTATATATTTATTATATTTATCAGTTGAGTAAACAATGCTGGTCTTCTTGATATTTCATTATATGATTAAGAAACCCCAGTTTTGTATACTAGTTGTTAGAAGAAGGTAAAAACATATATTTGTAAGGTTAGAGAATACTATGTATTATCATGTTGAAAGTACACCTGTAGATAATGTTAGATCGTTAAGGACAACAAAGAAAGCATTTTTAACGATATTATAGGTTTGTTTCGAGAGGTGGTCGCATAGAAAAGAGGAAAGTCAACGAGATACTTGAAGTAAGTACAAAATGTATATCAAAAGATCCTTATTTTGACGGGGAAAAAAAGATCATAATTTTCTTTTAATGATCTCATAAGCTGACACAGTCTCATATTCAATGTTTTTGAGTTGTTTGCTCACATATATCTTCTATTATCTTTTAAACAATACACCAATTAATTAACTATTCAATCAGAATGAACCGGTATATCGTGCAGTGGATGTAAACATTATCAAAAATTGAAGTAAATATCAACTTTTTATAGTTTGCAGGAAAATGTTCTCTGCTTGTGAACTGTACCGGTTTTGGCTCGTCGACTCTCTTGAATGATAAAAAAGTGTTTCCTGTAAGAGGACATTTGATCAGGGTAAGTTTTGTTTCTTAAAATTTCAAATCATTTACATAAAAAAGCAACAAACAAAATACAAACAAACAAATAAATACTTCTAGTCGACAATTATCGAGTTTTCGTCATCATGATTTCGCATCTTCACCATCGTATTTTTGAGTTTTCGCATTTTGGTCGTCGTATTTTCGTGATTTTCAAGTTTTTGCATTTCAAATTTCTTAATCGTAGCAATAACTATATACTGACTGAGGATATATTTATGTGTTTGAGAATGATTTGTTACTAGAACATAATTATTAAGTTATATTTCAAAAATTGTATATACAGGTTGCAGCACCATGGGTCAAGCATTTTTATGTTTGGGATGATGCTTCCAGTTACATTTACCCAGGGTGAGTCTGTTTGATCAAGTATATTTAGAGGTACATCTAAAACATGATTCTACACAATCTTACCATCTCGAGCTCCGTGTTAAAGATGATGCTACACAAGCACGCAGAAATAGAGTTCATGAAAACGTCATGTAATGTTTTCATTTTGTTGATTAGAGGAACGAAACTATTGTTTCTTTTACAATATACGTTGCATTCAAAGTTAATTACTGTAGTTGTTAGTAAACAAACAAGCATGATGGTATATAAACCACCATTTGTTGTTTTTTTTATTGTTTTTTTATACATAATTTTTATAATATTTTTCTTTGCAACAATATTTGCAGACAGGACAATGTTGTACTAGGGGGCACGCGCCAAAAAGACCAGTATGAAACATCTGGCGGTTGGGAATGGTTTGATGACGTAAAATCAAGATGTGTTAATCTTCTTCCCGGGCTCAAAGTATTCTAATTTAATATTTCTGTTGCTATTTTTTCTTACACAAGCCTACTACAATCTCGTCTGCACATTTTGTGGCGTCTGTATTAAATGAACGGATAATTAAACATTTTATTCGTGCTTGGTTTTACTTAGTAAGGAACTGACAAGTCAACACTGATTTGTCTAGCTGATCATCAAATACCGTAATATATTTTTTATGCATGGGCGATGGATTATATATGTATTTCAGATTTCGTTTCTCAAAATTCAAATGCCATTTATGACTGAAATATTTAGTTAATTTCAAACAATGATGACATATATTTCCAGAATTCTGAGGTTATAAACAAATGGGTTGGACTGAGACCACACAGGGCATTTATTAGGTTGGAAGTAGAAGATCTATCATGCAATGGAAAACAGTTAAAGGTTGGGTCTAACATAGATTGCATACACAATTACAGTTCTTCCTTTTTTCTTTCTTTTTTGTTGTTCTCTGTTCTGTTATGAAGGCTTAGATAATTTTCGGGGAGGTTTTTTTTTAAACTAAAAGTACCAGACGCACATACTATAGCGTTAGGGATTCCATAAGCACCGAGAGTTGTGTTCATGAGCTTTACTGCAGTCCCTCAGGCTATCACCGTGGGTTTACTTACCGATAATAACCCGTTTTTTGTTTTTGCTTTCAATACTTTCATTTGATAGCCTAACTATCATTTTTCACATAATCCAAATTGAAAGTGTACATTTATTTCCTCTCAAAGGCAGTAAGCCACCTGAATATTATTTCAGGTGGTGATTCTCTATAAATAAATAATAATTAAGCGAGAAATAAAGCATGATAAGAAACTATTTTTTCACAAAACTATATGGTTTTGCAGGTTGTGCATAATTACGGACACGGTGCTAACGGGGTGGCACTGAGTTGGGGCACTGCCATTGAAGCTACCGAAATAGTCAAAACCATACTTAGCCAGGAATCATCCAGGTTCAAGTCAAAGTTATGATGATTTTTGTGTTAGTTATAAATTATAAGATATTTTAGTTAATGTGTAGGTTTTAGTTAAGCAATCCTATTTTATTGTCCGTTTTATACAAAACAGTACACAAATAATACAGAGAAGGATACGGTTATTTAAACATGTATAATATGTATATGACCTATTAAAGGGTGTAAAGATATATCTATTGGAAAAGAGTTTTTGACAGTAAAAATGCATGCGCCCCTCTTAATGAAAGATACAAACAACTTTTTTTCATATGGGTATTTTGAAATTATTTCTTTTCAAAATTCAATTAACAATTTTGGCAACAGACATAAAGTTTTATACACTGTAAATCTAAAATGTCGTTATCATTATTTTTCAAAACATTATTTATGTACATTGTTACAGTTTCAAAATAAATCCATTGGTCATACTGCTGAATCAGCTTTTTCGTTTTTACAATAAGTACAGTTTTAGTTATTAAGTAATTTGTATGGAAGTCAAAATGCTTAAATGTTCCTTTTGTCTCCTTTATCACAAATTATTTGACACTGAGCGCTGTTTTCTTTAGGCGAATAGCTCGAACCTTTCAATCTGATCTCCTCGCAATAGTCTCATATACGATGTTTACGGAAAGACCCGATGGTTTACGATTTAAGTTTGTTATTACACTACTATATTTCTACAGAAGTAAATTTCTATATTCTGAGGCGTAATTTACATGTTTACCTTAGTATTTATATATATGTTATGAATAAAAAGAAATAATATTACATCTTGTGTTGAGTTTGTTATACTACTCGTCAGAACTATTGATGGCGCTTGAATTTTTTGAGAATTTGGCTCCCTATAAGATGCTAGAGGCATTTTGTAGTACAAGTGGTATCTTGGTGTATTTTACCTATTTAAGGTATGCTGAATCCGATAAAGGTGGATACCAAATTAAAAAACTTGATCTTGACCATTGAAATGGCCATTTAAAATGACCACTAAAATGGCCGCCAAATTTCTTTATCATAAATGGATGATATTTCAAATAAAACTTTTAAGGAAAGGAAAAGCCTGAAATTTGTCACAAAGCATGTTTAGGTAAAAACAAATTAGACAATTAGACACCAAAACAGAATTAAAAAAAAAACAAAAAACAATCCAATATGGCTGAAAAACCCATGATGTCAGACATTTTTCTATAGGCCAATATGATAGTAATATAGAAGTAATATTAAAGATAGTACTGAAAATTTTAAGGCATTTACGCAGCGAACATTACACTCTTTCCTGCCCTATCTGCATGATATAGAGCTTTCATGTATTTTATCTGGCACTCAGATGCGTACTTATATTTGCACAGCGTGCGTTGTGAGGGGGTTAAAACGCGTGCATACAAAAAAGGCACTCTTGGGTTTTGGTGTTCGTTTTTCTGTTATCGGTTTTCGTCGCATTTCTCTGCGTCAGTTCTTCTGTTATTGGTCGTGATTTTCGTTCTTCTGTAATCGGTCCTGGTATCAGTTCTTTTGTTATTAGGTGTTCTGTTATCGGTTCTCGTCTCTGTTATTCTGTTATCGGTCCTGTTCTTTTCCGTTCTTCTGTTATCCGTTCTCGTGTCTATTCTTCTGTAATCAGTCCTGGTGTCCGTTTTGTTGTTGTCAATTCTTCTGAATATCAGGTCCCGTCTCTGTTATCGATCCCCGTCTTGATTTTTCTGTCATCAGTCCTCGTCTATGTTATTATATTATCAATCCTCGTCTCCGTTGTCTTGTTGTCATTGCTTCTGTTATCGGTCCCTGTATGTTATCGGATATCCTCTTCGTTCTTCTCCGTTCTACTGTAATCGTACTCGTGTCTTTTCTTCTGTAATCAGTCCTGGTCCTCCATTTTCTTGTTGTTAATTCTCCTGTCATCGGTTCTCGTCTCTGTTATCGATCCCCATCTCCATTCTTCTGTCATCAGTTCTCGTCTATGTTATTCTGTTATCAGTCCTCGTCTCTATTTTTCTGTTATCAATCCTCGTCTCCGTTGTCTTGTTGCCAGTTCTTCTGTTAGCGGTCCCTGTCCTGTTATGCTGTTATCGGTTCTCATCTCTGTTCGCTTGTTGTCAGTGCTACTGTTATCGGTTCCTGTCATTGTCCGCTTGTTGTCTGTTCTTTTGTCATCGGTCCCTGTATCCGTTCTTCTGTTATCGGTCGACTTCTATGTTCGCTTGTTGTCAGTTCTTTTCTCCGTTCTTCCTTCTGTAATCTGTCGTCGTCTTCGGTCTTGTACTTTCGGTACTTGTTTCCTGTTCGGTTAAGGTCTTCGTCTTGTTTCTATCGCTGCCGTCACTCTGTGTCAATGTCCTGGTTTTGTCAGTCTTGTAGTCATTTATTCGTTCAGTGGAGTAGCGGGGGATCGAACTCACGACCCCTTGACTTGTAGGCAGACAGTGTTACCACTGCACCATAGCGCCCGCTCTGAATAATAACCGTTTTTGAAAATGCTTTATACATAAAATACTATTTCAATGGCTAACAAAGGGTGTATTACAATTATATTTCAACCCCTCTTCTATGTAGCCAACCCACGTGACTTTTATATATGATCAAAGAAAATAGTACTCCATTTTTTACAAGTTATATTTTTATAGATAACTTTGCTGTTACTTTAAGATATCCTGGAAATTTATTGGAGGGTACCCGGAATTTTAATGTATATCGAATGATGTGATAATCTTCTTGTAGATTTTCTTAAAATCGAGACTGGATTCCAAAATTTTCGAGAGCTGCCATGGTATAGCAAGCACACGTAGCAATCTCCCAGTTTCAGACATTTTATGACTCAATGAAAATATGGTGTTGTTATTGTTGTTGTTGGTGTTTTTAACTTTAACTTTAAATTACAAATTAAATAGTCACTTATTTTTAAACAAGATGGTAAACATTGGTTGTTTTCTGTATTTTTGTTAAGAATGTGATAAGTATACACTTTAAAGTTTAAGATGACTTTTTAATATTATCGATTATCCATCGCCTTGAAAAAAGATTTTGTGTTGATTTTGCGCATACTTAATCCCGCTTTTGCATGTTGTGGAACAACAATAATTCATTTGTTTGTATACACAGTCTCATTGCTTATTTTGTCAATTATGAATACATTACAGCACTAATTGAATTTGATTTCGTTGGTAATGTTTACGAGAATTAATATGGAGTATATAGAGGACATTTGTTTGTTTGTGTGTAAGATGAAATTTTATTTCATCGAGTGGGCTTTAAAAACAGTATATCCACGAGTGGCGTGGCCACGAGTGAGAATACTGTTTTTAAAGTTCACGAGATGAAATAAAATTACATCTGACACAAGACACAAACAAATTCTTTTTATTTTATGCTCAAAAATAAGTTAAAACAAAATTTCCTTGATAATAACTTTAATATTAAAATCTCTTTTCCCCATTGTAGCCTCTATTATGTACATGTATTAGTCCAATTTTATTATAAAATACAAGAAGTCTTGGGCTGAAAAATAAGTTCGACAATCAACGTTAAATGGCGATGATATTATTCATTTTATTAAAAAATATGAATGATCGCTTATTTTAATAATAAAAACAACAATTTTAGTAGGAGAAAAAGTCCAACCATCCATCCATATTTCTGTTACTTACTGTGAATTTTTATTAGACCTTGCTCTGGTAAATGTAAGCGGCCGCCATTTTTAAAAGTTGTGTATTTCACGGGAGGAAAATAATTGTGTTTGATGCAGAGGGATATCATTTGGATTTGTTAGTCATACACCTTTTTAATAGAAAGAAAACTTATTTGAGGAGTGTGACAGACAATAAATAAGTGTTGACAGATGTGTAAACATTTAAAAAGTGGCTAGGAAACTGGAATTGGAAACTTGGAATTGTTGAAAGGCTGCCTTACGAACGCTGAGTTGTTTACTTATTCTTCGGGTTGATGGCTGTCATTGCTTTTCAAGTTTTCATAAAGCATACGGCAGTTATTGCTCGTCGGAAACTTAAATATGCCCAAATGTCATCAAGAGCAGTTTTGCATGTGGAAGAAATGTATTTTTCAGACTGTTAAAATGAAACAAAAAAATTAAGTGACGATATTTGCTGATTGGTAATTTGGATGAATAGAAGTAAGTTTTCTTCTTTTTACTACTTTTTACATTTGATTTATTTATCAATTTCGGCTTTGCTTTTCTCTAAACAGTCTGACATTGTCAAAATTGTCAGCAAAAAAATAAAATTGAGGTACCACATGGGGAAAATCTTAAGAAAGTAGTTTTGTCATTGAAAAGTTTGAAATTATAATTTTCACTGTGAAATTATCAAATATAATTTTCACGGATAAATCATTAATCCACTGAAAAGCATGAAATAAAAAAAAAATTCTTATTTATATATTTTAAGTCATATCTGCTAAAAATGATATCGTCATCGTTACTTCCGCAGTAGCACAGCCGGTTAAGTGATTGACTGATGTGTTCGATTCCTACTGATGCTTTTTTAAGACCTGTTTTTTTTTGTTTTGTTTTTTTTTTGGGGGGGGGGTCGGTTTGTGTTGTGTTTATGGCATTGAAATGACATTTTTTGACATTTCAAAATAATTATTCATTTTAAACCATAATTACCATAATAAGTGCAAAATTTATGAAAACAAAATGAACAACTTAAAAAATCATAGCTACAAATAATGTTGAAAATTACGGAACACCTGAAGTGACATTTTCCACATTTTCTCCCTGAATTGAATTCGTTTTTACGAGATAATAATTCCCAATTAGAAATATTATTTCGTTTGTAACGAAATATAAATTCTTAATTAAGAAATATTGATTTGTTATTATGAAATATCATTTCGTAATTACGAAATATTAATTCGTTATTACGAAATATTATTTCGTAATTACGAAACAGTAATTTGTTATTACGAAATATTTATTCTTTGGTAATATTTATAAAACTAAGTTTATTGTTAAATATAAGTCAAGTAAACAAAACATTAAAAGTGTTTTTGCTAGTAAAACAGTACTGTATATACTGTTTATTGAGCCATTATGCTTATAATCGCTATATTTGGTGGCCAATCTCATTAAAATCTGATCATATTGAATAGTCATTTGATATTGACAAGAATAATTAATTGCATCATATTGTATCATAGTTTTAATGACCTATTTTAGTATTTTTAAGCGGCCATTTTGAATTGATCTTTTGAATGTCAAGGTCAATTTGATTTTCTTGGTATCCACCTCATCGTCTTCAGCATACCCATATTAGGTTAAAACACTCAAGATATTACTTAAAATCAGTTCTGTCTTATATGGCGACTTTCAAGCTTTACTGGTGGAGGACCCCAGGTGTCACTCTGTGCATTTATTTCAGGCACGAGCGGGCATCTGAGTAGAACCACCGACTTTCCGTGTCCTTGCTGTTAACCTTCCTCACGTGAAAGAATCCAAAGTTTCTGGTCCACAGCGATTATGGACAAGTGGTTTGAAATCAACGTCCTTAACTAAAATAGTCGAGGCGAGACAGTGGCAAACTTATTTTGAAAAATATGAAGCCTGTATTTTGGACATGTTTCTTTTCTCTTTCGTCAAAAATATAGACAATGTCTTCAAACTTGTGACGGTTCTTTTGTTAAAAGGTAAATTAGGCATCCATCCTTGTGTCTTTCAATTTATACCATACAATCTCAAATGGAAAACGTCACCAATATCATAATAAATGCCGTTTGGACAATAAATCTTAAAGCTGTATGCCTCAAGGTTAGCAAAACTATTTCAAGAAAGTCAAACTTGAGGTCAATGTAGACTTAAAGAAAATTCAAAAAATTGTAAGTAATAATTTACATGTTATAACTTACATGTGCGTAATGACTTATTTTGCAGGGCTTTTTTTACATGTTTTGACCTCTTTGGTAAATTATGTAGATTTTGCAGTTTTGCTATTTCAATTTGTAAATCACTTTCTTTCTTCATTTCACAATATTTTGCTTTTAAATATCTTTTCAATTTTTGTCATGAAATTAGCAAAATTAGCATGCTGCTTTCAGCACAATATATAATTTAATCACGGGAAGCCACATACGTTTTCTTCTCTTTTTTTCCCCGAAATAATCGTCGGATACCCTCTCAAACGTATAAATGTTCGTGTTTACAGATCCTGTAGTATATGATCATATCTAATATCATAACTGCTAACACATACAAAAATATCATATATTTATTGCAAAACAAGTATAAAAAAGCTCATCAAGTACAACAAAATATAAATACAATAACAGAGAAACAAGTTTATTCTGATGGACAATTATCTTGTACCGTATCCCGGAAACTAGACGTGTTGACACCAAACGATCCGAGAGTTTTAATGAGTTTGTCGACAATCTGGGAGTCGAGTGTTCTGGTTCGGCTTAAGATCCAGGCGAAGTCTGCCTGCACAAAGCCTCCTAAGTCAGTACAGGACCACACGAGAGAGTAGTTATCATAGTCGGTATCCACAATCCAATATGGAACACGTGGTGACCCTGAAAATATTGTATGTTTTGTCAGTTCACCAGTTACTATTATTAGAAGTTTGACCTTTAGGGAATGGATCTGCCTATGCGACCAGTGCCGGTCATGATCAACAGCCAGGTCCATGGTGTCTGATCATGGTCTGCGCTGTTATTTGCTCTTTAGTCTCTAAATATTTTATTTTTTCCCTAAATAGTTGAATGCATAGTCTCTAAATATTTTATTTTTTCCCTAAATAGTTGAATGCATAGTCTCTAAATATTTTATTTTTTCCCTAAATAGTTGAATGCATGCATATGAAAGATGGACAAGGGGCCATTTTTAGATATTTAAAGGGTTTTAAGGGGGTTTAGGAAGATTTCACAATTTGAGTCTTCAATCAGACAACCCTTTTGATGTTTAGAAAAACAACCGGTATATAAAAACAGTTTCCATTTAATTTTTCCCCTTTTAACTTGGGGCTTTTCAGTCTTTGGTTTGATGTTTTATTTTTAGCCCAGCTGTACTAAAAGAAAAAAACACTTTAATGAGGATTTTAAAAAGTTTTTGTATTTCCCCCTAAACCCCCCAAATTACCCCTTGGGAAATTTTACGGCTTTTGTTTTCAAAGGGGCACTGCTAAACTTTGGGGGGTAAAAAAAACACCAATGGCGGGCGTCCCCCGGGTACGTCCCGGCCCCGCCCCAAAATGGGCCCCCCTGACTTTTGGCATATTAAAATATTTTTCCATTTTTAACATAATTTTTGGGTATACTTCAATAATCATATACATGAGGAACACATGGCAACACTGGGTCAGATTTACTTCTCAAAATTAGTCCACTAGTTCAGAGTAGCAGCCACCTTTATTAGGAAATACATTTTAATATACAAATACAGTTAAATATCATAAACTGTCACACCTAAAATAGCAAAGAAAAAAACTCCCCAATAATGTCAAATTCTACTGCAGATAAAGTAGCATAAAGACATGACAGAGTAAGTGATTTATACAAATCATTTAACTCACCGGTAACCTCTATTAGAAACTTGAATGTGACCGTCATCTTTTAAACTATAATTAGCACGGATACAGGTTTCTGCGCCCTCGATGAAGAAAAAGAACTTCTTAATCTCATACCAATCTCCTAGATACTGAAAACAAAAATGTTTTTAAATTATAGTTACAAGAGTTTATGTTTGATTGGAATAAAATACTAATTTATTTACTAGTTTAACTATGAAGTTTGGATTAAACTTTGCAATGTTTAAATTTACAACAACATACTATATTGGCTGATTTGGAACGCTTTTGTGCGTCGTGTTGGCGCTAGTGACAACAGGACAAAGCGCCAAACGGCGCGTTGTCGGACTTTCGTCTTGTCGTCCTGTCGCTAACGATGTACGCCAAACGGCGCGTTGTCGTGCGGCGTGTTGTCGCGATGTCACATTGTCGCTCGGTTCAAATCGAAGGATTGGCTTATAAGCCAAGCGACAGGGCGAAATCGCGACAACGCGCCGCACGACAACGCGCTGTTTGGCGTGCTTCGCTAGAGACAACGAGCAACCATTACATACTAGTACACATTGTGAGTTTTATATATAGCTCTTTATTGTAAATATTCTTAAAATAACTCTTAAACTGGTTATTAATTTAAAAATTGAACCAATTATTAGATGATATGTACTCTCGTTCCTATTTTTATACTTTATTATTTATTTATTTATTTATTTAATTATTTATTCATTTATTCATAAAATATGATAACTGACCTTTGCGACATCGAGATTCTGAACAACTGTAACATCCGGGCATTTCCCAAGATGAGGCACTTGAGCATGACAGACTGCGATGAACGCTACAAAGACGTAAAGAGGTGACATCGTTGATCCGGTCGGTACCTCTGGTATAGCTGGTCAGGTATGAGTATTTAAAGCGTGTATTTATAGTAGTTGAAACACGAGGGTTATCAACAAAGGTATCAAAAAGGTCAATTGGTAATATAAAAATGTGTGGCATTTTTGGTACCTATAAAATAATGAAGCATTCGCATTATTTTTTAGAAAAAATGAAAAACACATATTTGCTCTTTAGGCTTTATTTTGTGAATTCAAGTATTGGTCCGTTTTTAGTGCCGTGTTTGTAGAAAGTACCTTTTTTCGCGGAATGGAACTTTATCACACACAAAAGGACTCGTTTCATATCAAAAACATTTGAATGTCTAATATAGCTTGTATATACCTTCGTCAAACAGATAATATTAAACACGTCAATTGAAAACCTGACACATGACTTTGAATCATTTGGTGAAATAGTTCGTGTTTGGGGGGAATTGTTTGTTGTTGTTGTTTTTTATACCCGGTTGAGGTAGAAGGCCATATATATAGTTTCGACGCGATTCACCCGTCAGTATGTACAAGCAATTATACGTCATTTTTTTCGCTGACCATCCAAACACGTATACCATGCTAAATGGTATAATGTAAACAATTTTTGATTTGTTGTAACATGAATGACCAGTATAGGTGTTAGAATGGCCGGATAGATGGCATGAACATTTTTAACACCCCTCTGTTCCAGTTACACCATCTTACCACATGTCCAAACACGAGACCTTTTATCTGTCCATTATTAAGACCAATAACATTCCACAATTTAAGCCGGTAAACAGAAAACTTGACAACAACAAAAGATAAGGGTTACACTTAAAATTAAAGTCATGGACGAAGCGTTATTGTTAAATGACCTTTCTTCTTAGAGTCGTTCCCGTTCAAATCAAGTATACAAGTAAAATGGTTTCCTGCGGGGAACATTTATAATGATTTAAAGATATTTCATTTAACTATTTTCAACATTGTTTGGGGAAAAAATAGAAAAAAATTAACGTTTGTATCAGGAATATAGTTGACAATAATCGATCAATAGAAGAAGGTCTTTGGTCTTTGTCGAAAATAAAACAATATTTCTGTTTAAGAAAATGATTAAATACCATTGTATGAATAATTCCGTGCAAAAAAAAATAAATAAAATAAAGTAAACACACAAGTTTACGCAGAAAATATCTCTATCTATTATGGCAGATGCCACAAACGAATGTTTTAATTCTGTGGATTTTCACTAAACAATTTATTGTTTGTAAAATTTCAGATAGATATTAAAGAAACATTGATAATTTTCAAACACATCATTCAAGTTTTTCCAACTTAAACGGTAAAATAATTATAGAAAATTAGACATATCACGTAATAGTGTTATGTTCTTAATTAGGTGTAATTCGGACTAAATCCCTAACATTGTGTCGAGAGACCGGTGTGTATACAATGATTCCCTACAATTAAATCCGTAACGTACCGGGAAACGGTATTTAGCTAGGTTTTCGAATAGGTCAATTAACCAATCATGTACGGTTTACAGATCACATGCTCCTCCATGTACCATGTACCGAAAACAGGTCACGTGCTCCTCCTGCCTCAAAAATTAAACGCGTACCAATACCCTGCGGGCTCCGGCCCGCAGGGAATAATGAAATTATTTCTATGCAAGTCAGATTGTATGTTTGGCCCCTGTCTTAATATAAATTTTACCTCCCAATAAAGAAATGTTGTCTCTTTATCCATTACCGGGAAATATTGATATACTTTTTGTGACACTTAGTGCATAGCTTTTGTCCGACTTTTCCTTGCGGCATTGTTTTCTCATTATGTGCATGTGCATGTGCGCAACTGATAGGAGTACAAAACCTACTACGGGCAGCCCATTATTTGTAGAGTGAAACTATTTCACCAAGAATAACAATTAAAGAATACATTTCTGTTGATGCATAAATAACATAACCATATGCGTAAATTTTAGGAGAGCTTCTATTTACATGTACATGTATGTCAAAAATATAAAATATAAATCATTAAAGCGCAACAAATGAAACAGTTGTCAAAATAATGAAAAATATCCAAATATTAGTACACACGGTGATAGGGCGATTACCACAACTTTTCCGCGCAACGTCAAAATATCATCCTTCTGACCGAGACACCGTATATTTCTGGACAAAATATTAATGGCGGGATAAACAAATTCCAGGTAATAGCTTACAAAATATCTTACTGCTGGACATTGCAAGATTATTCCAATTGTTTAAGTATTCCATCGAATTTTTGAGACAATTTATTGTTAATCTAGCACAATACAATTCACAAAAAAACACATACTTCGAAGAAATACTGTTTACAAAAGATCGTGTGTACCTCAACATGACTCGTACTTGTCATAAAAACATGTGTTATAACGACGATGTCTTTGTTCAATGACCTAACGAGCTCGTATATTTATTATGGTTAACCCTAAGTTCAAGTTCCATACACAATTGTGTGTTTCTATCGTAAATTTCAGGGAATATTTGTTGAAAAAAGGCCTACTGACCCGAATATTGGAGCACCGTACAACACTGAATTCAAACACCGCATTCTTTTTCCGTTAGACCGATAAATACTGGAACCGTCTTCTTTTGAATTATACAATCGTCTTACAAATATGTTTTATAATAACTTTTATTTGATGAAAGATTGTTTACTTGCTGTTATGTTGCTGTTATATCATACGTTATGTTATGGAAAATTTCTGAAGGTCTGATCTGTGTTAATACTACCAGTTAGATAAGTGCAATGGTATCTATATATATAGATAAGGATGTCTTTTCCTTTTCGAACTTATTCAAACTGATAAACCCCACATGGAAAGATTGAAGTTCTTGGCAGACTATACGTGTGGTCATCAAACAACATCGAGAAACAAAAGGAATGAACTATTTGTTAATGTATTAGCACCCTAATGCATTACCTCCGCTTTGAAGAGTATTCAAATACAGTAGGCTAGAACTACTGTTAACTACATTGAAAATGAGGGCCATGGGTTCAATCCCCAGAAGGGTCAACTTTTTTTTTCTTTCTTTTTTTCTTTTAACATTATTTATGTATCTCTCATGTCCCATTTGGAAAGAAAAAAGTGTTTAATTTTGATTTTTTAATTTATATAGGTATTTATTGGCTAAATTATGCTAAATCTAGTAATAAATATGGTACCTGATATTTTCAAAGTGTAATATAATCAAAACTAGACGGTAAAAGTATTTCATATTTTACAAGATCAACCAATATACTTTTTTAAAAATTTAGGGAAACTTTGAAAACAGGCACTCATTTGAGTAAATTTTAAGAATTTTTTAAATTAGGCTCCCTAAGTAGAAAAATGGTCAGACACGTGGTAAAAATGGGTGGGGTAGGGTAACATTTTTATACAGATTTCATAAATTTTAAGTAGAAACCATAATTTTGCTTATGTGGATTGTTAGCTGAATGGTACTATTTGTTTCTTACCAAAAATTAATGGGAAAACATTTTTCATTAGAATGTTATTGCAGATTATTTAAAGGTTCCTCATTTCTAAAAAAGGGCCCTCATAACATCCTAGCTTGAGTTCAGAAAAGTGGCCATAACTTGATTTCCGTACGGTAAACTTTGTTTAAATTTTGCATACAGGTGTACTTTAAGGTATACATCTGACCTATGATGTCAATTTTTTAGTTCCTGATAGTGCCCATTAGGGTCCTAATACCTTAATGGGAATTTCTTATTGCATACTAATTTGATAAAGTTGCAAAAGTCATAACACAAATTTTCATGGTGTAGTTTTTGCAGGAACCCGGGCAATATTTCCATAATCTCTTCAGTCATCGTCTCCAATGTGCTTTTTTTAAACAATCTTTTGCGAAAGTTTGACTTCATATTCTTTTTCTTATGTGGTGCGTTACGCATATAGTCCTGAAATACAAGGAGGCGCTGATCCATTGGCGTACTGCTGATATCAGAAGACTTAGTTGGGGGCTCTCCAGTTGCTGCAGTATCTGCAGCTTTGCCAATTTCGCACGTTGCTTTGGCTTGTTCAGACATAGGTTTGAACGTCTTCTTTTTCTGAAAGCAAACATTAATATAAAAAATCAACGGTGCTAAAAAGACAGAAAAATGCGGTGATTTTAAGGAGGAATAATGCGGTGCCCTAATCTTATGATTGACAAAGTTGTGCGGTGCCTTAAAATACACACGTGGAAACATAAAAATCATACCAAATATACAAAAAACGGGTTATTTATGTATTGTAACTTGTTCATACGACAATAATGTACATATTTACGTCTATACATGGTACATCTATAATAATAATTGTTTCATTTGTTTTTTTTTAGAAAATCTAAATTTCTAGAATTATAAAGTATCACATTTCTGTGATGCCCTTAACTAAAACTAATCCAAATAAATTTAAGACAAGCGGGGATTTAATTCTACCTTAAATGTTATACATGTATTAATGCTTATTTCACATACTAGTATATGTGTTTTCAAGATATTTAAATATTCGTTAAAATGTGGCAAATGTATTCTGTCATTGTCATGCAGATTACATTCCGCACTGGCGACATCCATGGTTTTGTCTCGATATTCATATAATCTACATTCATTGCACATATCCTTTGTATATATTTGTATATAAACAGTGAAGCTTGAAAAGACATGACTCGGGTTAAAATATACACCGTGCATGTCCTTAATACAAGAATGTAAAAATAACGCTGTAATTGTGCAAAAATTATGCTTTACGGTAGAAACGAGCAACAAGATTATTAATTAAACAGAACATCATAATAATAAACTTATTTTCTTACACACGGCTGCTAAGTAGGTAAGAAATTATACCAGTTTAAACTTCAGATTTTAAAAAAAAATCCAGGAAAATGTTTACTTTTCACGATCATTCGTGAGCATGACAACGTTGCTTCCATACGGAAAACGATTTTTTTGTCGATATGTAATTATTATTATTATTATTATTATTATTATTAATAATAATAATAATAATAATAATAATAAAAATGATAATGCTAATAATAATAATAATAATAATGATGATGATCATGATGATGATGATGTTCGTTATTCAAAGGTTACTTTGTTCTATTTAATCAGTGGCATGTTGTTGAAGAGTGGTCTTGATTTACATAGTAGTCTTTATTTGGAGATGGTCTTCAACACCGATTTTACTATATACTAGTTCGAGTTTTCACTTTGAAATTAATTGGACGTCTGCTCCATTGGGCAAATGTATACATGTATAATAATCTCATAGAATGTTAATCTCATATAGACATATGGACGTGAATGGTCATCTCATAGACATATGGACCTGAATCACTTATACATATTGACCTAAATGGTCATTCCATAGACATATTGACCTAAATAGTTATTCCATAGACATAGGGACCTAAATGCTCATCTCATAGACCTATGGACGTGAATCTCATAGACATTTGGACCTACATGGTCATCTCATAGACATATTGACCTAAATGGTCATTCCATAGACATAGGGACCTAAATGGTCATCTCATAGACATATGGACGTGAATCTCATAGACATTTGGACCTACATGGTCATCTCATAGACATATTGTCCTAAATGGTCATTCAATAGACATAGGGACTTAAATGGTCATCTCATAGAAATATTGACCTAAATGGTCATTCCATAGAAATAGGGACCTAAATGGTCATCTTATAGGCATATGGACCTTAATGATCATCTCATAGACATATGGACCTAAATGGCCATTCCATAGACATTTTGACCTAAATGGTCATTCCATAGACATAGGGACCTAAATGTTCATCTCATAGACATATGGATCTCAATGGTCATCGCATTGACATATGGACCTAAATGGTCATCTCATAGACATATGGACCTAAATGGTCATCCCATATAGACATATGGACCTTAATTGTCATCGCATAGACATATGGACCTAAATGGTCATTTTATAGACATATGGACCTAAATTGTCATCTCATAGACATATGGACCTAAATGGTCATAGCAAAGACATAGAGGCCTAAATGGTCATCTCATAGACATAGGGGCCTTAATGGTCATCTCATAGACATATGGACCTAAATGGTCATCTCATAGACATATGGACCTAAATGGTCATCTCATAGACAAATGGACCTGAATCTCATAGGCATATGGACCTAAATGGTCATCTCATAGACATAGGGACCTAAATGGTCATCTCATAGACATATGGACCTAAATGGTCATCTCATAGACATATGGACCTAAATGGTCATCTCATAGACATATGGACCTAAATGGTCATCTCATAGACATATGGACCTAAATGGTCATCTCATAGACATATGGACCTAAATGGTCATCTCATAGACATAGGGACCTAAATGGTCATCTCATAGACATATGGACCTTAATGGTCATCTCATAGACATATGGACCTTAATGGTCATCTCATAGACATATTGACCTGAATCTCATAGACATATGGACCTAAATGGTCATCTCATAGACATAGGGACCTAAATGGTTATCTCATAGACATATGGACCTGAATATAATAGACATATGGACCTAAATGGTCATCTCATAGACATAGGGACCTAAATGGTCATCTCATAGACATAGGAACCTGAATGGTCATCTCATAGACATAGGGACCTAAATGGTCATCGCATAGACATAGGGACCTAAATGGTCATCTCATAGACATATTAACCTAAATGGTCATTCCATAGACATAGGGACTTAAATGGTCATCTCATAGACATATTGACCTAAATGGTCATTCCATAGACATATAGGGACCTAAATGATCGTCTCATAGACAAAGGAACCTGCATTATCAACTCAAAGACACATGGACGAAGATGGATAATGGGGATAGTAATATAAAACAATATCATATTTGTGTGATTGTTACATTTATTTCTCACATTTACAATTATTTCATTACAACTACCATGGACATGTATCCAGAGGTTGTTTAGTTCTGTAGAACTTTTCATAATTCAAACCGAGGCTTGTCAACTTCTGTTTTAGCCTCGTTATGAGATTTTCGTCAAGTCTTTGTTTTCGGCCAAGTATCCAACCAATATCAGCGTGTGCGATGCCCTCGAGCTCAGCGCAGGACCAAATTAAAGCATATGTGTCATAATCTGTCTCAACGATCCAGTAATTTGCTTCTGGAGATGCTAAAATTAAAATAAAATGATAATAAAATAAATAATGAAAAGAGTCCATAACGCCCCCCTGTGGCTGAGGGGTTGCCTGTACGGACTCAGGAATCACTATTGCAGCCAGCGTTTAACCCTGCGTGATCGTAAGAGGCGACTGAATGAGTTCGAATTATTGGAGACTATGCATCTCCCGAGGTTAGCCAAAATTATCTTTCTTGTTTCGGCGCCATATGACCTAATCTGTGTTGGTGCGCCGTAAAACCAAACAGAGTATATAACTGTACAACTCCGCTATTATGGTTACGCAGAAAGCAATAACTGGCCTAGACGGAATATAGCATAACAAAATAATGATAAATAAAAATACTTGGGAATGACATGATATTAAAAAGCCGTCCCATATAAAACCGTCCATTATTATATCATTTTCTTATGCCCCTCCCCTCCCTAAAATGAGAAATGAAACTTTAAATCTGAATTGCTTGCCATAATGGGCCTTTAAATTTTCAAAGAAATAATTTATACTCACTTCCCAGTTTGACAGTTAACTTGGACTTAACGTTTGGATCTTTGTAAAATGCAATTCCTGTCGTATTTTCTTCGTGTAATTCTGCCCTATTGAGTGAAAAGAAAGCATAAAATATTAAATTAACAAATATCCTCTAATAATAATTTACAGCCACGTGATTAAAATAGAATTAATTGAAAAGGTCTTTATATCATAAAAAGAATTTTTTATAAAACAAAAATAATGTATTTGAACAAAGAGATAAAAATGAACATACTGAATTGAATAGGAAAACGAAAATTAGAAAAATCGGAATTAATAATTATGCTTAATATATATTAAATATGTTTGAATAGGGAATGAATTCAAAACGCCGTCAATTTTTATTCCAAAAAAATCTTATTTTTGAGCATCTAAAATATAAAGAATAACTTTGTAATTATAGTGTACATGGTATATACGCACGTGTAATCTTGGTTTAGCACGTCTATTTTACCGTCATCTCTCAAAGAGTACTCAGCTTTGACACAAGATTTGTTCATCTGACCAGCAAAATAAGTCTTCTCTATGTCATACCAGCCTCCCGCATACTGTAAAAATATTTATAACTTCTTCCATTTATAAGTATGCATGATTTCTTCCATTTATAAGTATAATTTCTTCTATTTATAAGTAAATATGTTTTCTCCCATTTATAAATATGATTCCTTCCATTTTGTACGTATGATTTATTCCATTTATAAGAAAGTATGATTTCTTCCATTCATAAGTATGATTTCATTCATTTATAAGTAAGTATGATTTTTTCCATTTATTTCTACCATTTATAAATATGATTCCTTCCATTTTGTAAGTATGATTTATTTCATTTATAAAAAGATAAATTTCTTCCATTTATAAGTATGATGTATTTCATTTATAAGAAATTATGATGAATTCTCTCATTTATAAGAAAGGATGTTTTCTTCCATTGATAAGTATGATTTTGTTCATTTAGAAGTGATTATAATTTCTTCCATTTATAAGTAAATATGATTTCTTCTTTTTATAAGCAAGTATGATTTCTTCTTCTATTATTAAGTAAGTATGATTATTTTTCTATTCATAAGTAAGGTTGATTTTCTTCCATTTACGAATAAAAGTATGATTTCTTTCATTTATAAGTAAGTATGATAACTTTTTCGTATGACTTGTCTATGTATTAGTTTCCTGCCTTTCATAAACATATATTATTTCACTGCAAGCATAAATCCTGTATGCATTAATGGCTGGGTTGTAGTCAATGCAAAATGAAGTATACAAATATTTGTTTAGGCCAAATGAAGTCATCGGTCACATTTCTAAACATGTTGGCATTGTTACGAATTATTTCATTTTTTTATTTTTCTTATCTAGACCGGATCATGACACCACTCATATAATCAAATTCACTAAATACTTGACTATATACATATATAGGTTTATACTATAAAAGAATGGAAAAAAACAGAAGATTGACTACTTAACGAATAACTTTGGGCAAATATTCGTCACTTTTGACTTAATCAATTTGATTAAAATCAGCTCCTACATAGACCAGAAGTTACTTAAGTATAGATCTGAACTTTAGTCAGGTTGTGACTAAATTTGACCCCGTTTCCGACTGAGGTGACAGTTTTTAAAATTACATAAACTTTTATCCTAAATGTAAGTAAGTTTAGCATATTTCTATAGAAAACGTACCCTTTTAACATCAAAGTTTGGTTGCGTTGTAAAATTTTTGCATTTTCCAAAGTGTACTTCCTGTGTGTAAGCAATGCTTAAAGTTAGAATAAAAGCAGCAAATTTCATCAGCGCCATTTTGGTGTATTGTAGTGCGGCCAGAGATAAAATTATGTTCCAATGTTCTAAAATTCTCTAAGTTATCTATATAAGTTTAGGTAACAAAAATACACATGTGGCAGAAATAGTTAAAACTCTAAAGTCGTTATCATTTGACTCACATTTTGTTCCATGTGATAGATAATCTACAAACCAGTGGTCAGTTGTCCTAAAATTAACAATATTTGAATAACCTGTTGTATAGTTTATAACAAAAGATAGGGCCGTCGAATATCAAGTATATACGAGTATAACTGTCGGTGCTACTTTGACCACTCGAAAGATATTCAAAGTGGACTGATCATAACGGTGTAGCTCGATTCACAGATATTTGTTCCAAATGTAGCTCGATTCAGAGCTGCTTGCTTCGAGTGTAGCTCAAGTCAGAGCTATTGGCTTTAAATGTAGTTCATGTCAGAGCTACTGGCTTCAAATGTAGCTCTCGATTCAGAGCAATTGGCTGATTCAGAGATTTTAGCCTCATTTTAGCTCCATTCAGAGCTATTGGCTCTAAGCCTATTTTGATTCAGAGCTATTGGCTTCAAGTGTAGCTCGATTCAGAGCTATAAGCTTCAAGTGTAGCTTGATTCAGTAGCTATTTGCTTCAAGTATAGCTCAGCTATTGACTTCAAGTATAGCTCGATTCAGTAGCTATTGGTTTTAAGTGTAGCTCTATTCAGAGCTATTGGATTCAAGTGTAACTCGATTCAGTAGCTATTGGCTTCAAGTATAGCTCAATTCAGCCCTATTAGCTTCAAGTGTAGCTCGATCTAGCGCTATTGACTTCAAGTGTAGCTCGATATCTCCATTAAGAGCTTTTTACTTCAAGTGTAGCTCAAATCAGAGCTATTGGCTTCAAATGTAGCTCGATTTAGCCCTATAAGCTTCAAGTGTAGCTCGGTTAAGAGCTATTGACTTCAAGTGTAGCTCAAGTCAGAACTATTGGTTGCAAATGTACATATAGCTCGATTAAGAGATGCTTTGTTCAAGCGTAGGTCGATTAAGAGTTGTTGACTTTAAATGTAGCACGATTCAGAGCTATTGACTTCCAATGTAGCTCGATTCAGAGCTTTTGATTTCGAATCGCTTGCTTTTTAGCAAAGTGGGTTCAAATTTCGTCTTTGGCGTTGAATTATGTTCTGTGTTTCATATGTTGACCACATATTAAAGTTTGTCCATTTTATAATTAAAAGTAAATATGGAAGACATGTTATATATCTAACAATAAAAGTACATATGTATTTAAGATGAGTTGATAAGATGAAAAATGTATACATTGTATTTCAGTTTTAAACATGATCTGCTATAATTATAAATGGAATCTATGATCGGTTTAATTAGTTGTAATAATTGGTATTCAATAGTAATATAATATGAACAGTGGTTAATCAAAACATTTTGGTTATTCATTTTTCTTAGTTTGAAAATTTTAGACCGAAAATTGAAAAGTGATCAAAAAATAAGTTTGCGACGAGTCATTGACAAACACGTATGAAATACACAATGTATCTTTCATAAGCCTATTTATTTTAGCATTTCCTTTTAATTTCCTTAAACAAAAAAAAAACAAACGTTATATTTGAAGTCCTTATGAAGGGTATTGGTAACCGAAACTAATGGAATAAATTATGATAGTCAAACCCGACCTTGTGACGATGTGTGTTCCTCCAATTTATTAGTATTGTAGTAAAAATACTTCTGCCAAGAATCTTAGATCAAGGTAGTCGGGCCATATAAACTTTACATAGATTATTAACAAATGATCAGGTACATAACCATGCTATGAAATTTTAATTTCAATTTTAGCTTCTCCCAACTTAGTGCCTAAGTAAAGATGAGAGGTGTAAGTGTGACAGTTTTTTGTTTTGTTTACCAGGGAATGGTTACGAAACACGTCGTTCTTATAAAAATGTCGCACTCTAGCTGCAATCACTTCAGTACAACACTCATCACAATGAACGCCGTACAGTTTGCTTGCTTGCTCTTGTTTGCCGGTTACTCCAGTGCGCAAGTGTTTTCATCTGGAGGATGCCCAAATGTTAACGCACAAAAGAATTTCACTTTAAATAGGGTAAGTCAGTTTAGCGATATTCCTAATACATTAATACTTTTTCCTCATTGGTTAAAAATAAAGTGATGGCACCGTGACATAGGTTGTTGTTTTTTGTATTTTAATATGTTTTGGATTATTTTTACGACAATAATTATTAACAGCACATTATGTCTCAGAAACGAATCAATTGTCGTTCATAAGAAAGGGCAAACACGAGCTTTTAACGTCAAAATCAAGGTTTAAAAGTATGTTTAATGTGTTTTTTTTTCAGAAGAAAAAACGCTGAATGTGAAATTATTTGTCATAAATGTAGCAAAATATAAACAAAATAGTATTTGACTTCCATATATATTAGATCACTATAATCGTATAAATTGTTAAAAAAAACATTAGCAAAAGCTGGTCAGTAATTAAGTAATTATTTGAAAACTAGAACGGGATATTAAATATGAAAAGCTTTTGAAAAATGAAATTGTAAGCAAACTTTGGCATAATTGGCCTTTAAAATACGATGTGTTCAGGGCGTCCTTAGTTAAGTTCACCGCTATGGGTTCGAATCCCGACAGTGACATTGGATTATTTTATGTGAAGAAGCTATCCAGCTAGATTACCAAATGTCGTTGGTTCTACTTTCTGTTCGTGCCTGAAATAATGCATGAAAGGTCACCTTAGGTCTTCCTCCATCAGTAAAACTGGCAAGTCGCATATGGTCTATACTGTATTGATGCGACGTAGAACCCAACCGAAAAGACGATTCTTGGACAAAGCATAGACTTGATTTGAGCCGCGTCACGCCAAAACAACATAGTGCGTTTGCGACCAGCATAGATCAGGATCCGTGCTTTTCGCTATCAGTTTCTCTACATGTAATATGGTTGGTAAGCGAACAGCATGGATCCTGATCAGACTGCGTGGATGCGCAGGCTGATCTGGATCCATGCTGGTCGCAAACCCATTATGTTGGTTTTGTCATGACGCGGCTCATTTTTTTTTACAGTATTTAGGGGACTGGTACGAAGTGTACAAATTCTACGCGGCCTTCGAGAGCGGTCAGTCATGTGCTAAAGCCCATTATGAACTGAAGCCTGATGGCCACATCAAAATTGTCAACAGTGGATTCAAGTATGAATATTTTTTTCATGTTACTTTATATAAACTTGTGAAATCTTCTTCTAATTACATTTGTAACGATTTGAAAACAGTATGTGTGATACTAGCTGGTGGTTGAATAAAACGTACATTATAATTTCTTTTAATTTAACTCATATCGAGAAAAATGTATAAGTCTAATTCTTCATTTGAATATAGAAGAATCATTTTATAGCATGTGTTTATAAAACCATTTATCGAATGACTTAGTAAGAGAATGTGATGTTCTGATTGCAGGGACGGAAAAGCCATTCAAGCTGTTGGTGACGCTTTTGTCCCTGATGCCGTAAACAACCCCGCCAAACTTAAACTGAGATTCTCATCATGTAAGTATATTGTTTGTATCATTCACACTGAGTAAAGTTGGGAACAGTTCATTTGGGAGGGGGTTGTAATTTCATTGTTCGTTGCCCTATTTTTTCCATATCCTACAAAATACTTGGACTTGTCGTTAATATAACGTCAATGATTTTGTGTAGCATCCGTTTACAAACGAAATTATCTTGTTAATCTCTTCAAATGTTAACATTTTCTGTTTTAGATATTGAATCAAGAGATTTCCATGTAATAAATAAATAGATAGAAAAATAAATAGATAGAAAAAAAATAAATGGATAGAAAAATAAATAAATAAATAAATAAATAAATAAATAAATAAATTAATTAATTAAATAATTAATTAAAAATGCGCACCAACTTCGAGTCTGATTTGACCTTGCTAAAGTGGTTGTCTCAACGTGTGTAATTTATAATAGCATTAATTACGTTGGAAATGTTTGCTTATTGATAAGAACTGCAATGTACTTGATTGTACGCATTAAACCTTTATTGATTGATTGATCTGTCATTTCAGTGGCTCCCTACGGTAATTACTGGGTTCTTGACACAGACTACGACAATTATACCTTTATTTACTCGTGCAGTGGAGTATTGGGTATAACCCACTACGAGTTTGCATGGATTCTCACCAGACAACCTAATATAACGGAGGAGGTTAAAACCAAACTGTTCAACGAGGCTAAAGCTTTCGGAATAGATACCAGTAATTTCAAAGTACAGGACCGTTCGGGATGTACGAACAATCCTTGATCGACTTGGTGTTTACATGTCTTGTTTTTTTTTACATGTGAATGAAATTTGTCCACTTTTTTTGTATTTGTTACTTTGATTTTTATATAAAATATTAGAATGATAGCATATTGTTATAGTTTTTTATATGAAGGTATATAAGTAATGTTAATTTGATGTCACCACTAACCTCTTTACATACTGATTAAAAGATCTTGTGTTTGAGCTTAATGAGTTTGGTTGGAACATATGAATTTAAGCTCGATCGCGAAACAAGTTCTTGCAACTTATATTAATCACTTGAGGGTCCACTCCCGGGAACTAGCTTTATGATGTCATATGAAGAATCGTTACCCGTGTGGGTCTTCAACCAATTATCCATTGGTTAAGAGGCAGACACCTTAGCTAAAAAAAGATAAAAAAAAATATAGCCGTGTTCACATTTTACTCATTCGCAAGTTCCCAGAAGTCGTTCGTATTGCTTTACGTGCCATCAATAGATAACCAGCTGAAACTGAAAGTGGACTTCCAAAGCACCTACATTTATATATTGACAAGTTTTGATCCTACACTAACAGTAATTGATAATCTAATGGTTTATATAAAGTACTGATATCTTACCATACCAGAAATACAACAATTGGCTATCAAAAATCTTTACAATGAGTTTTGAATATAAAAAGCAGCTTTAAGTGTAAACCCCAACATGTTGGGGATGATTAGAACCACTTGACTTGGTCAACTTGATGGTTATTATTTTGGGTTTTAAGATACTCGTAAAACAAAAATCCGCAATTATAGGGAATTATTGACAATAGGTACAAGTCCAGTTGTGAAAATGACTTGCATTCACCAAAATATTTAATCGATTTACCTCTTTACATCCTTTTACATCTTTTAGTTACTATTAGGTACTCCTTATTTTACGACTTTCTGTTCCTATTGTTCACTTTATTGGGCACTACTGTCTTTACGCCTTACTGTCCTCATTCTAATCTGCCATATTTACTGCCAATAATTGTTATCCCCCCACATCTTACGTTACATCTACTTCTTTATGGTTTACTTGTCCCAAACTGTACTTACCACCCCCTTAAATGTTTGCGTTACTCCAGCCTTCGTCCTTATTGCCACCTTAACATGTTTTACTGATGCCTTCTTAATGACTGCCTTCTAACTTTGACTTCTATTGGGTTAACTGCTCTTATTATCCTCGTCAATATTTTTGTGAATTTTCTTACTGTTCTTAGAGTTTCTTAATAAGCAATGGGCCAAAGAATCAATTCCCGGACAACTGTCAGAGGTTGTATTTCTTTATGACTAAAGGTGTGTACTCAACTGTAACAATATTGTCTTCTTTCAGCTTACTGTTCTTACTACTGCCTTTATATCTTTCTAGCACTATCGACTTCTTTCAACTTAACTTTACATCTAGTACTTATTGAACAATGCAAGCGCTCATTTACTCATCTTTGTTGGTTGTACGATTTTACACGTTACTATTTTCTTTTTTAGCATTTGTGCAAGAACTATCTATTGCCCTCTCAACCATTTTACTCTTGGATTTTCAAATTAAATCATTCAGTTAATTGTTAAAGCTGCATACCTCCAGATGAGCCAATCTATTTCAAGAAAATCAAACTTGAGAAAAAATATTTTAAGAAAAGATTCAAGATTTAAATGATTAGTCACAAGTTGACTAATTTGGCAGGATTTATTAACACAATTCTATTGTGTGACTAACACAGTAAGGGCTATTTTTTGCGTATTTTTTAACTGTTTTGGGTATAACATGGATTGTTAGTGCTGCTTGCAGTGTATAAAATACATTCTTTGTTCACTTCACAATAGTTAACTTTTAGAAAACATTTTCAAAATTTTCTAGAACACTAGCATGAATCTGGAGGCATGCTGCTTTAAGCTACATCATAACAAGACATGGCTATCATAGAAAATGATTTATTGAAAGCAAAAATATAAAACAAGGTTGTCAAAATAATGACAATAGTGTAGAATATCAAAAAATGTTGATGCAACAAAAATAACAATGTTTTTTTCTGTTCATTTTTTTTAATATGAAGAAAATATATATGTGAACACATATAAAAAAAATTCTCAAGGATTTCACAGGTAAAGAACTGCATTATGGGATGAAAGGAATCACTCAAACCATTGCATAAACTTGTATAAATTCTCATAACCTTTAAAAAAAAGAAAGAAAACACACTTTATTATGAAATTGATATTGTCGTTAAATGCGTAGAATCAATTGAACAAATTGGGGTAGTATCTGAAATTGTCTTATCTATCCTTCAAACAATAAACCTTTTTCATTTAAAACCATACATACTCGAGAAAAAAAAACACCATCTCACAAAACTAACAACTATGACAAAAGTCATGAAACATAAAACATTCAGATCAACGGAAATTAAAATTGAACCATGAAAAATATACATTTGTACTTGAAAATATACATTTGTACTTGGCAAAAAGCCTAACATTCAACAAAGACTTATATTTTTCCCTTTGAATAAAACAGTTCACAAGTAAATTCGAATATTATGTCAAGGACTTATCAGATCTATCAATTTTCGTATTACCCTGAATTAAGTGTCAAAATTAATATTCGTGAATTAAACTGGCCTCTATATAAATTGTGGTTTTTCGTCAAATCATAAATAAATACTTAGTTGAATCATTTATTCTATGTTTACAGCACTTGAAATCAAACCCAAGACTAAATCATTTCACAGAGATAAGAAAAATGAAGCCTGATGTCTCATAATCAAAAAGAGCATTAATGTGTGGTCACATGACCAAAGATAACTTCAGAAAGAGATCACATAACCTAAACCGGCTAGGACACAAAGAAAAGCATCACTATGAGGTCACATGACAGCTTCAGATTACATCACCATGGTTTCAGATAGAATGAACCGACAGTTATATCATCACACGATAAGCGAAAGTTTTCTGGTTATATATCTTATGTCTTGTGACAAATAATTTATTAATGGTCATATAATCAACAACAATTTCTGTTTTGGTCGTTCATAGAAGCTATTGAAAACAAGTAAACAATTTGATGCTTTTCAAAGCAGTATTACACCAAAACAATGACAAATACAATGCTCATAGCTTACACACACTTTCATAGCTTATATAACACCACACTACATGGGTATTACCCTTAATATTAAGTATAAATTATACAGACATCAACTTATTATTCAATTTATCCCACATGAACAAAATAACTTTTCATAACATTTGTTTCCCCGAATCATTAAATCGAGCTGATTATGATATGCTTTTAATAACAACATTTTTTCTGTATGAATCCACGTTTATGAGACTAATGCTGATTAAACTATTAATTAAATGACCATATTGAACCCTAAACCGGCTATATATCTTAAATGGACTTGTCCATCACTCAATCTGGACAAAACCATTTATAGTTTATTAGGGGATATTTCATAATAAAATAAGTACTGAATGATTAGGGAACAGAGCGGACAATGAACATGCTGACCTTGGGTCTGCACTGGTCACATGGATTATATTATCATATATATATTCAGTAGCCATCAGAAGGCTGGTAATTTAAACTAGATAAAATCAAGTTATTTAAGTTTTGAAATTCAGTTTGCTCTCTATTATTACCAAACAGGTCCGAATTATCAGTCAATTTTTTTTTCAAGATGTTTTTTTTAAAGATATATCTAAACAATATTGTATGCTGATGCAACTACTTCTGAATATTCAAAACCAATATGATCACATTTATAACAACTAGTACATTTTAATTTAATGCAAGCACAAAGATAAGACTGTCTGTAACTGTTCTTACGAAATTGGTACTTTAGCAAAGCAAAGCTTCTAGTATAGTTGCTATAATTTAGTTTGTTTTTAAAATAATTATAATAAATATTTTATATGCAGTTTAAAGTCCATAATATTATAGGACATATAGTCTAGAAAAAAAACTGATATCTTAATCTTTAACTTAACATATTTGAATACTCATTTTAAAAACATATATGAACATGACATGGCATCTTTTTAGTTGTGTAGAAGGAAATACCTTTTTAGATAATACAGGAAATAACTTTTTAGATAATACAGGAAAATGATTGGATATACTATAACAGATATTTCCATTACCTTTCTGTTATTCTTGACACTTGGAAAAAAAAATGAACATATAAATTATACCGTACATGGAGTCCAAAATTATTATTATTGTTATTATTACATGACACATAATTAGTTATATTTCCCTCCGAAGTATAAAAGACAGCAATTTTGAATACAATGGATCACTATGGTAATGGCTATAGCACTATATGCACTAAGTCGTTCCCACAAGGCATGTATTTCTTCAATGACACTTCAATAACCCCCATACACCTCAAGGTGCCGGGTAAAAGCCTGCTGTTCCAGGGTAACCAAGGGGCAACCCGGCTCCTCCACCTGCTGGGCTTCTTACAGGAATCTGTCCAGATGGCATCTGAATTAAAATAAACAAGAGAAGAATTAACTAAATATTTCATTTAAGAGTTTTTCATTTCATAGACATGGTGGTCTGTTTTTCAATAAAATGCAACCGGTAATAAAGCAACTTAATCACCATGACTCTTTTTACTTAACATAAACATGATATCATAGTCAAAAATGTTCATGAAAATTGTAAACATATACTCAGTAAGTTATATTTGAATTACAGGGTTCATACAGACCATCCAGGACAAAATTCAAGGAGTTTTCAAGGACTTTTTCAAGTATTTCAAGGACTAAAATATGTGAAACACTAAAGACAAATATGTGTAAAAGGGCGACAATGTATGAAATTAGTGTTTTACATGCAAATACCTGTTGAAGTACTATCAAATTTATGAAGTTTTTTCTAAGTGTGCAAGATTTTGCAGTAGTTGCTTCAGAGGGTGGGAGTGGTATTGTCAGATTATTGTTATTGCCATCTTTATTCAAGATAGTACTTCACCTAAACTGAAGAAGCTAGTTACATTGTATATCCTGATTACATTCTCTCGCTGTTGAGTGTTGTGAATTGTTTGTGTTTCTGACTTTAATGTGCGATTTTATAGCGCTTTCACCCATTCCTGAAACGTCTATAACCTTATCACAAGCGCTACACATCGCCTTTCTTTAATCACCCTTGAATTCTTCAATGAAAGGGTATTTTTCTACACATTTTGGCGAGAAATTACACTTCTTCATTTTTTGATGAATAACCCAAACTGGTCCGTGAAATTTACACGTCAAGAATATTTCAATCGTGTAAAAAAGCCGATACCCGTTCCGTACCGTCTTACTATCTCGTTACGAAGTCGTCTTTTTTTTTTAAATTGATGTATATTTGAGTTTTCTTTTGTTTTTTGGCCGCTGTTTTACTAATTATAGTCGTTTTTCGGTACTTAATGAGGAATTCGTGGATTATTGAACAAAATTCACAAGTTTCCTGTAAAATTCAAGGAGTTTTCAAGGACTTTTTCCCTGGACAAAATTCAAGGAGTTTTCAAGGACTAACCACCAAATTCAAGGACTTTTCATGGCCTGTGCGAACCCTGAATTAAAACTGTACATATCTTCAATTAAGTGCAGTTAGAGAGGTTAACTATTTTATTAAATGATTTAAGGAGTTAACCCATAACTGCACCAAGATGACAATATATACCTTCATTTATCAAATCTTATCTACAAGACCCTGTAAACAACTGTAATATACCTGTGCTCCGGCCATTTGTAAGCTTGCATATGGAGAGCCTGGATACAGTGGATGTCCAGTTGCCGAGGCAGCGTATGGGTTCTGTGAGGGACTTATCTGTAGAGGAGTAAACTGTGAACTTATATATGTAGGGTACTGTGACTGGGCTGCCGATGATAGGGATGTCACAGCTACTGGAACAGGCTGTGCTAGAGAAGATTGTTGGGCTGATAGGGAATATCCTGCTCCTACCGTCAGAGGGTACCCTGCTGCAGCACCAGCTAAAATATACAATGCATGTACATTAATTTTAATGTCAAGTTTAGATCTGACGTTGAAATACATGCATTAACAATGTCATTGTATTAATCATATTTTCTTTATTCATGTTAAGATACAAAACAATCAATAATTTAAATAATTCATTTAAGGTCTTGAAATGAAGAAAAAGGTCATGATTTTTTTAATGCAAATGTAGATAATTGGGTCAAATTCTTAAGAGAATTTAAAGGGACATCATGCTATTACAAAAACTAACATCTAAGTACTTTGTGCTTAAATGAGCTATAATAACTTACATATAGGTATGTAAGAAGAATATCAATAAATAAATACAGAATATATCAATCATTTCATATCAGATATTGATGTAGCATTTATATGCCTCAGTTTGAATCAATGACAGCCTCTATCTGAATGGAATAGGAAACTATATATTTACCAGGAACCATTGAAGGAGATGACACAAGGGAACCAGCACCAGGGTAACCAGCAGATACCATGTATCGTTGCTGCGAAGATGGACTCGACACTGGCAGATATGTAGGATGCTGATTACACGTTCCATAGAAAGCTGCTCCAGGCTGACCTAGCGATCCTGTCTGGCCGAGAGAGCCAGACTGGGCCAGAAAACCTTGCTGTGCAAGACTCTGATAACTTGGATTCGCACCTGGGTAGAGACCCGCTGATTTCTCTGACTGATACATGCTGCTCATCCCATTAGGTACCCTCGAAACTCCAGCCACCTGGACAGGGGTCATACCTGGCATTCCAGTCATTGCATACCCAGTCATTCCAGGCACGCCTGGAATAGGTTGCACGGTTGTCATGCCATATGGCAAACGATTTTGACTGAAATATGTATAAAAATATACAGTAAATACCTGAAGACCATAAAAAAATTAAAGCTGAAACAAAATATATTTCATCCTGTTTTTTTTTTTTTAATTCACATCTGCATTAGAAAAGCAAACTACTTATCAACACCTCTCCAGTATATTATAATGCCATTTACTGTATCTACTACACTGATTATTAAAACAAATACATAGATATAATAAAAAGCATGCTATGTTATATTCAAGAAAAAAGAAGCATGCATAAATAAAAAGCAAAACCAACACCACAACTAAACAGTCATGTAACCTGTAAGAACTCAATCACTTTCTTACAAACTACACAAGGATCCTATACCAGCTCAAATTACGCATTTTTTTTTTTTTTTTTGGCAACCCTGCTTTCCATTTGTTTAAACATGGTTCTTCATCAATGGAAATTTATATCCAAGTATCATTTAAACAATGGTAAACAAATTAATACATTTTAATTGAGAAGACAACTGGCTACGGTAATTTCTATCCTCAACATTATGGTTTTTCTTGGTAATACATAACAATGTGTAACTACATTTCAAGATTTTGTAGCTCCTTTCATATTTTACAACTCAAGATACATTTAATCTCAAGTTCTCTAAAGTAAAGCCACTTCTCTAAACATAAGTGGAATATCTTGGAGGGATATCACAAATTGCTAAAACTGTAAGAATATAACATTGATTTCAATGAATTCATACTTTAAACGACCTATGTGTTTTTGAGCTGATGTGGGATATGTCATGTTCATGCTGAATACACGGGTGACAGTGACATATAAACACGACTACACAAAGACTACACTCACACAGAGACTATACAATAACTACATAGAGAAAGTGAGTCTAGTGGTCATGATGATATGAGGTGATGGACAGTGGTGTATAAACAAATAAATCTGCTTCGTGAAATACAGGAAATTCTTGATCTCAGTATTTAATAATTTATATATGCTTTATTGCTCATCTGTTTTTTCTTATTTTTTCATAAATTCTTAGTTTTACTTTTTGTTTTTGTTACTTTTTTTTCCGCTAAATTGCATATAAGACTGAAGATTGCCAAATCTATGGAATATTTCTTCATTATAGTTTCCAAACATTAATTCCAACATCTGTGACTAAAAATCTATAAAACGTGACTGAAAAACTATAAAATATCTCTCTGATCCTAAAATCAAAGTTTTCAGCCTAAAGTAATACTGAAGCAGTTGCCTGTATTTCACTATGTTAGAAAGGTTGATTTCTTATCATAATGTTATTAAGTAAAAAACAGGGATACGTAGAAACACAGTGCAGAATACTGGACAAAAATAAGCGATACAAGCTATATGAACAGCACTACACAAGTATGCCCTCATTATTCCACACATCCTATCATAACCTTAAAAGCTCCAAACATTTTCCGAAAGTTATTTTATTTTTTTCGATTGAATCTCTCCCTGTCCCGCCCCCCTCCCCACCCCACCTCAAACTTGTTTGCATGAAATCTTTTATTTAATTAGAAAAAAAGGGTATACTTTTTCTAAATAAAATATATAATAGCAAAATAATATAGTAAAAAGAAACTATAGCATACAGTATACTTGAATTAAAACCACATATTGGAAACACGCAAAATTTGCCACTCATATGCATATCCTTACTACAGAACACTATAACGGAACTGTTTAACTTAATTTTCAATTAAGAAGGTAAACTACAACTCTTAACTCAGATATCCTTTCATTTCTCTTAAAGAAACATTGTAAAATGATGAAGTTATCGAAAGCACAAATTATTTATCTTTATACTCCTACTTATAAAAGAAAATTCAGAACTTTGAATGTATACTCACCCCAGCATCAACTCTTCGATGAAGTTTTTGTACTTTCGTATTTTATTGTTCTACCCGATATGTATATTAACTTAGAATTTGTTGAGTCTTTATTTCTTTGAACATTTTATTTAATATCCTAGACCCAAAGATTACTCAATTACAAGAAAGGTTGCCTATTTTGGGCAGAATTTTATCTCTTGGTCATTAAACGAAAGAAGCGTCCAAGCCGACTTTTCATACTTAACACCAGTAAATCATTAATAAAGACCCTGATAATTGTTATGTTTTAAGAAAGTATGTCCCAGAGTTTACCAGTAGAATAATGTATAAAAAGGCGAGTCATTTTTTTGTTTTTATCAAGGTTGGTCAAACTTGCCTTGGGTATGACATCAGGGTACTCGTTTTCTTCTTGACCTTCTATTTCTCGTGTGTATGGATTATGTATACCGCCTGGATTATTGGAATAAAATCATCGTACAATATCATAACCTAGTGAAAAATGTTTTAAATATACTAACTAACTCAGATACAAAACTGACCAAAATAACAGTAAGTTCACAGTCAAAAATATCACATATACACACAATTTTGTTTAGCCTGAAATGAGCTGATTTAATTAATTTATTGTTAACATTATTTTCTCAACAACATTTACATAAATTAATTATTAATTAAAATTAAAGAAATTTAATTATAAATTAATTAAATCATAATATGAAACTGACATGTCATTTTTAAACATACTATAAATTCCATTTTTATCAGTATTTCTTTTTTTATTCTTAATTATAGTAATAAATATCAAATACAATGTACCGGTATATGCTTTTTATTCATACAATGAAAACAGGAAATCAGTAAAACTTACTTATAATAATTATTATCTAACCCTAAATTCAATCTAAATATAACACAAAAGTAAAACTTATGTACTTAATCAAATTATGATATAAAACAGGATGAGGTAGTGAACAATTCAGTTTATTGTGATCAGTTATTTTATCTGATAAACCTTATCCATTATCTAGAAAAACATGCAAAGTAAAACTCGGAATATATATAAAAACTTCACATCTAGGGTATATACAGATATAAGAATGATGCATACAAATGAAAGTATTGTAATCTCTAAAACAAGGCAATGTGTTCCTCATTTACAGGCTGTCATGATTCAAAACTAAACAATATGTGTACATTTAGATTTAGATATCTGTTTTGGCATTGTTTTTTGTTGTTTTCTTTTCTTTTTTTTTGGGGGGGGGGGGGGGGGAGAGTTTTTTTTCTTTCCTAAAAGTTTTAAAACTCCTGAACTCTTGACACTTTACGTTTTGTCTAAATGTCAATATGACATAATTACAATTTACATGATTTTTATAACAGTTGGTTTAATCAAAGGAACCAATTTATCTCATTACACCTGTAAATGATTTACAATTCCTTTTACTGGCCAAGAGTTGAAATTACTTGTGTCATAGAAGTGTTGCTTCTATTGCACTGCTTTCACTTACTTAACAAATTACTTCATCCATATATCAAGCCATTTTGCTTTTTATTTCAAGTCAAAGATTGCAAAAATCAGATCAGTTATATGACACCAGTAATTTCTTCCTCTTTCTTAAATATATCTGAATATCTATACTATATAGTGTAAGTAGAAAAGGTAGAAAAACATTAAAGCAGGTAAAAAACTTATCAATCTTTTATTTATACTCATTTAAAAACTTAAAAACAATAGAACTTGCTTATAAAAAAATGTTCATAGACAATAAATGTTCTGTTTACGTTCTTTCGCTGTTAAAAATCTTCAAATTGTAATAGAGTATTTCAATAATCTTAATTTACGTAATAAAGCAGCATATACAAACTTATCATTTACTGAATAAGTAAAGCCTATCTCTTAATTAGAAATTTCTTTTAAACCACAAGCATATACTGCTGGCAATTAATTATTGCAAGATCTACATAATAGCTTGGAAAGAAGCAGGTAGAAAGCTGAATAATACAGGATTAAGACTTATCTTACTACAGCAAGGGCAGATAACCTGGATTACACAATAAGGTTACCTCCCACTAAATGATATTAAACAAGGGAAGTAACCTCTGCTCAAATCATCTTCCTTCTCACAATTCAAAGCTGATACAAGTGTGTTATTTACATTCTGAATGCGGCATTGTTCACATGTCATGTAAAGATACTAAGATACCAGTTACAAGTTGAAAACCATTGTCAAAAGAAGGAAGTTGTTTTGAAACAATTACAGTATTTGAAAACTTCAGATAAAAAAACATACATGGCTTAAAGTAAAATTTGGTAAAGCATGTATTATCCATCATTTGAATCATTTCGAAATAAAAATGCAACAGTAAAACATAGCCAATAAACCAATATTTTGTTAAAATTATCTGAAGTTTCCAAATTGTTTAAACAGTGTTTATTGTCAAAGAACTTTTCATTGCATTCAACATAAAATAATGTCAATAAAACAGAGTTTTATCAGAAAGTCCCAATACATACAGTTGTGTAATATAAAACAAACATACATACATTTTGTAATCTCTTTCTTAAGTTTATTCACAATATATAAAGAAAAATCTCATATGAAGATGACACAAGTTCAAAATTCATACAGAATTAAAAAAATGCCAGTGATGTGAACAGTTAAGTAAAACGTACTGTGAAAAAGCTTTCATCAATGAAAAAAAAAAAGAGAGATGAAAAGTTCTGAGACAGAAATTGCATCTGTCATGATTTGCTAGCTGATCATTTCTGACTCATCAGTGCAATCAGTCCTGATATATGCTGACAGATCAATCGAGATGCTGTAAGTTGTAACAAACATGATATGTGGATGTATCATGCAATGAAAAAATTGAAACTCTAACCCAATGTAACATAGAAAACTGTTGAATGCAAAACATAGGCTTACTTGATCATGTTCGTATCCTAATGTTCAATGAAAGTTTTAAGTAAAATGCTAAAAAACTTGCTTTAGTTTATGGTAAACATACATAGCATTTATTTTGAATGATAATAATCATTATCAATAACATAGCAATGCATTTATTTTGAAATATAGATTATTCTTGAAAGATTTTTTACTTTAACAAATACATATAATGAATTTATAAAGACATTGATTGGGCCACAAGCATGATCAATCGGCCATTTCTCCAGAGGTGATATTTCTACTTCTGATACAAGATACAAGAATAGTACTTGTGAACAAATATTAATATACAATCAAGTCTTCAGTGCTAATACTGTATACACTACATCAAAATGTCAAACCAAATCTCAAGAAGAAAAAAATCAAACTAAACATAGAATCAAACTTTCCCAAAAATGATAGCGATTTCTCCAAGACATTTCCTGCCTCAAATGTAAAGGATAATTTCATTCTTTGTTGACTTAACTACTAATTACTCAGATCGCATACACAAAGAATGGTAACAAAATCCTGTAAATGTATTCATTTTCAACAATTGGGAAAATTAAATTCTATGTTTTTCATCCTGTAAAGACTATAGAAATGTTTCATATTCTATAATCAAAATCATTTAGTAAACACATTTTCTACATGATTATCAATTTCACCCGATCTGTGTAATAACTTTAAGCTTCTTTTAAAACAAATTCAAATATCATCTGAAAACTTATATTCTAGTTGGAAAAAATTATCAACAATAAAGCAAAAACAATCAGATGGTTTTTTTTGTGTTTTTTAAAGCATTAATATACTATGACATTAATAATATGTCAATTTTTTTGTTTTTTTTTAATACATTATCTGACTGAACTTTCTACTTACACTCCTACTTACCTCTAGTGAAAGCATGAACACCAAGACCACACAAGCCTTCTCAAACACAATAAATCTGTAAAACAGGAAAATAATTCTTTCTATAATTTGCACTTACATGTATTAGTACTCTGCTACCTGATAAATCAATGATTTATAATTTCACAACAAACAACATTTTACGTGCAAGAGTTTTTTATATACTATTTGAGATTGAAATAAGGTCACTTTACAATTTTGAGAAGGCCCCTTCAGAATTCCAAAATCCAGCTTCACAACAGCAAACAAGAGCTGTCGGTAGGACAGCAACGCTCGACTATTCTTAGTGCTTGATAGTAAAAAAAATGCCTGATACAGTTACCTCCTCCTGTTTACAGGTTGGGGTCATGATGGTGAACAAGTGTGCAAAGTTTCAAAGCCATATGTCAATGGACTTTGAAAATATTTGAACTATTACAAAAACTTTAACGTTAATTCTAAGTCGAAAAAGGGGTATAATTCTGTCAAAATGCTTGATAGAGTTACCTCCTCCTGTTTAGAGGTTGGGGTCATGATGGTGAACAAGTGTGCAAAGTTTCAAAGCCATATGTCAATGGACTTTGAAAATATTTGAACTATTACAAAAACTTTAACGTAAATTCTAAGTCGAAAAAGGGGCATAATTCTGTCAAAATGCTTGATAGAGTTACCTCCTCCTGTTTACAGGTTGGGGTCATGATGTTGAACAAGTGTGCAAAGTTTCAAAGCCATATGTCAATGGACTTTGAAAATATTTGAACTATTACAAAAACTTTAACGTAAATTCTAAGTCGAAAAAGGGGCATAATTCTGTCAAAATGCTTGATAGAGTTACCTCCTCCTGTCTACAGGTTGGGGTCATGATGGTGAACAAGTGTGCAAAGTTTCAAAGCCATATGTCAATGGACTTTGAAAATATTTGAACTATTACAAAAACTTTAACCAAAGTGGTTACGCCGACGCCGACGCTCGGGTGACTGCAATAGCTCTACTTATTCTTATCGAATAGTCGAGCTAAAAATTTATGCCATTTATTTTCTAACAGACACCTTTAAATCATCTTCATTCCATCAACCTATTACTGAACATATTTAAAGATTTTTTTTTCCAATTTCCAAAACCTGAAATCAAATTGCAACAACTAAGAATGAAATTTATTCACACCTTTTATAAAATTTTCAATTTAAATTAAATCTAACAAGCAACGGTACATAGCAGAAGCTATCTATAGGGACAGCTTTCTGTTAATTAAGGCAATAAACAACTAGATGATATCAGTTGACTGCTGCAAAGTCATTTTAAGGTAAAATTACTCTAGGTTACACTTCCTAATGAAAAAGAGAAAATATTAATCTTGTGGAGTATTATCTAATTCTAAAATTTGCAGTTTAGTTCTTTAGCTATACATGTTTATATGAAATGAAAATTGTAAGCATATGTGTGAAAAATAGAAAATCGCAAGCTTAGGAAAATCTAAATTCAGACCAGCATCTGACTGACCTCCTAATGTGTTGATATAATGAAAATCAGTTTTTTGAAGGCATAAGGAAGTGTAGCAACAATTATTTCAATGACATCTTTATTATTTCTGAAAAGGTGCCATTACAGGCAGTGAAAATGCCCTAGTCATGGTTGATGAAATAAACAAATATTCGGGCCTCACGCTCTGTTCATCCTTCGAAAAACTTCAAATAACCAATACGTAAAATAAGGACTCGAACTTCAAAAACATTTTGAATGTTATGATAGATTTCAACCTTGCTGTTTGTCATGCCGCAAAAGCACTGCAAAACAAATTTCGTACCGAACTAGAAATGATAATTTGAGCCGTCGATCGTTAATTTTCACTGAAAATAAAATAAACAGAAAATAAAAATAGTTATTACCAATCGAGAGAATTGATCATTCGTATTACATTTACAAAGTTATATTTACACAGGAACGGTAAATAGTATGTATCTCTTGATTTTTTTCTCTCTATATCGCACAAAGCAATTTTTAATTACATCCGGGCGACTGCATCTAATTTCCGGTAATGGCAAAATTAGAAATGAAGAATGTACAATATTGTTGTCGTCATCCAGTCATTTAAAAAAGAAATGATTTTTGCACATGACAGTGAAATCATGTAGACAACTTTCTAAAACGTTAACTAGACTTCATCGTGAATATGGAAGCATTATATAGAATACCCATTCAACAAACTACTAATGCTGTGGAATATCAGTTCAAAGTTCTAGATATAAGCTTATACACTCATTCTCACTTAAGTACGACATTTCATAAATTCTAGAACTGAAAAATGAACTTTCTTGTATATTAAAATTTTATTCCATTCCAAAATTATAAGTATCTCGACATCTTAAATATAAAATATTACCAGTACAGATGTCCTAGATTTTTCCCTATGACAGGTTTTCTAGATAGAACCAGAAAATAAATTTCGTCATTTTCGAGACACTGGTCCTTAAATTTGTGCATATGGTATGGCGATTTTATTTTGTCTCTTTAAATAAACTTTCTATCATCTATTTATATGAACATCTGGAAATGAGAATCAATCGTTGAACTGACAAAAAATACATCTTTTTAAAAACAACTCATGGAAATGCATTTCATATCGAATATGCTTAAATCTCATTTTCAAAATGAATAACCTTACAAAATCCACAGATCCATACAATGGACGAGTAAGAAAATGTGAAAATTACTGATGATTTCTTGAAAGTACTTACTTATTTATTATTCAATTGTCAAATGTGAAATAATCTACGTCATCTCATATATTGACAATTTATTGAGGACTCGTAAATGATTTTTTAATTGTCCCGTTAGTGACCCAGTCTCCAGATGCTATGGATTGACAGAAAGAAATGTAAATACTTTGAATTATATATTTATAATGATTGAAGATTAACTAAAATTTATTTATGAAATGGAGCAGATATTCTTTTGGCAAGGTTGGGCCATATTAACAATATTTAAACAATTTAACTGAAAATAGTAAAAAAATGAGTAAAAGATCGTATAAATGGTCTTAGAAGTTCAACAAAATTGCTAGATTTGCATAAAATCCAAGTAAGCGTAAACGAAAACAATAGTACGAATCAAAACAAATATTTTTTCTCATATAAATATCACTTTCATTGAGAAAATCACTGTTTTATAATTTTCTTTCGCTCTGGCCACTTACGGGACAAGTCAATCTTATTACCATTATCTTATAATTGAACTGCAAAACAATGTACAGAATGTTTGTTTAAACAGATATTAAGTATCTATATAAACTAAAATATTTTATATCAAGATGCATGAAAAGTCATTGTCCATTTAACAGAAACATCTATGAAAATGTTATAAAATTTTCAGAATGTATTTAATTAAAGACAAATAATAGTTAGTTCTCACTATATCTGCTCCAAAGAACCTTCTATCTTACAATTAATACAAGATACTCCAATATTATTGCGTTTTCATTGATAAGCGTGGACTCAAAATTTCCTATTACTCGAATGAATATTCAAAAATTAATTTAACCATTTACGGGACAGTTCAGCCAGATACGGGACACGCCTGTTTTCACGTTTTCTTCATTTTTGTGATTGAAGTATAAGTTTGAATGTATTCGTATATGAAAGTAAGTATCCATTGAACTCTATAATAGTCAAAACGTCTGAATACCAATTTCAATATCAAAATTATGATTTTTAGAAGCTATCTGCAAGTGAAAAACACATTTCAGATGCGTATGTTTAAAAAACATGGATACTTCTTTGTTTTCGTGGAAGAATACTATTCCAACAATACCAACGTCTATTAACAAGTTGAAATAATTCAACAAATCTAGCAGAATAAATCACAAGAGAATTTGAAAGAGGGGGAGTCCCGTAAATGATAGGCTCGTAAATGTTGAACATTTAGATTGACAAGGGAATTTTATGAGAAATTGTGGAATGGTTTACATGAATGATAGAATATAAGCAAGACAAGTATCCACTCTAGATATCTGTAGTATTATAACAATGAAATAATTGAAAATATATTGCAAAACGCATGGTATTGATGAGCCTCGTAAATGGTTTTCTAAAAATTACGCTTGTGAAATCCAAATTAACGTGAAATCCTTAACAAAATGGGTACACAGATACTCTTAATCTTCATATTTTATGTGGACTATATTACTGTAGACTTAATATTGCTATTGAAATAACCATTTATAAGTTACCATGTGTAATTAACATTGTTTTGCAATTAAGACTCGTAAATGATTTCGACTTTGAAGACAAGCAATTCAAATTTGATTTTGAGAAAATTAATTTTCGTAATATCAAAAACAGTTTTATATGTCAAAATCTGCAATAGAATAACGAAAATAAGCTGTGTTTACTGTTAACCACGACTTTATGAACGAAGACACATGCAATGAAACATACTTCGATTTAGTTGAAGACAGGCTGTTTTTCGTACCCCTTCCTTGCAAAAGCGATTGTCACTAGCAAAATCAAACCAATAGGCTAGTAAACTTGCGCTCAAATTAAATCTTTGATGTAGTACCAATTGTTCAAACATTTTACAAGAATGTTCGGGCTTATATATCTCCACAAATTTTCATAGAACATTGAAGACATGGAATGTCGTACTTAAGTGAGAATGAGTGTATAGCTTCCTACACAGTCGAACTAAAAAAAATTCTGTATAAACTGTATAAAGACCTGCTACAAAAGTTGTCATTCAAGTAAATTTAACATAGTTTGATGAATATTGAAGCATCTTTTATAGTTTCACAGCAATTTGAACTTGTAACAGGAGGCTTTTTAATGAAAGCAGCCATTTTTCACAAAATGCTCATGCAGTAATTGGTTAACTTTATCAGTGGATCAAATCTGAAAAAAAAAAAAACAGTTTAGGTTTAATATCGCACACAATGTAATATACTATGTCCAACATTAGCCTAATTAATTCGGCGTGAACGGTTTGACCCATTTTACATACTTTTTGGCTTGCAGCCACGGCTGCAAGCCATTTCATATGAAAACTTGTTCCGGTTAGGTGGTTTCCTGCTTACATCTGTTGGTGCATGATTGAACGGAAAACCAGCAGCAATCGTGCCAATCGCAACTTTTCGGCCTTTTCCGTCAGTCTTCGGATTAATGATAATAGCCGATGTAGTTCCGATTGCAATCGTGACAATTCGGGCGATTCTGTCATACTGCGGAATCAGACGAAGTAATATTACGGAAATCTAAGCTATTTTAGTTACTTCGGTAATCCCAACTAGATTGTTTATATAAATAGGATTTCTATTTTTACTTGATTTATCGGTTTAAACCGTAATAAATTATAAACGAAATTGTTCCGTTTCAATTGTTTTTCAAGACGCAAAAGTTTGTTTCTTTTATAATTGTTTTTTGTCTGTATTAGTTTTATACAATAGAGAATGGTGACTGTAGTTCAAAGGGTGGTCCTGCTTACCAAATCACGCATGACCGAGTTATATTTAGATCTACTGAACGCAATTCAACTTCTTGGTCAGGTAATCTAAAAATAGCCCATGCATATCATTAACCTTGCCACGTGCTGAATCGTCTATTTGTGATCGTGTAACATAGTTGATACCAAACTCCTTACAGCGGTTACGTCACGCTTTGCTACTTTAACCACTGCCACCACTGAAATCACGTGACGATAGTTGTATCATGTGACAAAAACATGGCGGCCAGTTTCAGAACGCCAAGGACCCCATATCAAACTGGCAGATTTATAATTACATTCTTACCAGACAAAATATGTTCAAAACACACAATTTGTTTAAACTTTAAAACAAGTGCCGGGTCAAATCTTTTGCGCTATCGTTCAATAAATGTCTAAATTTTGCCATTGTTTACTATACATACGGTGTCACAGTGAAAATATATTTCGTTATGTTTACAAAATAATTTTTATGCATATATTTTTTTACATTCTTGTACATTAAGCATAACTATTTAACGAAAGAAAACTAAAATGATATAAAGTATTCTATTTTAAAATTAAAAGTGAAAAAAATATATTCGGCTATATTCGACCGAATTTACTTGTGGTGGCAGTGGTTACTGTACAGATCAGGGGAAGTAACCGCTGCGAGGAGTTTGAGTTGATACATGCTTATTAATTGGTACCACGTAAAAGTAAAAGTATTTTAGTGCATTTACTTGTCTATAAAGCAAAGGAATGATTTCGCTGTGAAAAAGGGGAAATGAAATGTGCACACTTGTTTTCCTTCAGTATCACGTTAGTATTTTTACGATTGATCATTTTTTTATTAGTTTTATACAATAGAGAATAGATTGACAAAAAATATTCGGTTTTCCAAAAAAAAAAAAAAACCAACTAAATATGATATACAAATACCGTAATTCAAAAAAAAAAAATGTGATAATAAATTGAAAAAAAAAAAAAACAATTTTAAAGGGTTGGGATGAAGGCACAACTGTGCAAGCCTTTCCTTTTAAAAGGAAACTTTATTTCTCATTGGAAAAAGACAGCGCCCGTCCAAAATTATCTCGGCGTCTCTTTGACATGGACTAGGCCCACATTGGATGTGGCATCAAATTTCAAATGCGTTGAATTGTTTTTGTAACGAAGGTCCGCTTTTTTTTCTAAAAAAAAATTCAATGAGTTGAAACGTTTGTTACCAATAACATGAATTTTATAATCTATTTTATTTATGCAAAAATAGATGATTTGTAGAAAGAAAACCCCGCATACTTTTGCATACATGTACATGAAAATGGCTATACTCAGTATAGGTCACGGTCACGTAATATTATGTTAATTCACTGATTGTCAAAAATTTCACAAGTTAAATGCACGTATATTCGCCCAAAGGTGCACGTGTTGAAATGATAGTTAAAAAATTGAGGTATACGCCGTTGGAAAATACGCTCGCGGCCTAATTATTTACATAAAGCTTTATATAATTAAGCCTCTGTCATTTTGAAGATGTCCGCCATATACATGTAAATTAAGTACTTTTTAAAAGTATTGTAAACATCTGCGTATTAACTGGATTCAACCCTAAACGCATATATATTTGTTACAAAATGTTATGTTGAACAAGAATAAAAGCTGTCGACTCGGTAGCGATGCACGTGGTGAAAGCAACATTTTCGTTTGAACCTGGGACTTAAAATACTTTTGTCCCGGTGTTATCAACCCGGTGAGAAAAGATGATCAAATGGTACGAATTCAGCGATGTTAACACTTGTCTATGCAGCCCCTGCTCATCATATTCAAGGAGAAGGCTCTCACGTCCTAGCAATTAGTGACACGCCCAAGTGCATACATAGAAGTAAATGGGTTTGGATTGGAAAACATAACATTGGTTGTTGAGCAGGTTACAAAACAGATTATGCTGTAAAGTTTCACGGCGGACAACTAAATTATGTTCAGAACAAAAGATGTTGGAAGTTTTTTATGTTAGCAGCGATTCCTAAATGGAACTAAGTTTATGTGAATAACCGATTTAGAAAATGAAAATTATATTTTTGTACTTTGTGATACATCAGCTAGTTCAAAATGAAAAAGATTGTAGCTGTGCAAGGCTCTTTCAAACATACATGTATCTGTTTTAACGATATTTTTGAAAGCTTTTAAGAAGGGATATACATTGCTTCATTAGTTCACCAGTTTTAAGTTTAAGAGTACTTCAAATAGATGCCAACGAAAGGTTTGAATTGAAGAATCTCCTGATGCTTAAAGATTATCCTGAACCTTAATACTTCTGTTAATGTTATCATTATTCAATGATGATGAAATTCTTATATTGGGTAGAAAACAACAACAACAAATGTTTAACATTAATGTCTTTATTGCAGTAAAGTGGGAATCATTTTCACAATAAAACAACAAGCTAAGTAAAGATACAGCGTTTTAACAAAGACTAATTAAAGATCCGCTTTCAACTTAATATTATACATGTATGGTAAATATATATATATATAACACAAAATGACCTACAGAACTTTAAGGGGAAACTTTTTAATTTAGCACTGAGGAAAATTAATGGTTATTTTCAGACTGTTATGGCAAACTATATGGTAGAGGAGCCTTTGTGTACACAGTTCTGTATACAACATTCTACAACTTGCCTGTATTACACATGAAACTTAAAAATCAATATACACAAACACATATGACATATACTGCATAAAAGTTTTGCACAAATGCATTCTTACATCAAATCTTAATACACATTTAACAACCACAATCCCTCAAATCAACCAACTTAATGCACAGGTCTCAAAACACTTAAGTTTTAAATAATTTTGTATTATCAACAGCCAATTATCTGACATTTTAGTTCACAAACATTTCAAGGAGTCAGTGTATGCAAATATTTTGTGTTTCCAAGGTGATTTTGATGATACGAAAAGGAAAACATTGTAAAAAAAAGCATTATATTACCTATGAAGTGATGTAAGCGCACTCGCTAAATTCATATCAATTATAAACATGAAAATATCACAATAATGATGTCATACATTTCTTTGGCATTTCAAATATACTTCGATGGACCATTATCATATCACTATGTGGAACTACCAATTCTCTCCATTAATAAAAGAAAGAAAAGAAACAATGTAAAAACGTTTTTCTTTTTCACTGTCATATATGGCAAACATATTTGCACTTTTTTCAAACAACTTTGCGTTAAATCTTTCTTGTACACAATAAAATGTCACCATTTCCATCTGTAAATAAGAAAGTTAGAAACGCTGCATTTTTCATCACGTTTTAAATGTATGCGGGTTCCACTTCAAATTTAACATTACCAACAATATCTGTTAATATGTGGCAAACATGAAGTAAAACCCATACACAGTAGTTCTGTTAAAACCAAGAATTTATGCTTTTATCAACTTAGTAAGTTTAAGTACGTCATTTCAAAGTCGTTGCTACTGCTGTGACTAATAGATAAAATTTAAATTTGTATGCAAGTATTTCTTGTTGCTTTTATACACTCTTGTGAAACGTTTTTATTTCAATGCAATAGGCCTTAATTTATCATATAACACTATTAAACCTTAAAAATATATTATTACTAAATCTAAAATTTGTTCAGAGATATTTTATCCAATCTGCAAAGACAATCTAAATTGCATGCTAATAATTTTTCTATTACAACATTCAAAGTTCACACTTATGCAATATAAACTTCACTTCCTAAACAGACATGGTGAAATTTACATGTACACAGAATATATTCATTATATACAGGATGTCAAAAATTTACATATAAACTGAATTAAAGGGACACATCTAGATGAAATATCAATAAATAGATGTATAATCAAGCCTAAAAACTTTACATAAAATTGTTAATTATAGTAAAGAACAATTAAGCTTATCTTAATTATTGATGAACTTTTCATAGATTTTTAATTCATACTCTACAACTTCAAATCATGAATATTCAATTAAATTTCAGATTTTTAGTATTGTGTCCATTGCTTCAAATTTCCTGACTAATAAACAAAGGAGTGCAAGAGAATCTACCTAAATATATAAGATAATACCTACAGGAAAAAAAGATAATATACAACACTGATTAGTTAGTTATTTATACACCCAGTTTTTCTAAATTGCAGTATGTTACAGTACACCCACCTACCTCCCATATACTCACTTTTACACTTGTCTAGCTAAATAACTCCCCACCTCCTCTCAGAAATTTCCCTCCTTAATCCCACAAGAACACATTACAAAATGATCATTCATAATCAAAAATATTCAATAAACCAGTAGTTTACTCTGCTTATTTTCTGTATACATAAAAAACAGAAGCAAAACTATACAAAAATGGAGTGATGAGAGGTTAAATAGAAAATAAACATAAATGTCATTACATGTATATCATTACACAGAAAATATTTTCTTCAAAATCAACCAGTTTTTTTTTTAAATACTTTTATAATTAGCCTTTTCAATTTATATCTAAATTTCCTATAATTTGATCATAAAAAAACCCCCAAAACATTTGCTCTTCCTATACTTTAAATTAAAACGACTAGGTTCACTAAAGATGGCATAGTCTTCAATGAGAGCTTTCAAATTCTTTAAAATTTTGAACACGCTGGCGTATGGTCCAAAATATTTAACAAGATTGTCTTGTGACTAAAAATAGGTAAAGCGTGTTTTAAATGTACATGTATACAAGGAAGTAAGATAAAGCTTGACAGAAAATTAGTATTATTAACAAAGCTATATGCTTACAAACATTTACAGACAGACACTAATGTACACATATACTCGGGGAGCAGTAACAACTTTTATAGCAGTGACATATTAGAGACTTTTTGGTGACAAGTGTTCATTAAATATACATTATATGACATGTTGTTACCTTTAAGCAGTAACTGGTTAACTCCTATTAATTTTAGAAGGACTTAACCTGTTACAGCACTAAGGTCATGATGTATGATTTCAAATCTGTTCATTAAACATTATATCATTAACTTCTTTATGATTTGAATGTTATGGCAGCTTTGTATATAGATAGTATGTCTACAGACTTTTAGCTTCTAGTACAGTCATAACTTATCAAATTATTCAAAGTAAAATCCCTTTAAAAATCCTTGTTATAACAAACACCCCAGAAAAGACTTCACAGTATACATCCATGTTAAACCTCAAATCTGAAGAAATTTAGTGCAAGTGTAACATTTTACAACAAAACTTCTGGGTATTAACACACAAAGATTACCCAGAGTTATCATTAATTTTTTCTGCAATGGTTTGAATTTGAGGCTATCATTTTTGGATTGATCACATACCCAACCCTTACGAGTGTTTCGAGGTGATCCAAAATGCATTTGAGACCCAGAAACAGCCTCTTAATGTCAATGCTGTTAGTGATACACTTGGGACTGGCTTAACGACTCCTTGTTTGTAGTGACATTCTGTCTACAATGGAAGGTCACTGAACACAGTCACCACTGTTACACTGTACATATCATATGTATACAAATTGGTTTTTTAATGGATAAAGTTTTCTTATTTTCTTCTTTCATTTTTCAGTGCAAACATGTATTCCAGACTCTGAAGCATACTTTATGTAAATGAATGAAATAATTCAAAGGGAGAAAACTCATATATACATTTTTAATACAATGCATGTACACAAACATTAACTTATGTAAAATACAACATGATTTATAATCAAAAGTAGATTTTTTTTTTTTACAATGACATCTGGTATAAACTTTACACATCCCTACCATTATATGATACTGAACATGGAACAAACATGATATATCTTTACTTTTATCTCACAATTTGAGGTTTTTTTAATATCTGATATATAGAATGATTTGCTTCTTTACATAATTCAGTTGTTTTGTTGTTGTTGTCATGGTTATGGACATCTGTGTTTCTGTTTAGTACTTGTAGTGATTTAACCAACTTGATTTAGCAAATTAGACCATAAGACTAATTGGCCTTTGTAATATGAATGGTATGAAATTTTTTTATCTTGCTAATTATACATGGCTCCAGGGAAGTGGTTTGTTAATTGTTAGTAAATCATTTTCTAGGTTAAGGTTTTAGTAACAAATAAATCTTAAAACAGAACAGGTGCAAACAAATTATGTTATACATTGTATGTTTTAAATCAGAACATGAATAATCAATGAAAAAATAACCCAAACTTGACACAGTAAACTAATTGTTTCACTCACTCTAAAATCAACAATATTGACCAATGTTTATTTTAAGGATATAGTGTGTTGAAAACCATCTTATCATAACAGATGTATATAAAATATCATAATATTGTTTTTAAACAGCAGATGAATGTACATATTCCAATGACTTAATATAATATTCACAACATAACATGATATCTGCCACCAAAAACTAAGGTATTCATTTATTTAATTATATAAGGTATTTATATCTTATAAAACTCACTATAGATTGTTTAGCTATTAATGAACAATATGAGATGCTGAAATTTCTGGATTCTGAATGATCACACATCATTTCTTTAACTTGCATCTGCAAGTCTCTATATCCCTTCCTAAAAACTGCGTATGGCCCCTTTTTGCAATATACGATTTTTTTAGTGCTTTAAAAATAAATAAGTCCAGTCTTAATAAAAATGTCTCTTGTTTGTTTCTCCACGGTACAACACTACAGTAGGATCTTGCCTAATAAGATACCAATAATAAGAGCAACTATAAGGTAGACATATGGTGGAAGAGCAGACGCTTGTGATGTTGGAACCTCAACTCGCTGCGACGGTGGTGGCGTAGAAGATACAGTATCCGACATTGCAACTTTCCTTAAACGAACTTCTTCAGCCTGAAAATTGTATAAAAAGAAATATATCAATCCAGAAAATAGGTGCAATGAAATATATCAATCTAGCCAGAAAATAGGTGAAATGAAATATATCAATCTAGCCAGAAAATAGGTGAAAACAAAATACACCAATCAAGCCTGAAAATAGGTGAATGAAATACATGAAGCTGGTCTGAAAATAGGAAACTGAAATAAAATCTTTCTTAAGTATTTATATACATGTTGATAAAGCAGTTCTTTCAGCTAAGAATATTCATCTACAAATATTCTTTCAACTAAGAATATTCATCTACAAATATTCTTTCTGACATCATGAGAGAAAACTAGGTCATTAGTCTAGCATGATTGAACCAAATACCCCTTGATTAAGACATGGCAACCTTGGCAATTACTTTACGGTCTGTCATAACTCTGTTAACATTTTTTTCCTTCAGGTGATCTTATTTTTCTGCTTGTTTGATGACACATTGGCGGACATATGAAAACAATGACTTCTAAAATATTTAAAATATCACTTCACTTAAAAGTAACAGAAAATCGCATCAATATTTCTAGATGAAGGATTTAAAGATTTGAACTTAAGTTGAAAGACACCAATACCTTAGAATTTTTACCACCCGGTGGAGGTTTATAAAACAATACAAAAGTTTCGACATCCATTAATGAGATACTGATTAACATATACCTTGATATTTGAATTCTCTTCTTTCAAAAGATTTATCTGGTCTTTCAGTCTTCTAATTTCTTCGTCTTGTCGTTTCTGTGAGTCACCACCAGTTACGTTTGGCTGGAAAAATAATTTAAACTTTCCTTTATTTCTATATAAAGGACACATTTTGCAGAAAACTGTATGTCTTTAAATAATCTTGATGTGAAAACAAAACAAATTTTTCGAAAAGATGAACTTATGAAATATACTTTGATAAATTGAAAGTAAAAATACATAAATTTTTCACATTTAAATTGCACTGCATGTTTTGAACAAAATATGATTAAATATAATCTCTTTCTATTACCATATTACAAACACTGTATGACTTGGTAAATTCTGTGGATAGTATGATATTGCTAGCCTTAAAGCGGCATGCCTCCAGATGAGCAAAACTATTTAAAGAAAATCAAACTTGAGAACATGTAAGATTTTAAGAAAAGTAAAAGAAAAAAAAAATCAAACTTGAGAATATGCAAGATTTTAAGAAAAGTAAAAAAAAATAATTAAGATTCAAGTAAAGTTCAATTAATGACTGATTTTGTAATATATCACCATATCTCTACTGTGTTAGTCACGCAATTAAGGCTATTTTTTCATATCTGTGACCTCTTTATATTTGTAATTTAAGTGGATTGTAAGAGCTGTTAACATGTATGTTACTTTCTTTGTTCCCTTAACAATACCCATATTATACCTATAAATACATTTTCTGAATTTTCATAAATATAAGCATAAAATCTGGAGACATGCTGCTTAAATTACAATATTTGTAAATTTGACAAACTTTAAACTTATATGAACAATATCAAAATCTTTTATAACATTTTAAAACAGCATAAATCTGGTTTAAATCTTTTTATTTTGCATAAAACCTCATAAAATAATTAAACTGATAGAGAAGGTACAACTTGTGATATTTGTGACACCAACAACAAAACTTGTCCATTTAAATGTAAAAGATAACTAAACATAAATTCACTATTTAATGTATGCAAGCAAATAGGAAGCCTGACTTAAAACTTAACATTGTCTCAATTAATGAGAGAAGCAATTAAAAGTCTGTTTATATTGAAAAGCTAATTAAGAGCATAAAATATTTCAGATGAAGATAAGATTGTAAAAGCAATAGGTAGTGTGTTATAATATGTCTGAGGAAGAAAAAAGAGAAGAAAAGGTAAGCACAACTTGACAAATCAGACATGACTATCTTCACAAATATTACAATTTAATGACATCAATGAAACTTTCTTGTATAATATGGGTTTAATGTAGATATACTCAATAGGGTGAAAAAGATTGATTATGATTACATTAAAAATAGTTGTTAAACTTTATCATCAATTCGATCATGTGTAACTGTCGAAGTTGTGCATTTGAACTTGAAACATATAAAATGTTAGGTCATAGCCAATCTACTATCAGAAAGTTGTGTCCATCTATAAAAGTTACTAGCATAAAATATGATAATACAAGACTGCCAAGTTATTCCATTTTTCATTGTTTTAATTACTTCAATTATTATATAGTTTGATAATAGTCAAAAAAACCTATGTCCTATTCATAAAGAATAAGAAAAATAAATTTTCAAAAAACTGAGGGGCTTAGGGGTCACATAATTCATGTTTGAAAATAAAAATAGTTACGTAATAACTTAAATACCAAAGTTTGATTTTGAAGAAAATTCAGTTATATATGTTATCATTTACAAGTTTAATGCTGTCTATGTACATGTACAATCAAAGTGAAATCTGGATCAAAGCCAGCAGAGATCAAAGTCAATGACGTCTAAGTCCTGAAGCAGACATCTTAGTCACAAAACTACAACTTCTCTTAAATGTAACATTCAATAGGCAGACTTATACTTTTTGTCAAGAAATGAAGAAATACAAATTTGTGGAAAGAGATTCATTAAATAAAACTGTTTTTTTCTCTCCTTTTTTTGCAGCATCTTGACTTACCAACATGAGGTTTTAACATATCATTTCTATTCAGTGTGAATTTGTATATAGAAAAAGGGGTGTGGTTTATTCTAAGTTAATTTATGGTCTGTTAGAAAGGTGTATTATATCATCAACAATTCCCACAGTTTAATCCCTTTCACCAATTACAGTATATTTCTATTCACCAGTATGTGCCGGCACTCTTTCAAGCGTGAAGTAAGCTACCATATGCGTCCCAAGTATTACAGATGCATTTAAAACTAGCTATTTTAAACCCCTGTGCATTCTCTTAATACCAATAATGATAAAATAATCAAGTTTTGAACAATGTAAGCATCATTTAAATTAATTGATTACATTCTTATAGACTGCCCAAACAAATTTGACATTTGACCATTTTCTATGTATATTTTAATTTTTATTACCTTGCAAGTAAATCATTGCAGAATTATCCACTGCCACCTTAATTTACCTTATGAATAGAGTAATGCACATAATACATTGGTTGTTTATGGTATATGGGTGAATATAGGTTGTGAATACTGTATTTCCTTAAATAAATGCTCTTACAAAACTAAATTTAAGTTAAATTTACACAGATAAATAACTCAATGATAATACAAATTTAACAGTGGGGCATAGAATGTCAACAATTCTAAACCTTTGATTGATGTTCATTCAAAAAGCAAACACATATACGAATTGGATTTTAAAGTCAGACTTTTTACACACCATAAAAGAATTAAAGGTATGTGCTTGTTTATTTTTCCTGTTTGAAGATTCATAAAATCATTTCACTTGTCAAAGAAAACTTACAAATACCTATACTTACCAAGGCATTGTATTCTTGTAAGTATTAGAGAAATGAAAATATAATAAACAACAGAAGAAGCACATCAAAATATGGAAATATTAAGTTAATATTAAATTAATGACATACTTTTGTGGATAGTAAGAGCATTTATTTCAGTAAATACAGTATCTGATAGCAGTGTGCCGAAGCTCTGGGTGTTAATCTAAATCTTGTTAATGTTTCAGCTCAGAAAAACCGATATAAAACACCTTACTTTTTGGGATGACGCGGGACTGGCCTCAACGCGGGGGATTGGGAGGTCAGGCCGTGTATGTACGTTTTCTTGCTTAACAGCTTTTACCTTTTCTTCTGCAACCACTGAACTCTGTGACTGGAATAAAATGTATAGAAAATCATCGTAATTTTCGTAATCAATAAATGGAAAATGATCTACAAATTCGTTTAATGAGTTTTGAAAAAAAAAAAGTTATCTAAAATGTATATAGAGAATTCAATAATTACTTTTAAATTAATCTGCCATTCTTAAGCAATTAAAACAATGGATATGCATCCTGTTGTGCTTGAATGAAAGGAAATGTTTAAAAAAAAGTATTGTCAATTTAGCAAGTATAATGTTGGATATAAAACAAAATGATTATTGCAAAATTCAAGAAAAATAATTTTCAAAGCTTCAGCCTAGAGCAGTGATTCATATAGTAGTTAGCATTGTGACTTGTCCCCATACATATGTTACAGATGACTCCCAACCACAATATAATATGATAAACAGGCTTGAGTGTTGTGTGAAAAACAATGTATGCAACATATAACAGTGACCTTGGCTCCGCACTACACCTAGGACTTGAGCATCACATACAATTTTAATGTTACTAAAAAAACTCTTTTGAATAGTTTTTGAAATCCATGCTGCATCAGAGCTTCCATTAATTATGATTAATAAAAGTTTGGGGGTCATTTACTCCTTGATTTGACTTGTAACTTCCGAAATGTATAATGTAATGCTTTTCCTTCTTTATCTACATAATGCCAGAGATTTTGCAGTCTTGGAGTTCCAAATTTTGAAACTTGACGAAGTTCTGCATCATTGACGTCACAATGTTATGGACAACATACAGACAGTTAAGATAATCATTTAATTCCACAGTAACATCATGACAGGGGCAAATATTGAAATATACAGTATATCATGAAGTTAATATTAATTAAAAGCAGGTAATCTTACTGATGAATTCCCAGTGGGGTCTAGCACACATTTCAACTTAGAATCCATCAACTGGTCTGGTGATACATCCTTCCACTGTAAATAATCATGATATCATATTTTAAAATAATAATATTATATCCAACAATTTTAATCAGAATATCATGTTTTAATATTTCCCCAACAATTCTTTTTTCTTCTTCTTTATCCGATTGTAGTATTTTAAAATAGGAATAAATATTTGAAATCGTGAGATTTTCAGACTACAACTGATGCCTTCCTATGAATGTCCACACTACATCATTATTGTAAGCATTTCTATATTCCAATCACCTCAATGAAATGAAACTTATAGCATTTCAGACTATTGCATAGCTATGAATTAATTAACGTGCCTAAAATTTTTAATGACTAAAATGTTAAATGCCTATTAAAACCTATGCTACAGAAATAAAAAATTTATCATTTATTATTTGTTTGGAAAGTCAGATTTATTTTTTGATTAATGTATCATACAACATATACATACTAATTGTTCTTGATTATCTATTTTGCCATCAGGAGCAAACATTGTTTGCACCATAAACTTGTGTTTATTCTTTTCGTTGGGATCATAGTCAAATGGTTGAAGCATAACTGAAACAAAAATATGACCAATTATGTAAAGATGGTAACAGGATAAAAAGGTTTAATAATAAACACTAAAATATAGTTAGCATCCAGTCAACCTAAAGCCAAAGGAAGAGGACCACCTAAGAGATATCCCTACAAAATATGAAATTAATAAAGTCTATATAATTAAATGTAAAAAGAGCAAAATTTTTAGCACCATTGAATGACCGTTGATCTAACTTTGAACTCAAAACTCCATCCTAATACACTTGTCAAAGAGACATTAAGATGGCCATTTGGATGCGCCGTGTCTTTTTACAGTTTGACAGTATGAAATGGGGTCAAAACATTCATAAATCATATGTAAAACACAAATATTACTTTATAAAGTTAAAAAGAACATATCAATAACATGCATATGGTAGAACAAAAGATTTTGAAAAATATGTAATACCAGCCACAGTGACTGAACCCTTTGACTCTATGACACCACTGTTTGGCCTGACACAGTATCGCTTTGGTGCTGTAGTTTTCACTTTGAAACATACTCGTTTATCTGAGGGGTTGGTTAACTTCAAATCAGCTGTAACCACTTCATTGAATGGACCTAAAAAGAAAATAAAACAATATGTATTCTTTGTTAAGCATAATGGTAATCAGAGGAACATCAAAAATAAAATCTTCAACTGCCGATCAAATATTCGTTCTTGCAATAAAATATTTGCATATAACAACATTTTCTAAAACAGAATTATTGTAAGTACATGTAACCAGATCTCGATTTGTTCATTCAGTAAATTTTAACTAGCCTGGCCTGATAAGTCATTTACTGGTACTGGGTCTCAGGCTTTTGACTTGCAATTAAGACAGCTTAGACATGAATTATGTTCTAGTAAAATCAACCCTCTCATATATCTTATACATCGTCTATGTACAAAGTTTATAATATTAATAAACTTTACTTTTAAATTTAAGTTTTTAGCTAGTAATTATTGCCATGGGTGACCCACTACTCTACTAGGGTTTTTGTGGCCCTAAATACTTTGACTGCCTTGATAGCCCTACAGTAAGCAAAGCAGAGGCTAAAACAAAACATATCAAAATGGACAGCTATAAAATTGATAAGGAAGCTGAGAATAAACACATTGTCATCATAAATTATTTCAATTATCAATAAGACGCACACACACACACATGCACACACACACACAATTATGTAAATACTAAATAACGGTGCTAACACTCCAACACTTGTAAGTTAAAAAAAGAAATAAAAATGCTTGTCTCTTATTTTACTATAATTAAACTTTGTAGTAGTCATGTACATTACCATTAAATAACTAGGTACTTATACTGATAATTCTAGAATTGGAAATAATATTTTCATAAGGACTCTACCTTTTATAACAATGGACATGTATAAATGAAGAGCTCATCTATAAGTGTCAATTGTAATAAGCCAATGATAAGATAATCTTTCAAATAATCTTTATTTATGGTATGTTACAAAAAACATAATAACACTACCTATATTTTCCTTTTTTTAAAAACATTCATATCAAATGGAACGTCCATTTTTCATGTCTTAGTTAAAACCTTTTAATTGTTATGCATTTTTGCAAAACGTCTGAAAAATTGCTTTATGAAATTACAAATTTCAAATAACAAGAACAATAAGAAATGTTCTTTCATTTCATTTTCTAATCTTAATAGATTTATAAAAATGAATAAAGTACTCAGAAAATGCCGATTTTTTAAAAAAAAATCAGAAATATCTTGGCTGAAAACTATGTTTCTTAAGTGTATAAACTATAAATTCTATGTCCGTGGATTGTGAAATAAATGTTTTTAATGTGATTAAAATGATAACATAATTCAAACTGAATAAGGCATGTGTAAAAACATCTCCAAACCTAGTTTTGACTACTACAATAGCAGCAGAATATTTGTTGTATTTAACAGTTTATTCTGTTTAACTGTTCAATATTCATGACAATGAAATTTAAATTACCTTATTACCTACACAATTCTAATTTTTATATGCTACATACTTTTCAAGAAACAAACATTAGGATCTAAAAATAATATATATAAAATATTTTATCAGATTTATCATAAAAACTTTATACATTTTAAGAGTAACTGTATGCCTATTATATTTCAACTTTCTGTCATTACAGTGAAGTTAGTCAGTGATGATGTGATAATATTAAAGTGTTTTTTTTCTACATTATACTGCTTTAAAATTGTTTTCGATCACTCTAAGCAGGTATACATTGTATACATTTCAGAGACAGCTATAAGATACAAGAGAATCCGGGAACAAATCCCTAGCTCTTAATGAATAGACCCCTTGGTTCATTTACATGCCCAGTGTATACATGCGAGGATTACCTGGATTTCTTACCAATACACCTCTAGGTAGGTGGGAAACACTGAAAGTGTCTTTGAAAAATCCCAATGGTGTAACCCAGGATCGAACCCGGAATCTCAGGAGTGATAATCAGTGGTTTAACCAACTGAGCTATACAACTGAGTTGACTATAATTTTGTAATCAAATATTGTTTAAATGAGAAATCCATTTTATCTCTTTAACTACACTTACCACACTTGGTACTTGGTAAGTTAGTTAGTTACTCTTGCTTAAATAACCCTATTTCTGCACTCAACACCTATTATGATATTTATTGTACATACTTGATATTTTTACTTAAACTGGCAAAAGTGAAATTTAGTAAAATTGCATATTTGATAATAAGTTGACTATAATTTTGTTAATGAATATTGATTAAATGAAAAAATCCATTTTATCTCATAAATACACTTACCGCACTTGGTAAGTTACGCTTGTTTAATTAACCCTATTTCTGCACTCAACACCTATATGATATTTAGTAATTATGACTTGAATTTTATACCAAAACTGGCAAAAGTGAAATTTAGTGAAATTGCAAATACATTTCCATTAGCTTGATCCTGCAAGTAGTTTCATAGACTGTAGAAGTTGTGCAACTCTGACTTAACAGATATGGTTATAAATAATGTAAATAATTTGGCCAGATATGAAAGGCTAGTGACATAAACCTGAATAAATCTGAAAGAAAAAGGAAAAGTGGAGTCCCTATAAAAATTGTGGCACAAAATATGCCGACTAGAAATATTTACTGAAAATATTGATATTACCTCGAAAAACTAGTTCATTCGATGGTTCAATAAGAAGAACTTGTTCCAATTTTGACATCTTTAGGGCTTCCTAGTATCAAAACAATCGAAAGTAAATTTCTTTAGATTATTCCACCATCTGACTTTCGTCGTGTAACTGCGCATGCGCAGAGCAAATTAAAAATTGAACGAAATTATTATGCACACTAATATATCATTCTATCTAATAACCGTTATTTTTAGGTATCTTATTATCATGGTGTCGTAAAATATAAAGAAAAACAATTGCATGATATATAGATCCTATTGTAAACGATTTCCCGTATCTTTTAAGAAAAATATTATTCCGTTTGTAATAACATTTTGAAATTTACTTAACATTAAAAATAAAATATTTCATTGCATAGTAGCAGAAAGTGCATCTATAAATTAGGTCCTGTTATCCTTATTTTATCATGGCAGACGATATAGATGACTTACTTGACGAGGTAGAAGATAAATTCGTTAAAAAATCTAAACCAGAAAAAAAGTCAACGCTTCCCAAAGTTAGACCAACAAGGTATTTTTAGATTACAACAGTCAGACAAGCTAAATTAAAATAAATTCACTGAATTCATTTGAGGCTGTATATTAAAGGCTCACTTGCGGGATTGTGTGAACTATTTTATTTACAGTAAATCGGTACAATTTCTTCACTGAAGTATTGTAAAAATGTAAGAACAATGTTCCTCTTTACATGTGTATTAAGATGTGTGACAGATTTGTATAGCAACTTATCATGCAAAAGTTATAGACAACATTAAAATTAATTAAAAAGATAGTAGAACTAAGAAATATTTTTTATTTTAGTTTTTCTTTAAAAAGTGTATGACACCTGGTACTGTACACTGATTAAAGTATCTAGTTGAGTTGTATCACTGTCTTAATTGGCTCAATATTGTGTTGTTAATTAATCCTTTTAACGTTTTTATTTATTTCAGACGAAGACCAGAAGATGATGAAATGGATAAACTTATAGAAGATATATGTGGAGAGAATGAACCAGAAGTGAAACTTTTTACTTTTGTGTTATTAGTATTTTTATGAAAATATGAGATCCAGACATGCTTGGTAATGATTGGGAAAAGCACATCAGAGTTGGCTGCTTAATTTTATTCATTTTCTTGTGAAATCTTTTTAAGTCATATTTTAAAGAAGGGTAATTCCAGCACTGTACACACACATTACAAATAGAAAATACAAATGATAAATGTATAACTTGACAGACATATGTATAAACTGAAATGTTCTTTTAGATTTTAATTAACGGAAGATAGATAGGTTTTTAGAAGGATGTGCTAAGTATGTTTTTTTTCTTGCAGATAGAGTGCAATAGTGTTACAAAGGTTCCTGGCAAAACATCCCAGAGTCGGCCAGCAGTAACAAAGTTTGTTTATATAATTTTTACAATTCATATCAAATGTTAAAAGAGGCACCAAACATGATTTCCTACTGACAGCTCTTGTATTACTATCTGATTTGATGTAGTCTGCATTGAATTTATAAAATTATTAGTGACATTGGCTCTAACAATAATCTAAAGGCAGCTTAGATGCCCTGTAATCGGTTATTTCTTGCAGAATCTGTGAGCGTGCTAAGGCCACTAACCGTCTTTGAATTACTTCCTTACATGTAATAAAGAGAAATATTTTACAAGTGAATGAGATACATTTTAGTACCAAATAAACTTCAAAGTCTTGAGACCCAAGTTGAAAAAAAACTTTGAGATAGGAGACATACATGTATTTAAAGGTATTCTGCAATTATCATAAGTATTTTAATTAGTTATGAATATTATCCAGCTATGAATTTTTTAGGTTAAGTGTAATAATTGTCATTGGAATCTTCTTTTCTACAGTGTTTATGACTGTGTGTATTGGTGTATTGTTTTAGGTGTTTTCCATTGTGTATTGGTGGATCATCAGTGAGTAAAGGGCATGGAAACAGTGTAAACAAACGGTGAGTTCTAGTGTGTTGTGAGCATATTGTAATTTTGAGTTTTGTTATGGAATTGTAAATACTTTTAAATTGTTGAAGTATTTATATATTACAAACTGTGCATAAATGGAATATTACACTTAGCAGGCATTTACACACCTTTGGGCATACCCCCCAGAAAAAAAACCACAAATAAATCCTGCTCTATAAAATTTTGGCACTTGAATCCTTTTATAATTTTCCAGTAGGTTTAGGTTAAGTGTTCCAGTTAGGGGCCAAAAGTTAAAGGATTTTGATTTCTAATTAATAGATTCAGTTTGTCCATTTTTCTGTCATTGTTTCCAAATAGCAGCATTTGCAACACTACTATTTCAATTCTTCTTTGCAGTCATGTGAAAAATTATTTCTTTCAGTTCACAGGTCCAAAAAAGTGACAAATAAGATTTTAGTCAATTACTTACAACAACAAGAGCCATGTTAACATGGCCATCCCCCATCGAATGTGTTTGCTCATTTAAAAAATGTACTGTATATGTAGTAGAGCAGAATAATTCAATTTTAAAAGGTCTTTGGTAATGAAAACTGATGGCTGAAGTGATTACAGATTTGAAACCTATGTGAATACTGATGGCTGAAAATAACAAAGGGCAATAGCTGAAAAATTATGCAAGGTAGCGTTATCATTCTGTGTGCTGCACTCCTCCTCAATGAGATCTATCCACCTATGAAGTTTCAAATTGATACCTGTACTACTTTTTGAGATAAACTCTGGACAAAAAGTATGAAAAGTTACAAAGGGCAATAACTCAAAAATTATAAAGGATAGAGTTATCATTCATGCGCACAGCATTTCTTCTTAATAAGATAAATCCACCTATGAAGTTTCATGTTGAAATCTCAAAGACTTTTTGAGTTATGCTACTCTCAGGTGAAAAATTAAGTATGAAAAATAGCAAAGGGCAATAACTCAAAAATTATGAAGGGTAGAGTTATCATTCTTGTGCACTGCACACCTGAGTGTTTCATGTTGATATCTCAAAGGCTTTTTTAGTTATGCGCTGGACAAAAATTAAGATTGAAAAATAACAAAGGGCAATTACTAAAAAAATTATGCAGGGTAGAGTTATCATTCTCATGCACTGCATTCCTCCTCAATATGATCTATCCACCTATGAAGTTTCAAGTTGATACCTCAAATACTTTTTGAGATATGCTCTGGACAACAATGTGGGACAGATGGATGGACAGACAGACGGACGGAGACTTTTTTTATATAATTATCACATTTGGAATAAAAACCATGTCACAAAAAGTAACAATATGACTTATTAACACAAAATACAGTATAATCTCTGCAGAGTGTCCCACTTCAGAGCAATTACCTCTTTACAACAATAGTGATATTTCTTCCCAAAGTAAAAGAGTTTAACCTTTCTAGAGCAACACCTCTTAGCAACAACCAAAATATGAGGGGCGTCATGACAAAACCAACATACTGCGTTTGCGACCAGCATGGATCCAGACCAGCCTGCGCATCCGCGCAGTCTGATCAGGATCCATGCTGTTCGCTATCAGTTTCTCTACTTGTTATAGGGTTTGTAAGCGAACAGCATGGATCCTGATCAGACTGCGCGGATGCGCAGGCTGGTCTGGATCCATGCTGGTCGCAAACCCATTATGTTGGTTTTGTCGTGACACGGCTCATATTTGTCTCCCATAGGGTGTTGCTCTACAGAGGTTATACTGTAAAGTATTGTATTGTTACATTATATAAAGTCAAAATCATTCTAAATGTTATTATCATCTCATAGAGACAGTAATAATGATGCTTCATACTTTATTTGTTATATATTTTTCAGGTCATGTGATATGTTGCGATGTACATCTTGTGACTTCAAGGTCGCCTCATTTGACGACTTTGACTGGGATTCCTCTACTGACTATTTATTTTTACGTAATAATGCTCCAGATTTTGAAAGATTAAAATCTAATTTGTCACGGAGAAAAGGTAAAATTACTATCATTTTGATTTATTTATTTTCTTTATAAAAATATGATAACTTAAATATGAAATATGAGGTAACTTGAATATGAAATATGAAACTGTGTAAAAAAAAAAACACTGTGATTTATTTTAAGAAATCATAAGAAAAGTTTCATTGATTTACATTATACATGTAACAGGTTTTAAAAAGAAGGTACAAACATGTTTTTATATGCACATGTATTGTAAATATTTTTAAAACTTTCACCTGTCAGATAAAAATAGTTTATCTTTAATTATCTGATGTATTTAAAAACCCCTGTCATTGATTTTGACACTAACATATTGCTGACATAAAAGTAATTAGTCATTGATCTGTACAATACTGTCAATAATACAATAGAATAGGGGAATTTAAACTTGTCATGAATACCTTTGAAAATTATCAATGCTCAGATTTTCAAATTGTTTGATGTCATTAGTAAATGCCATATATTATTCAAATGTCTTGTCCAACTCTAAGCTGAAAATTTGGCCTGTGGCAAAAGAATGTCAGTTTAAAGAAAATGAAATTTTAAAAATGGATAGATAAGAAATCTTAATTGTTACTTATTACTCCAAAAGAACACTCCAGATGTAAAAGTAACTGTATTGTGGTATATAGACAGTCATTCTATTGGAAATATAATAAAAGCAGGTTTATATCACACAAAGATTATGGTACCCCGGTACAATTCTAAAGGAAATTCAGTCCCTTTAAAGGACAAGAAGTGATCCACCTATCACTTATTTTAAACAGAGAACAGACAAGTACCAGTGCATTCAATTGCATTTAATGAACATATGATATTTTATTTAGTGATATAGGTCATAAAGAGATTTGATTTGTTTTATTCCATATTTGTATTATTATGAAACTCTGGCTCTTTCAGTAAGAAGCAAAATGCATGATATACAGTAACATATGAAATTTTATGCATGATCTGTAAAAACTGTTAAAATGTAGTATTTAGGTTATTTGCTACAACATTGGACAAACACATGTGTTCTTAATGATACCATGTTGTCATTATTTGCAATGTTACATTCAAAGACCTGTTTTTCCAACTCTAAATGGCAGAACAATTTTGTCTGAGCTGTTGTTACCTTTGTGCATGTTAAACACATTATTGATTATGTGTTATGATTATAAAAGAATTTAAGATTGGAATAAATTCTAACTGTATTAGCACCACTTTTTCAAAAAAAAGTGGTGCCATTGTTATGGCCCTTTTGTTGGCATTGGTTAAACCTTTTTGATAAGGTCCATTTTCTCAGAAACTTTAAAAGCTATACAGTTGATATACATATTTATTGTCATAAAGAGCGCCATTTCTACAGGGCAGATAATCTTAAACTTATTTTTTGCAAAGTTATGCCCCTTTTCAACTTTTGAGTTCTTGTCAGTTTAGACAGGTCTTGTTTTTTCTCAGATAATGGGGCATATTGGAATAAATTCTGGGCATTTTTTTATCCTTCTTCCAGGTTACACGACATATTGGAGTAAATTCTTGTGTTTTTTTTTCTTTCAGGATATAGGGCATATTGCTGCCAGTGTAGTCATATTGCTGTAAACACTCTTACTGATGTTAAACATTTACAAGTGAAATGGGTTTGTGGTCAACATTGATGTTTCTTTCATCCATAGAGATCATTGTAAATGTGCTGTTTAAATGAACAAGCATGTTTCATTTTTTAAATCAAGATTAAGTGACCATGTTATGGGTGATTATATGGACTAAAATACACTAGAGTTGATTTCTTTCAGGAACTAATGGTGTCTGGATTATAACATATCAATTTGAGACCATTTTGAAAAATATGGCTTATTTTGTTGTATTATTTTTTTTGTAATTCTTATTCATAACATCTTTGTTGTAATGTTAAGTTTTTATTTAGCTTGACTATTTGATGAATTATGGGACTTTCCTAACACACAAGGGTGTCAGTGATAGCGTAACACTTTGGTTAAAGTTTTACATGCAACTTCTTGTATATCATCTTATTTCATAAACCACTAAAGATATTTGTTGTAACTTCTCATATGTCTTTGAGATCACAATAGGTTACTATACAATGTCCTAAGTTTGACCTCTGTTTTTGACAGAATTATAGCCCTTTTTAACAGAATTATGGCCCTTTTTGTACTTACTGGTTAAAGCTTTGTATGCAACATCAATTTTTAAAACTAATAAAGGTATTACAATGTACTTGAAATTTAATACATGTCTTTAGATCATTAAAGGTCACTATCCAAGACCAATTGCTCTGACATGGAATTTGACTCATTTATGACCCTTTGTGAACTTCTGAAAATAGTTTTTATGTTTTGTGTTAAACATTAATCTTGAAAACTGAAAATGGTATTCACTTGAAACTCATTTTATCTGTTATCAATAGTAATTGAAGGTCTCTTTCCAAGATCTATAACTCTGGCCTAAATTTTGAATCCTATGTGGTCCATTGTGAAATAAAAAAAATCTTTAGTTAATATCCAAAACCTTGGGGGGGGATGAGGGGAGGCATTCATGCCCGAGTGGTTAAGGTTGTTGACTGCAAACCACTTGCCTCGCACTGACGGCTGTAGGTTTGTGATAAAGCTATCCAGCTAGCTTATGAAGCTTTTGACAGTTCTATTCTGGTGCCCGTGTGTACCTGAAATAATCCAGGGAAGGGCAGCTGATGTCTTCCTCCACCAGTAAAGCTGGAAAGTCGCCATATGACCTGTACTGTGTTGGTGTAATGTAAAACCCAATTAAATCCAAAAACATCCAAAACTTTCTTTGTTAATTCCTACATTATCCAGACTACTGTTTTACTATCAAGCATTCAGAATAGTCAAGTGTTCTGTCTGACTGATAGCTCTTGTCTCTTTTTTGTTTTCCTAAATTATTAGCTCACCTGAGCATGCTCAGGGTGAGCTTTTAGGATCGATGATTGTCCATCGTCCGTCCGTCGTCGTCCTTCCGTCATCTGTTCACATTTTGTTGTTAACACTCTAGCGGTCGCATTTTTGCCTCAATCATCATCAAACTTGGTCAGGATGCTTATCTAGTTGATAGCTCGGATGAGTTCGTACATGGGTCATCTCGGATGAAAAACTAGGTCACAAGAGCTAAAAATAGAAAAACCTTGTTAACACTCTAGAGGTCACATTTTTGCCTCAATCATCATCAAACTTGGTCAAGATGTTTGTCTAGGTGATAGCTCGGATGAGTTCGAACATGGGTCATCTCGGATGAAAAACTAGGTCACTGGAGCTAAAAATAGAAAAACCTTGTTAACACTCCAGCGGTCGCATTTTTGCCTCAATCATCATCAAACTTGGTCAGGATGCTTATCTAGTTGATAGCTCGGATGAGTTCGAACATGGGTCATCTCAGATGAAAAACTAGGTCACAAGAGCTAAATATAGAAAAACCTTGTTAACGCTCTAGCGGTCACAATTTTGCCTCAATCATCATCAAACTTGGTCAGGATGTTTGTCTATGTGATAGCTTGGATGAGTTCGAACATGGGTCATCTCGGATGAAAAAGTAGGTCACCAGAGCTAAAAATAGAAAAACCTTGTTAACACTCTAGAGGTCACAATTTTGCCTCAATCATCATCAAACTTGGTCAGGATGTTTGTCTAGGTGATAGCTTGGATGAGTTCGAACATGGGTCATCTCGGATGAAAAAGTATGTCACCGGAGCTAAAAATAGAAAAACCTTGTTAACATTCTAGCAGTCACATTTTTGCATCAATCATCATCAAACTTTGTCAGGAAGCTTGTCTAAGTGATAGCTCGGATGAGTTGGAACATGGGTCATCTCGGATGAAAAAGTAGGTCACTGGAGCTAAAAGTAGAAAAACCTTGTTAACACTCTAGCGGTCACATTTTTGCCTCAATCATCATCAAACTTGGTCAGGATGCTTATCTAGGTGATAGCTTGGATGAGTTCGAACATAGGTAATCCTGGATGAAAAACTAGGTCTCCTGAGCTAAAAATAGAAAAACCTTATTAACACTCTAGAGGTCACAATTTTGCCTCAATCATCATCAAACTTGGTCAGGATGTTTGTCTAGGTGATAGCTTGGATGAGTTCGAACATTGGTCATCTCGGATGAAAAACTAGGTCACAGAAGCTAAAAATAGAAAAATCTTGTTAACACTCTAGTGGCTACTGTTTTGATCCAAATATCCTGTAAATTGGTCTGAAAGTTTGTTTTGATGATTTCTAAGTCAAGTTCAACAATGGGTCATCTTGGATGAAAAACTAGGTCACACCGCCCAAATATGGAAAAACATTGTTAACATTCTAGTGGTTAAATTTTCTACTCAATTATCATCAAACTTGGTCAGGATGCTTGTCTAGGTAATTGCTCGGATGAGTTCAAATCCCATGTGAAACTAGGTCACCGGAGCTAAAAATAGAAAAATCTTGTTAACACTCTAGTTGCTACTGTTTTGATCCAAATTGGTCTGAAAGTTTGTTTTGATGATTTCTAGGTCAAGTTTGAATATGGGTCACCTGGGTAAAAAACTAGGTCACACTGCTCAAATATGGATAATCCTTGTTAACACTGTAGTGGTCACATTTTTGACTCACCTGTCATGAGACTTGGTCAGAATGCTTGTCTAGGTAATTGTTTGGATGAGTTTGATGGGTCAGGTGAGCGATCTAGGGCCATCATTGCCCTCTTGTTTTATAATATTTTGAAACTAAAGGTGAAAGGATGTTTAGTTATTGTTGAAATCTTTACATGTGATTTTGTTAATATCCGTCCAACAAAAAACGAAATGTAAAAAAAAAAATTTAAAAAAAACAACCCCCCCCTAAAAAAATCTTAACTAAACAAGAGGCATGAGTTACTGGAATGTTGATGTTCAGCTTCAAATTTGTGAATTTTTAATTTGTAAATTTTTACAGAACTTTGAGTATAGTGATTTATTTCATATAAAAATTTTGCATACAATTAACTAACATCCGTCTTAATTAGGTAATCAAGCTGAGGTGAAAGGGCAATAACAATTATCATATTTTGATATATAATGTGCAGATTTTAACTATTTAATTGCTGTATTTCCTGAATGTACTTGTCCCACTGCCATCATGAAATGGTCCAATATCAATTATGTAAATTAACAAAAAATTGTTTGCCTTTATACTGGTAATGACATTCCATTTTTGGTTTCAGCATTGTTGCAGTAATAAGACATTCCTTCAAACTTTAACTTTTATAAACTTTATCTTTTAACATATTTGACAGTATAATAAATTCATTTTTTTTGTTACAATTTTACATCAAGTTATTAAACAAGCAATTTAATTTATAAACTTTCATAAACCCATTTTCTTACCCTGTCACCGTGTTGTTTCAAGTCTTGCCACATTATCGGGTACCTCTCGTTAATTTCATAATGAGATTTTCTTCATTACACAAGGAATTTATGCACATGGTCTGATCTGAAGTGGACTGGTTTATTTTGTTCATATTTTTTCTTCTTCTTTTTTTTGTATTGTACAGTTTAAATGTATTGTATTGCACAGTCCAGACTTTCATGGAATAAGGACATGTACATTTAGTACATGAGGTTTTTAAGTCAATAACAAAAAGTGTGAACATTTTTGCAGATGATTATTGTATGGGAAACAGTGTAATAATTATTCTACTAATAATTTTTGATAAAGCTTCTTATTTTCTTTAAAGAGAACAGTTACTTTGAGATTCTTTGTAGTTTAGGTGGAGGTATACATATTTAATACATTTAAGTTACTTGTAAATTTTTAAATTTCACAGCCGATTTGTTCTTTATAACTTTGAAAAGTGAAAATATGCAGTTTTTGTTTCAATAATGGATTTATTTCACCAATACTGGTTTGAATCAACATTATTTACATATCAAATCTACATTAATTTTGTTATAATTTAACATATCCGGATGTTGATTGAGATTATTGTTGATAAATATGCATTAATATATTTGGTAGACTTAAGATCATATGTATTGTTAAAGCCAAAACTGTAAATGCTTTTTAGGCATTAAAATATTAAATCTATGTTTATAGACTTTGTTAATTCTTTATTTATTAGCTCAATTGAGCACCATGTCTCAAGGTCAACTTTACCTATAGTTCTGTGCTCATAGTCTGTGGTGTGTTGTTAAGTGGTTTCCTGAACCAATAAGCCAAGTGGCAGCATAGCCGAAAAGATGAACATGTTGGACTAGTAATCTAATCTGTAGCTGTGTGGGTTTAAACCCCCATCAGGGGCAAGCCATTTCAAGAAACTTTATACTAATTGCTCAGTAATGGTTGTTTCTAGGAACAGATTTGAATGTGTTTATAAGCTTATAGCTTCATACACAATCGAACTAAAATAAATTTAGTATAAACTGACCAAATAAGTCAATGTTGATTGAATTTGTTCGTACCATGAAGTTGTTCAAAGAATTCTTTACTATGCAGAACTCTGGTATCCATTGTAACCCAAAATAAAAACATAAACAATTGGCACAAAACATTGTGCAGAAGGCCTCTATGGGGGTTGTTTGAACTGAAGTATCAAGATGTTTTCAAAGGGAAAGTAAACATCAGGTATATAATAGTAATACTTTTAATAGTTATACATTTGAAGAATCAACTCAAAAAGTGTTTATAAATAATTATTGATTATTTATTCAAATACAATAAAACATTACATCAACATATATTACAAATATTGCACTGTCCATATTATACAATCAGATACATGTGATAATAGCTGAACACACAGAAAAACTTCAACAACAATGACCATGTAAACAAATGAACAATTAAACAATAGTTACCAAAAAAAACCACACCGGAAATGTGTTGCAAGAGTGGATGTTTCCCTTTTAAATGTGAATGTAGTGAATTAGAAAGTTAAAGCTTAACCACAAGTAATCAAAGAGAGTAACAGTGAAAATAAGACACAATGTAATAACTGGTTTTCACTGGAAAGTTTTTTTTTACACTTTGAAATTCAAGTTTATATCAATTTAACAATTCGAATCCAACAAATAAAGAGCACTAAGTTTAAAGCACATTTTCATCAGTTTAAACCTCAAGTCGGTAATATTGTTGTTATCTTACAAACCGAAGCATTGCATTACTGTACATATGCTTGGACGATTTTGCTTAAAAATGACCAATTCACTGTTCATGCAGTTGAAGTTTCAATGGTTGTAGCTATTTCAGGCAGTTGAAGTTTCGCTGGTGAAACACATCAGGTGAAACTTCATTTGAGATTTGAACTTGTTTATTAACTCTTCCACTTTCCTGAAACATGAAAGTGTAGTTACTGTAACACATTTTTGATGCATTTATTATTTACAATTTATTTATCAGACAGAGATATTTATCATGTAAATTTTACAATAATAGGCATCTAAATGTGCATCCAGTTTTGCTGATGTGTTTTATATATTTTGGTTGGGTTATAATTCAGACTAACACAGTATAGGTCATATGGCAACTTCCCAGCTTTAATTGTGGAGGAATACCTTAGGTGCCTCTCGGTGCATTATTTCAAAAACCGACACCTTAGTTGAACTCACCCACACTCCATAAGCTAGCTGGATAGCTTCCTCACATGAAAGAATCCAAAGTCCTTGGCGTGATTCGAACCCACAGCCATTAGGGGCAAGTGGTTTGAAAATCACAACCTTAACCACTTAGTTACACCTTATTTTAAGCTGATGTGGAGAGGAACTACCAGAATGGTTACCATACAACAATACTTTTTTCAACATTTCTAACAGCCTCACAATGGATGAACTGAATTTTATACATACAATAACTATTGATTGATTAAAAAGATTCTTTCTAAAATTTCAAAAAGTTATGGTATATCAATTTATATTTCTGATGTTGTTTTTACTTGTATAGATTACCTTTTTTCTCCTTGTGGTAAATCAGGTAAATGATCAAGGGCTTCTTTAAAACTTGTTCTGAAACATAAAATCAGTCATCATATGAAAAAAGGTTTTTTTAACTCAAAAAATAATCATTGTGTATTTAATAAATTTAACTAGATAAATAAATATCCAGTTTCTGTACTGCTTAAAATTAAAAAATATACAAGAATTTTAAAGATGCTTTGAATTTCAAAATTTAATTAATACTCAGTTACAAAACCCCTGTTGATATCATAATTATTAAATCATTGTGTTAACATGGTAATCATTAACTATAACATGTTGCATTTAAATTCTATAAACCATGTTTTCCCAAAATTGAAAGAAAATAAAAAGTTAAGAGTGTATCAAATGTACAATTAATAATTTGCTGATAACATATACATTCAAGTGCTTTTTAGCATTTTATTAGAATTGCACAATATATTTCTGAATATATAAAGTAAACACGAATGTCATATAAAACCTTTTTGACAACTGAAAAGTTCTGCCAGTAAAAGCGGAGTTACATTACACTCTAGAGCTACACTTTATCATAAAATGAGGTGTGTTTCTTGAAACATGTTGTACTTCTATCATTAAACAATGAAAAAGCTGAGTACTTACATGGTCATATTTGAATTGTAGAGCTGAACTGTATGCTGTAGACATAAAATCTCTAGCTTAGCCTGAAACAAAAATAGCACTGAACAATTCATTTCAAGAGGGCCATGATGGCCCTGAAGTCGCTCACCTGTATATAGGCCCCCGGAGCGGGGCCAGTTAAACCCCAGGGCTTTTATTTTAACAAACTTGGTAGACACCCATTAGAAGATATTTCATGCTTAACATCTAAGGTCTAGCTGGTCAAGTTTTTTTCTTTACACATATAGTTAAAAACAATAACACACCTGGGGCAGGGCCAGTTTTGACCCAAGGGCTTTTATTTGAACAATCTTTGTAGACACTTACTAGAAAATGTTGCATGCTTAATATCTAAACTCTAGCTATTTGAGTTTTTTCAAAGAAGATTTTTTTAAGTTTATGTATAACACATATAAGGAAAAGGAATGACCCCCGGGGCGGGGCCTATTTTGATCCCAGGGCTTTTATTTGAACAAACTTGGTAGACACTCACTAGAAGATGTTTCATGCTTAGTATCTAAACCCTAGCTATTTGTTTTTTTTTTCAAAGAAGATTTTTTAAGTTTTTGCTATACACATATAAGGAAAATCAATGACCCCCGGGGCGGGGCCAATTTTGACCCCAGGGCTCTTATTTGAACAAACTTGGTAGACATCCATTAGAACATGTTTCATGCTAAATATCTTAGCTGTAGCTCTTTGGGTTTTTTAGAAGAAGATTTTTGAAGTTTCTACTATATGCATATAGGAAAATCAATGACCCCCTGGGACAGGGCCAATTTTTGACCCCAGGGCTTTTATTTGAACAAACTTCGTAGACAACCATTAGAAGATGTTTCATGCTAAATATCTTAGCTCTAGCTCTTTTGGTTCTTTAAAAGAAGATTTTTTAAAGTTTTTACTATATGCATATAAGGAAAATCAATGACCCCAGGGGCGGGCCAATTTTGACCCCAGGGCTTTTATTTGAACAAACTTGGTAGACATCCATTAGAACATGTTTCATGCCAAATATCTAAGCTCTAGCTCTTTGGTTTTTTTAGAAGAAGATTTTTTAAGTTTTTACTATATGCATATAGGGAAAATCAATGCCCCCCTGGGGCGTGGCCAATTTTGACCCCAGGGCTTTTATTTGAACAACTTGGTAGACACCCATTAGAACATGTTTCATGCTTAGTATCTAAACTCTAGCTATTTGGTTTTTTTTAAAGAAGATTTTTTAAGTTTTTACTATATGCATATAAGGAAAATCAATGACCCCCGGGGCGGGGCCAATTTTGACCCCAGGGCTCTTATTTGAACAAACTTGGTAGACATCCATAAGAACATGTTTCATGCTAAATATCTTAGCTCTAGCTCTTTGGGTTCTTTAAAAGAAGATTTTTTAAGTTTTTACAATATGCATATAGGGAAAATCAATGACCCCCTGGGGCGGGGCCAATTTTGACCCCAGGGATTTTATTTGAACAAACTTGGTAGACACTCACTAGAAGATGTTTCATGCCAAATATCTAAGCTCTAGCTCTTTGGGTTTTTTAGAAGAAGATGTTTAAAGTCTTTTCTTTTGGTTGCCATGACAACCAGAGTTCTGCATGGAATGGAATTCTTTGAACAACTTTGTTAAGGCTTCACACAAGGAACATCCCTGTGAAGTTTCATTATGATCTGCCTTATGGTTTCAGAGGAGATGTCGTTTTAAAAGTGTGAACGGACAAGGGACGACGTACGACGGACAAAGAGTGATCCTAATAGCTCACCCTGAGCATATGCTCAGGTGAGCTAAAAATATGTAACTACAAAACAACAAGTAATCTTGATACAAAATAACTGTACTAAGATGTAAAATTATTTCATACTTTCATAATGAATACCTTAACAAATGTTATTTAGGATATTAAAAGAGAAGAAAAATTTACTTGTCAGTACATACCAATAACATTTTATTATCTAAATAGCTCACAGATAAATTTTAATTGTAAAAATCTGAAATCCACCCAATACCAAGTCTTCACCATTTGAACTTCTGCTATAACTTTAACTGTTTCACAAAAAATATAATAAACTTTTTAACCCTAAACCTACTGGTGGACGATGATTGAAACCAGTGCAGACCACCACAAACCTACTGATGGTGGATGATTGCAATCAGTGAAGACCACCCCAAACCTACTGGTGGTGGATGATTGCAATCACTGCAGACCACCCCAAACATATTGGTGGTGGATGATTGCAATCAGTGCAGACCACCCCAAACCTACTGGTGGTGGATGATTGCAATCAGTGCAGACCACCCCAAACCTACTGGTGGTGGATGATTGCAATCAGTGCAGACCACCCCAAACATATTGGTGGTGGATGATTGCAATCAGTGCAGACCACCCCAAACCTACTGGTGGTGGATGATTGCAATCAGTGCAGACCACCCCAAACCTACTGGTGGTGGATGATTGCAATCAGTGCAGACCACCCCAAACATATTGGTGGTGGATGATTGCAATCAGTGCAGACCAACCCAAACATATTGGTGGTGGATGATTGCAATCAGTGCAGACCACCCCAAACCTACTGGTGGTGGATGATTGCAATCAGTGCAGACCACCCCAAACCTACTGGTGGTGGATGATTGCAATCAGTGCAGACCAACCCAACCTACTGGTGGTGGATGATTGCAATCACTGCAGACCAACCCAACCTACTGGTGGTGGATGATTGCAATCACTGCAGACCACCCCAAACCTACTGGTGGTGGATGATTGCAATCACTGCAGACCACCCCAAACATATTGGTGGTGGATGATTGCAATCAGTGCAGACCACCCCAAACCTACTGGTGGTGGATGATTGCAATCAGTGCAGACCACCCCAAACCTACTGGTGGTGGATGATTGCAATCAGTGCAGACCAACCCAACCTACTGGTGGTGGATGATTGCAATCAGTGCAGACCAACCCAAACCTACTGGTGGTGGATGATTGCAAATCAGTGCAGACCACCCCAAACCTACTGGTGGTGGATGATTGCAATCAGTGCGGACCACCCCAAACATATTGGTGGTGGATGATTGCAATCAGTGCGGACCACCCCAAACATATTGGTGGTGGATGATTGCAATCAGTGCAGACCAACCAAACCTACTGGTGGTGGATGATTGCAATCACTGCAGACCACCCCAAACATATTGGTGGTGGATGATTGCAATCAGTGCAGACCAACCCAACCTACTGGTGGTGGATGATTGCAATCAGTGCAGACCAACCCAAACCTACTGGTGGTGGATGATTGCAATCAGTGCAGACCACCCAAACCTACTGGTGGTGGATGATTGCAATCACTGCAGACCAACCCAAACCTACTGGTGGTGGATGATTGCAATCAGTGCAGACCAACCCAAACCTACTGGTGGTGGATGATTGCAATCAGTGCAGACCAACCCAAACCTACTGGTGGTGGATGATTGCAATCAGTGCAGACCAACCCAAACCTACTGGTGGTGGATGATTGCAATCACTGCAGACCAAATCAGCTGGCACATCTATACAGTCCAATCATGGTCTATATTGTCCACTTTTCATTCAGAATTTATTTTGAAATTTCCCCTTTTAATTACAGTGCAGTCCAACCAAAATTATTTGAATTGCCAGGGACTGAAAATTTACTTTGAATAATGGATGGGTTCCAATTATTGAAATCTAAATAATAGTGATAGACAACAATTTAAAATCTTTGATCATTCCCAAATCAGAGCAAAACTACCAGCACCCATTCGTCTAGCTTTGGATAAGAGGTATGAAATTTCAGGACAGAAATTTTACTTTGAAAAATAGGAGATTTTCGGATAATGCATTTCAAATAAATATATTTGTATTTACATTAACTTATATAGAGATAAAAACAAAACTCCTAATCTACTTTAGATAATGCCAGGTACAAAATGTATTTGAATAAAGTGTTGTTGAATAACCAGGTTCGGATTGCATTGTCAAGATTGAAAGATGGGCAAAACCATTTAAGATAATAAGTGTGGTAAAGTTAAATACAAGTGAATTACCTGTAGTATACCATTGGTACCAAACTCAGGTACACATTGTATACTGGTGGATGATGATTTCAATCAGTGCAGACCAAGATCAGCCACCACATCTGTACTGTCCAATCATAGTCTGCACTGTTCACTATTCATTCAGAGCTTATTTTGAAATTTTCCTTATAAATGACAGCATTGTTAAGATCGAAAGATGGGCAAAACCATTTTAGACATTTAGTATGGTAAAGTTAAATATAAGAATAATGTCCCTCGCCTAATGGACTGGACACAAAATATACCATATAACAGATAATATTAAGCTTTGAACCCCTCCCCCCTCAAGTGTGGCCTTGACCTTGAAGGTAGGGGTCCACATGCTGCGCATGACACATCATAACATTTTCATGAACATTTGTGCCAAGTAATTTCAAAATCCCTTAAAACTAAAGTGTGATGGACAGACAGATGGAGCCCATTTCTTTATCCCCTTTTTACTCGAGTAATTTTTATAAAAGGTGATAAAAAACAAGTGAATTACCTGTAGTATACCATTGGTACCAAACTCAGGTACACATTGTATCAGTCGAGACATTTCCTCAACAACAGCATCCACAATCTTGGTCATCACACGAGATATAAATGATGGCGATATTGAATATACCTGAGAAAGATCAAACAACATTTATAAATAACTATTTCATGTGTTTTTATAACATATTTACAATCATCCCTGACATTTCCCCAAAAAGTTTTCTTTTGATTTTGAATTATCTCATTCCAAATCTGAAACCTGTTTAAACATCCTGTTAAATCATCCCATTTGTTCTATTTATGGCTTAGTGAAAGTCTATAATGCTATATTATCTGTAAAAAAAAGAGTTTTTACTAAATTTTGCTATTACTTTTCTTGTAATTTTACAGATAAAATATTCACAGAGTATAACAATTATATACGGTTCTGTAATTCAACTATGCAACTTTTATTCATCTCATCACACACATATAAAATAAGACCTCTGATACCAGATATTAGCATTTTTACCTCAGCATGAACCTCTATCATTCCCATTATAACTTCCTTTAAGTAATCTCGTACATCTGAAAATAAAGGTACAGCAATTTATATATTCTATATAATAATGTTGTTGAGTTTAAAATCAGCACAGTAAAGATCATATTCTGATATCATAATAAAATTATTCCAGCTTTACTCATAATCCTCTGGTTCCCTTCCTTGCATCATCTTAGAAAAGTAAAACTAAAGACCTTCAGGAAATTATCTGGACATTTTTGAAAGAATTAAAGTATCTAACCTTTAACACATGACAAGGATGCTCAAATAGGAAGAAATGACAAGGAGGCTCAAATAGGAAGAAATGACAAGGAAGCTCAAATAGGAAGAAATGACAAGGAGGCTCAAATAGGAAGAAATGACAAGGAGGCTCAAATAGGAAGAAATGACAAGGAAGCTCAAATAGGAAGAAATGACAAGGAGGCTCAAATAGGAAAAAATGACAAGGAGGCTCAAATAGGAAAAAATGACAAGGAGGCTCAAATAGGAAGAAATGACAAGAAGGCTCAAATAGGAAAAAATGACAAGGAAGCTCAAATAGGAAAAAATGACAAGGAAGCTCAAATAGGAAGAAATGACAAGGAGGCTCAAATAGGAAAAAATGACAAGGAAGCTCAAATAGGAAGAAATGACAAGGAGGCTCAAATAGGAAGAAATGACAAGGAGGCTCAAATAGGAAGAAATGACAAGGAGGCTCAAATAGGAAGAAATGACAAGGAGGCTCAAATAGGAAAAAATCGAACAATGGAAGCTCAAATAGGAAGAAATGACAAGGAGGCTCAAATAGGAAGAAATGACAAGGAGGCTCAAATAGGAAAAAATGACTAGGAGGCTCAAATAGGAAAAAATGACAAGTAAGCTCAAATAGGAAGAAATGACAAGGAGGCTCAAATAGGAAGAAATGACAAGGAGGCTCAAATAGGAAGAAATGACAAGGAGGCTCAAATAGGAAGAAATGACAAGGAGGCTCAAATAGGAAAAAATGACAAGGAAGCTCAAATAGGAAGAAATGACAAGGAGGCTCAAATAGGAAGAAATGATGCAAATAATTTTTTTCAATTGACCATAAAGTTTATAAAGGGAATACAATCCAGCACCTGTTTCATTTAACATGTATCATCAAATTGCTCATACAAATGTACAGGAATATGGAAAATGCTTAATAGCTTAATATAGTGGTGGCAAAGGCTAATAACGTTTAATTTTAGCAGGGTATGGGTTAAGACAATTGTCATTCTGTAGTTAGATGTTTTTTCAGTAATAACAATATAATAACTTGGTCTACCTGTAGGTGATCTGCAATGCCTCCAATCAAAATGTCCTCTATACATGTTAGGTTCCATGGCTCCCACGATTGGGTTAGATTTTTCCTCTATATATGCCTCAAACAACTGATGATCCAACTTATTGTATGTGTCTTGACTAGCCTTAATACACATATAAATAAACACATATTAATTAACTCATATAAATCAACTCATATAGAAAAAAACTCATATAAATATACGATATAAATACATTGTAAAATGTCTTCATATTCATTATAATTATACTTGTTAATTCAGCCAATCTATTCAAATAAATCATCAAGAATTATTTGAGTTCAATGAAAATCCAGTTTTTATTGATATGCAGGCATCAGTCATTTTCTTCATATAAATTACAAATTTTACACAAAGGCCTTGATATGTTTGCTATGTATTGCAAAATCAATGTACTCAAGAAAAGTAATGTGTTATAGAGCTGTCACCTAAGTGACGCATACCCCCAAAAAAGTTTCTTAAGTGTGCAGGTATTATGAAAAGAAAAGAGAATGAAAGTAACTAATTGCTGAATATTGTTCTTTGTATCATTGTACCTGTAATCTCTAATTGTGATAGCATGAACCTTCAAAATATAAGTGTGACCTTGACCTTTGAAGAAGGGACGTGGTTCCTGGACACAACAAAATGTTGTGATGAGATAGACATTTGTGCCAATTTTTTTCAAAATCCCTCAATGCATGACAAAGTTACAGTCTGGACATGATTGTTGTGTAAGTGGGGACACACGAAAAGATGGACATGAGCCTTAGCGGCGACACACTGTCTTGATGTAGTAGACATTTGTGCAAAGTTTTTTTAAAATCCTTCCATGCATGACAAAGTTCAGTCCGAACAAAAATCGGTAAATCATGTATCTTCAAACTCTTCTCGAGAGAAAGAGTACCTTCAAACTATAAGTGTGACCATGACCTTGAAGGTAGGGACATAGGTCTTTGTCGTGACATGTCACCTTGATGTGGTAGACATTCATGCCTAGTTTTTTTAAAATCCTTCGATGCATGGCAAAGTTACAGACCGGACACAAATGTGTGTACATATAAACTCTAATTGTGATTAAGTGAACTTCAAAATGATAGTGTGACCTTGACCTTTGAGGTAGGGACGTCATTATTGGATGCAACACATAATCTTGATGTTGTAGACATTTATGCCAAGTTCTTTTAAAATCCTTTCATGCATGACAAAGTTACAGCCTGGACACGATTTTGTGTACCTATTAATTGTAATAAAGATTATGTGAAACTTCAAAATGTAAGTGTGACCTTGACCTTTGAGGTAGGGACGTAATTCTTGGAGGCGACACATCGTCTTGATGTGGTAGACATTTATGCCTAGTTATTTAAAAATCATTTGATGCATGACAAAGTTACAGTCCAGACACAAATGTGTGTACCTATTTACTCTAATTGTGATAATGTGAAACTTCAAAATGATAGTGTGACCTTGACCTTTGAGGTAGGAACAAGGTTCTTGGACGCGACACTTCGTCTTGATGTGGTAGACATTTGTGCCAAGTTATTTCAAAATCCCTCAATGTATGACAAAGTTACAGTCCGGACACGAATGAAGTAGATACGCACAGACGGACGGACACAGACAGACAGACAGACAAACAGATGGTGCGATTATATTATGCCTCCCTTTGGGGGCATAAAAAGAACAATATCTTTACTTATCTTTGGAAGCAAATTAAAAATATCTAAAAACCCTGAATTTAGCATTTTTTAATTGATTTCATTAAATTTAGCATAATTTTATTGGTTTCATAGAGAAAACCTTACTTCAGACAAATGCCTGAAAACTTGTATCCATGCAAAGTTTCAAATTTTGAATCAAAGCTTTCTCCAATTGATGTGCCAATGCAAATTTTTGGATTTTGGACCAATGCATTCTCTATGTAGTTTAGTGCCGGTCAACCTTTCGGTGTCTTAGGTAATGGAGACCGTGACATTTGTAAGCTACATACCTGTAGAACTTTGTTCATCTCAACATAACCATGTTTATTGAGGTTCTCCACAAGTCGTGGTATCAGATGTCCCTTTGTGTGGTTACAATTACTCAACATTATTATCAACTTCTTATCCTGTTAAATATACAATGTAAAAATTAAATAATAATTGTGTCAAACAGACAACAATTACAACAATATCTTAACAGAACGGAAATATCAGAAGAATGTCACGACCCTGATATGAATATAATAATAATGTTATAACTTAACAGAGGAAGTTATGGAAATGTCATAATTAAATAAATAAATAAATTGCAGAGATATTTAATAGTTTCTTTAGTAGTTATCAATTTTAGTAGCATATTTTAAATTTTTGATATTATGGAAATGGAATATCATAGAATTGGAAATGTCAGATATTAAGAAAATGGACATTTACTGACCTTTGATGGTACATGGTCCTCATGCGACCTTGATTCCATCATCTGCTTATCTCCTTCATTACTAAAACTAAAAGAAAGTGTAATATCAAAACAATATCCTGAACCTCCTAACTTGATTCTGCTGTATTTGTTATTAAAATTTAAAGGTTAGTAACTACAGAAGAACTTCTATGTGTTCAACTTCGATAAGTCCATTTGTTACACCTTTTGTAATTCACATGTATACATAGATCATGAAATGACTCAAACTTTTGTCATTAAATTGAGGCCGATTCATGAATCAAAGTCTCGATGTGTAAAGTTTTTTTCGCAAGTCCCTTTAACTTTGACTTACCAAAGATCTACTGTATCTTGATTTTAGGAAACAAAGGCAATGTATATTGCATTGCTTACTAAAACTTTGAAATAAATTAACATGGTCAATAGAACATGATTCCTATACCAGGGGTCGAGGGTATAAAGAAATATTCTTATCTCAAACTCAGATCTTAGGAATTTGATTGGTCAGAAACAGGCACAGAATGTGAAATGACCAATGAAAATCTTGAGATTCAAGCTTGATCTAAGGAAAAGGTTTTATAACCTTGGGGCCAGGGCCTGCTATGCCTATCTTAGTACACACAAAAGTATCAATTTAAAATCGATATCCTAAAATGCCATATAAGTTATATCACAGGGTGTGAAAAATATGCAGTCTGATCGGAACTTGAACCCAGAACCCTCGGAAAACTAATCCGCAGCTCTACCACCTGAGCTATCCAGCTGCTTACACATCTTCTCCCCTCAATTGTGACCAGTTCTGAACCATGACACTTTAAAACAAAGTAAATTATATTTTCGACAGTGATACCTGTTATCTGGAGATTTTGTATCTTTATCATTCTCCGTGAAGGCAAGCTGCTCTAGACAAGGGGCAAATGCCTCCAGTAGTTTAGTGCACAATACAGTAGCTTCCTTCTGAACAGGTCTTTGATTAAATATCTGTAAATGGCAAGGAAATAGTAATTCGTGTTTGTTTTTGTTTAATGTAATAAAACAACATACAGGTAATTAACAAGTCATCCTTGATTCTACAAAGGGCAACTGCTAATTTTACACACACAAATAGGTTTTGAAAAGTGTACTTTTGATGTCAGTGGTGGTTACGCTTTTTTATTGAATATATAATAATTCTAAGATCATAGTGTATCAAAAACTAGAAAAAATTGATTTTCAGATGAGCATAGAAAAATTGTAAATTGATACAGGGTTAATATTTTAACATATTTATCTTCAAGCCTGCCTCATTCTGTAAAGAAATTAATGAGACAACTCTTCCTGAATAAAATTGTGGTTCTCTGAAACATTACATTGTCACCTTAGTGCAGTAATGGGTTAACTCCTACTATGATAAGATAGGAGTTTACCAATTACTGCACTAAGGTGACAATGTGAATAATGAATTATGCAGAAAACTTTGTTGCTGATGTGAACAACTCTTGAGTTGGCTTCATAGCACTAACCAGCACTGGTGTCATATGAGGAAACATGACACTGGCTCCATTAGGGCTTGAGCCCACCATCCCTAGGTTATGAGGCAGACACTTTAACTAAATGTACTAATCTACTGCCCCTGTTACAGTTCTGTGAAATCAGAAGTCAACATCAACTTCAAATGAAAATTTTTGACCATAGTTGAAAGTTAAAATTTACTAAACAGGCATGCAATAATTCAGAACTCAAGGCCCATTTTTCAATTTATTACTAAGACTCTCCATACTAAGTTAAAAGTAAGTAAAATCAACAACAAAAACTTTTAGTTGCTTCAAAACAAAATTTCTTAATTTTTGTGTTTAAATGTTGAATTCTGCTTAGCTGGGGCATGGATGGTAGCTTGCAATTCCAGTACCATTCATGAACAGACTCAATCAAACTGAGTCTGCAACATTTTCAATTTTGCCATTTTGGGCGTTCTTTAGGGATTCTGTTTTTTCTATTTTGTAGTAAATCTCTTTAAAAATACTGTGTGAGAACTCATACCTCTCTTTCACCAAATTTATTCTGTACAACAACCTCGTGTAAATGCTGGATAGCTTCATTAACAATGTTCTCAAACAGGGCTGGCTGTAAATATAATATATATAACTCTTAGTTAATGAGAGGCTTATGTTACTAGTAAAGAAAAAGGGGAGCTAACTCAGAAGCTTTTCCACACCATACTGTTGCCTAATCTTATGATTTTGATACTGAGGTCCTGAACACTATCAACTAGGGATGGCAACTAACACCAAAATCAATACTCGCGTACTGGGTCATTTTTTCGCTTGAGTACTCAGTTACTTGAATGATTTCCTATTATCTTCAAAGTTTTATCACCATCTGCATGCTACTTTTTCTATTTACATTCATAAAATTTGTAACTAGAAATGGGACAGCAAGTGTGTTAACTTAGATTTACCAAAAAACAAATAAAAAAAGCACTATTTTTTACAACGTTTAAATTAATGCATTTCTGGCTATACATGCGTAAAGAAGAAAAAGGGAGTTACTCTCCTTTATAGAGAGAACAACAAACGTTTAATCAAGTGTAATTACTACCTTTAATCTCACATTTATCATAGCAATCAGGCGTTTTCAAAACAGTTACCTTAAAATAAGTTTTGACTACAAACTGTTACATGATTTAAGGTAATTAAACATCATAAGAGGCCAAATGACATAAGCGACACAGGTGTTCAATCCCATATGCGTGTCAAACTTTTCATGGCCTTGTTAAATTTACAATATTATTTTCGCACCTCTGCAAGGATGTTTTGATTGTATTTAACAGGTATTTATCTTAAACTATAACTCACTAGTTGGGTTTTACCGCCAAATTCATCATCAAGTTCCACCACCCATGTTTCTTTTGTATGAAGACAGCGGACATCTGAAAATAATTTATAATGGAATTGACAAGTTAACAAAGATATACAGGGTTAGATTTTTCGCATTTTTTCCACTAGAAATTTTTGCGAGTGACTTTCTAATAAACTCGCTATATGAGAAATTTGTTAAAAAGGTCGGACTGTCTATGAACTTGGTTGCAAAACATGCAAAAATCACGCACAATTGTCAATGACATCCATTGTGAGATTTTCTATCAAAATATAACAAAACTTGCATTCTGCATGTTATCTGAAATGGAAGTTTCTAAACTGCAATATAAGTAAACTTTGTTGAAATAGGTTTTTTAAACAAAGGTGGTCTGTAAAGTTATATTTGCCCATAGTTCAAAACAGACTCTTTCAAAATTAACCCATTACATTTCAATTTTACTTATAAGCAATGAAATCAAGTCACAGTTGATAAGTCACAATTAAAGGCATCAAAAAGAAACAACATCCTGGCCATGTTCGCGCTGCATAACAGGTGCTCTCTACATTTGTTTTACAACAGTGTCAGATAATATCACTTGTAGTTTTCAAAATTTACTGGCATTTTATGAGTATGCCAGCTGAAATTCCAACCCTGCATTAATTGAAGTAGAAAACTTAAAACAAGAGCTGTCACAGGAGACAGCGAAGCTCAACTAAAACAAGAGGGCCATGATGGCCCTGAGGTCGCTCACCTGTATATAGCTCTAGCTCTTTGGGTTCTTTAAAAGAAGGTTTTTTAAGTTTTTACTATATGCATATAGGGAAAATCTATGACCCCCTGGAGCAGGGCCAATTTTGACCTCAGGGCTTTTATTTGAACAAACTTGGTAGACACTCATTAGAAGATGTTTCATGCTAAATATCTTAGCTCTAGCTCTTTGGGTTCTTTAAAAGAAGATTTTTTAAGTTTTTACTAAATGCATATAGGGAAAATCAATGGCCCCCTGGGGCGGGGCCAATTTTGCCCCCAGGGCTTTTATTTGAACAAACTTGGTAGACATTCACTAGAAGATGTTTCATGCCAAATATCTTAGCTCTAGCTCTTACAGTTCTTTAAAAGAAGATTTTTTAAGTTTTTACTATATGCATATAGGAAAATCAATGACCCCCCGGGGCGGGGCCAATTTTGACCCCAGGGCTTTTATTTGAACAAACTTGGTAGACACTCACTAAAAGATGTTTCATGCCAAATATCTTAGCTCTAGCTCTTTGGGTTCTTTAACCCTTTCCCCCATGAGCATATTGTGAAAAATGGCCATTTTCACTGAAAAGCCCCTTGTTACAAGTTCAAACTGCTATGAAACTATGACAAATGCTTCAATACTAATCAAACTTGGCACAAATGTTGACTGGACCATTGCCTTTGTAACGACATGCTCAGTCTTAAATTTCCTGTTACCATGGCAACGAGGGGACATCTCAAAATTGCCAAAAATCACTTTTTTGCCTCGATTTTTTCCATCAAAATTTATTTCAAAGTGCTGCAACTTCTCAAGGGATTGAGATAGAGTCAAAGGCTTTTCAGCGTTGGTTACACGTTACCTTATGATCGACCTGGGGTCATTTTAAGCCTCTCACAAGTCCAAAATTTTCTTGGCGATGAGGGGGACTCTGCCCCCCTTCAAACCCCCCAAACAGAAGGGGGCACATCCCCCTTCTGGCAACCCCCTGATGTAATATTTGGATGGGGGGCGGCGCCAAAAAAAAGGTCACTTTTTTTTAACAACATTTCTCAAACGAAAGACAGTGTTTGGGGCCTAAATAGGGCATTTTTTCACTGTTTGAGGCCTCAAAAAAGGGGGGGGCAAAAAGCCGTCGAAACACGCTTATATAAGGGAAAAGGTTAAAAGAAGATTTTTTAAGTTTTTACTATATGCATATAGGGAAAATCTATGACCCCCTGGGGCAGAGCCAATTTTGACCCCAGGGCTTTTATTTGAAAAAACTTGGTAGACACTCACTAGAAGATGTTTCATGCCAAATATCTTAGCTCTAGCTCTTTGGGTTCTTTAAAAGAAGATTTTTTAAGTTTTTACTATATGCATATAGGGAAAATCAATGACCCCCTGGGGCGGGGCCAATTTTGACCCCAGGGCTTTTATTTGAACAAACTTGGTAGACACTCATTAGAAGATGTTTCATGCCAAATATCTAAGCTCTAGCTCTTAGGGTTGTTTAAAAGAAGATATTTAAAGATTTTTCTTTCGGTTGCCATGGCAACCAGAGTTCTGCATGGAATTAAATTCTTTGAACAATTTTAAAGGTGACCACCAAAGGAACATTCCTGTGAAGTTTGGATGAAATTGGCTCAGTGGTTTATGAGGAGATGTCATTTAAAGCAAAAGTTTACGGACAGATGACGGCCGGACGACGGACGCCGGCCGGACGAAAAGCGATCACAAAAGCTCACCCTGTCACTTTGTGACAGGTGAGCTAAAAACTGGACGTAGTAAGGAGGACAAAACTATGAAAGAAAAATCAATTATGTATAATTATGTATCAAGTTATAGTAAAAAAATAACATTTGTTAACATAAATTCCAAGATCAAGGGGAATAATTCTAGAAATAGTCATGCTAGAGTTATGAACCTTGTCACACAAAATATGTGTAATGATAAGATTTAAATTTTTGAAGTTTGAAGTAGATACCTTAAAAAGTAAAGAAGTTATAATATTTCTTAAAGAAAATCATAAGTTCAAAGAGAGATAAATCTGTAAATATTGCTTCAAGAGTTATGAACATTGTCACATAAAATGTAACTGATGATAAGGAATAAGTATTTGAAGTTTGAGGTAGAGAACCTTTAAAATTAAAAATGTTATAGTAAAAAATAACATTTTTTAAGTAAAAAATCTAAGTTTATGGGGAGATAATTCTTGCAATATTGGTGCTAGAGTTATGAACCTTGTCACAAAAGATGTGGATGATGATAAGGTACATATATTTGAAGTATGAAGTTGATCCCTTTAGAAATAAATATGTAACAGTAAAAAATAATATTTTTTAAGGAAAATTCTAAGTTCAAGGGGAGATAAATCTGAAAATATTGGTGCTAGAGTTGTGAACCTTGTCACATAAGATGTTGATTGATGATAAGGAACATGTATTTGAAGTTTTAAGTTGATACCTTAAGAAATGACAAAGTTATAGTGAAAAATATTTTACTGCACCAAAACTGAAATCTGGACGCGTACGCGGGGGCGAGTAGGACAGCTCTCCATATACTTCGTATAGTCGCGCTAAAAATCACCAACAGCTTGTTGTAACATGGTAAACTTATAGTTAAAATAAGACATACCACTGATGGCTTGTTGAAGCATGGTAAACATACAGTTAGTTCTCATATCAAACGCCAATTCTTGTATCAACTCCTGACTGTCACTTGGCAGATCAAGACTACACAGGGATGACGCACATGACCTACAAGACACAAAACTCTTCAACAATCTAATATATGTCAACAGCTGCTGTTAGAAATTATAGATGTTGTTTTGTCACGTTGAGGTAAAGTATAACAGCATTTCAGTCATATATATCATAGAGACATCTGGCATCATGATCAACCTAATTTTTCCACAAAATTATGCTACCTACTCCATATACATCATGTCAGAGAGCAATGGAAGACAACTGTTATACAGACATATGAGCCGCGTCATGACAAAACCAACATAGTACGTTTGCGACCAGCATGGATCCAGACCAGCCAGCGCATCCGCGCAGTCTGATCAGGATCCATGCTGTTCGCTATCAGTTTCTCTATTTGCTATAGGGTTTGTAAGCGAACAGCATGGATCCTGATCAGACTGCGCGGATGCGCAGGCTGGTCTGGATCCATGCTGGTCGCAAACCCATTGTGTTGGTTTTGTCGTGACGCGGCTCATATTGTTGTCACCCAAATTGCCATGGTAATACATGAACCAAGCCAAGGTCTCAAATTCATGGATCAGATAACAGTAGTCTTAATGATCTCGTTAATTTACCAGACCCACAAATTTTGTACCTGACCTTCCCTTTCCGGCTTTCACCATACAAAGCTCTTGAAAAAGCTCTAAAGGTCATACATTTTGTTCAGGGTTATCATACAGAAAATGCCAATGATCTAAAATTTTAATAAACATCAAATCCTTACCATACTTAATACTGAAGGAAAGGTTTCATTTGCATCAGATTAATTTTTCATTAATATTCGCTACTCAATTAAACCCCAAAATTTTCATGACACTAATTTAGAGCATTCCAAATTTTAAAGTGAGACTTTATTTTACATGACATCCTACCTGACATATCTGACACAGTGAGGAAGCCACGCCCCTGGGATCTCCTTCTTGCTGTCAGGCCACACACCATACTCCTGTAGTCCGTCTGCTGGAATGTTCTCGAGAGACTTGGGAAGGAATGCAGCTCTTACAAGATTGGAGAAATACTTTATAGTTGATGACACCATTTGCTGCAACAACAACATATTATCATCATGATTAAAGAAGCAATTTCAAAGAAAATATATTTTAGCACTTTGTAAATATGCCCAGCCTTATGGTGTGTGACTTAATTCAAATAGTGCAGAATGACATCTGTTCCCAGATCATATACAGACAGGATTCAAAGAAGATTCTTTAAATCGACCAAATATCCAAAAGAATGTTGTAATGGCTTTCTAAAAATTTCAATTTTTACATTGCAAAAATTTCAGAGCAGTTCTTAATCATACATTTACAATATATTTCCAAACATGATTAAGTACCTTACCTTGAATGTATTATATTTTGTTTGATCAGGTTTACTTGGTTTTCCTTCCTGAAATTAAAAACTACATCTTTTTACAACTGATAAATAATTAAATATACAGTAATTCATTTCTTAATAATACAAAGAAAAGTTTTAAGGTTTTATTTGATGATGATAAAAGACGTATCGACTCCAACGACGCTTCATCAGGGTTATAAAATTTCTTAATAATGTTACAATGAACGCTCAAAACAAATATTCAATCAAAAGTTTCAATTTAGGGAACCAGTCACAGAAAAAACTTATACCTAGCATATTTTTTTGAAAAAAGATGGAACCAGTCATACATACATACAAGTAGTATACAGCAGCTTACCTCTTTGACAGTGAGGGAACCAGCAATATATGCTTGTCCAAGTTTCCAGAACTCTGGGAAATTGTTGGTCATAATCTCGGTTAACTCCTCTACAAACAAAACCTTCTGCGGTGTCTTGAACTTCCAACCTAAAATACAAAATATTACTTAAGTTTTGATAACTACATTATACTTGAAAAGTGTAATACATTAATATTTCTATTGCTTATTAACAGAAAATATTACAAGCACACAATATTGGAAATTACTCTGGATTAAACAAACAAGTTAAATTCAAATGTAACCTTACAATTGGTAAATTTTCAATTTCAGAATATCATCAATAAATTAGTCTGTACTTGACTCAATTTGTTAATGTTAAAGCAATTTTTACTCACATTTTATAGGAAAGACTAAGAGTTTTGTTTGAATAACACACCAACACATGCTGACTGGATATATGGGAGAACATAGCCTTCCTAGAGCCTCAGGTTATATAGAGGATATTTGTTTAGTTCAGTGTAAGATCGAAATATATTTCACCGAGTGAGCACCAAAAGGTATATTTCACGAGTGGCGCAGCCACGAGTGAAATATGATTTTTTGGTGTTCACAAGGTGAAATATATTTCGATTTTACACTAAACTAAACAAATTTTCTTTTTATTACATGCAAAGAAACTTTTAACAAGCAATTATCATAGTATTGCAAGCAATCCATAAGTCCCCTACCGGTAAGAGCCCAAGCAACATTCTGAACGGCCATTGGCCAATCACTTAGGTTCCTATTTTAAGTAAATTTCTTGAAAAAGTTCTTTGAAAGTGATCACAGGAAACAGTTTTTATGTATAGACAGACGGACTGAAGGACACTCTAAAGTTATTTTTTAAACATCCCTGTTATCAAAATATAACATTTTTAAAATCCTATCATGATTGAAGAAGTTGGAGTAAAAATTACCAATTTCTCAAAAAAAAGTCTAAGTTCAAAAGGGGCATAATTCTGGAAATAGTCTTGCTAGAGTATTGAACACTCACAAAATGTTGAGTGACAATAAGAAACATTTATATGAAGTTTAAAGTAGATACATTTAGAAAAAGATGTTATTAAAAAAAATAATGTTTTTTTCATGAAAATTTTAAGTTCAAGGGAGGTAATTCTGATAAATTTTGTGCTAGAGTTGTAAACCTTGTCACATATGATGTGGTTGATGACAAGCAACTTATATTTAAAGTTTGAAGAAAATACCTTAAGAAATAAAGAACTTATAGTGAAAAAACTTAAAAACTAGAATCAGAAATCTTGAAATTCAGTCTATTTGTTGCCATAGCAACCAGAATTTTCAACATAGGAAGATAAAAAAGAATGTGCATAATTTCCATACTGCCATCTACCCATATGTCAAGTTTCATAAACATATTTTCAGTACTTTTTGTGTTATCACTGGATCCAGGTTATGTGTAAAATTTGCCATATTTTCAGTCTATTTGTTGCCATAGCAACCAGAATTTTCAACATAGGAAGAAAACAAAAAGACGTGCATAATCTCCATACTGCCATCTATCAATATATCAAGTTTCATAAAAATATTTTCAGTACTTTTTGCGTTATCGCGGGATCCAGGTTATGTGTAAAATTTGCCATATTTTCAGTCTATTTGTTGCCATAGCAACCAGAATTTTCAACATAGGAAGAAAACAAAAAGACGTGCATAATCTCCATACTGCCATCTATCCATATATTCAAGTTTCATTAAAATATTTTCTGTACTTTTTGCGCTC